CTGAAAATTAACAGATATAATAAGAAGAGGAGGTAATTCAACATGGCTAAATAATCAACATGGTGAAAGTAATAGATACACAATGATTCAAGGGAGGATCAGAGGGAGTAGGGGTTAAACAGATTGAAAGGTCAGGGATATAAGTGACTAGGGAGTAGGGGTTAAACAGATTGAAAGGTCAGGGATATAAGTGACTAGGGAGTAGGGGTTAAACAGATTGAAAGGTCAGGGATATAAGTGACTAGGGAGTAGGGGTTAAACAGATTGAAAGGTCAGGGATATAAGTGACTAGGGAGTAGGGGTTAAACAGATTGAAAGGTCAGGGATATAAGTGACTAATGAGATTGAAAGGTCAGGGGACTGGTAACTAAATATATGGTAATATCAAGTGAACTAGTGACTAAATAGATGGGATTGTCATAAAGACAAGTGACTAAACAGATTGGAAAGCTGAGGGACCATTGAGTAAAATGATAGAACAGTCAGAGAGACCAGTGACTAAACATATGGGAATGTGAAGTGAATTAGTGACTAAACAGATGGGTAGGTCACGTAGACAAGTATCTAAACAGACAGGAATGTGAAGTGATCTAGTGACTAAACAGATTGGAAAGTAGAAGCACCAGTTATTAAACAGATGGAAAGGTCAAAATGACTTAATAGTGACAAAAAGGTGTGAAGGTCAAGGGGCCAGTTACCAAACCAATGGGAAGACAGAGGGACTAGTGACTTAATAGAAATTCTGAGAGGATTACAAGATTACTTTGTTAAGAATGTAAATATACAGCACAGAATAATACAGTATAGTTGATATGATTACAAGATGTTTAAAGGTGTATTTGTAGTGTTGGAGCTCCACAGGGATGGGTAAACACAGGAAGATTTAGTTATGATGTGCTATGGTAAATGTGAATAAACATGTTAATATCTTGACACATCCATGTTACTTTGACTGCAAAAATAAATATTTACTCCTGACTGGGGGAGGATGAAGATCTTTCTGTAGAGACCATGTGAAGAATGATAAAGTTTGCTGAAGTATTTTGTTACTAACATAAAGCCCTTTCAAATTTATGGGTGACATGTTTTTTTTCGTTACTGCTTTAACTGTCAGTGATCGATATGTTATACAATAATAAATGTTACAATAAAATGTAACAATTCAAATTCTTGCCATCAAATTTGTGGATATTTACTGCAGTAAATTGCTATGCTGTCTGTGATGGAGCAGCTGCACTATGCATCAAGCCTGTGTGTAGGTGGGGTTGTTCCAGTGTAGCACTTAGGAAGTTTGGTACAGGTACCTAATGCCTGGTGGTAGCAGACTCTAGAGTTTATTATGAATTATGTAATAAAATCTGGGTGGCAGCATGTAGTCATATAGATTGATATGAAAACACCTCAGCCTTCAGTACTTCATTACTGCAAGTTGGAATATCCTGTGGAGGTGTAAAAAAACAACACCAAAAGGGTTTTCCATATACTTTAGTAGTTGGTGGCATAGAGCTATAGGGGTTGATGTTAAGCGGAATGAAGGGAGCCCTTGGTAGGAAGTAAATAGGGATTAGTAGGTATTTAAGTCTATAGTTGAAAGATTAAGAGGTTTGACCTTGAAGAAATGTGAAATGAGGCTGTTACAACCTGCAAACCCTTGACTTATTCTTGGCAATATGTGAATTGGGGGCTGTTATTAATTCTAGGGAACCTCTGATCTTCTTCTAGAGGCTGGCAGCAGAATACCATCATTTAAGCCACCATCATCTGTAATTTAAAGTGATAGTGATGTATTTGTAACATAATTAATTAATTTGATCTGCTCGCAATATCCTACATTTTCATCCCTATAGAGTAAGCACTAGTCTTGCTTTAAACACCTGTCCTTGTAATGAGCCGTTTTAAAAGATTATCATCTTTGTGACTACAATAGTTATAAAATAAAAATGTTTAATCTGTCCAGTTAAATTCTTCATCCAGTTTCCATTCACACATTTATTATTATAGATTTAATGTCTTTGTATGAAGATTTCATTCAAAACATTAAGACTCAAACAAGATTTCCAGATTGAATTCAAAATTTAGAGTCTATAACAAGATTTCCAGATTGAATTCAAAATTTCAGAGTCTATAACAAGATTTCCAGATTGAATTCAAAATTTCAGAGTCTATAACAAGATTTCCTGATTGAATTCAAAATTTCAGAGTCTATAACAAGATTTCCTGATTGAATTCAAAATTTCAGAGTCTATAACAAGATTTCCTGATTGAATTCCAAATTTAGAGTCTATAACAAGATTTCCTGATTGAATTCAAAATTTAGAGTCTATAACAAGATTTCCTGATTGAATTCAAAATTTCAGAGTCTATAACAAGATTTCCTGATTGAATTCAAAATTTAGAGTCTATAACAAGATTTCCTGATTGAATTCAAAATTTCAGAGTCTATAACAAGATTTCCAGATTGAATTCAAAATTTCACAGTCTATAACAAGATTTCCAGATTGAATTCAAAATTTAGAGTCTATAACAAGATTTCCAGATTGAATTCAAAATTTAGAGTCTATAACAAGATTTCCAGATTGAATTCAAAATTTCAGAGTCTATAACAAGATTTCCAGATTGAATTCAAAATTTCAGAGTCTATAACAAGATTTCCAGATTGAATTCAAAATTTAGAGTCTATAACAAGATTTCCAGATTGAATTCAAAATTTAGAGTCTATAACAAGATTTCCAGATTGAATTCAAAATTTAGAGTCTATAACAAGATTTCCAGATTGAATTCAAAATTTAGAGTCTATAACAAGATTTCCAGATTGAATTCAAAATTTAGAGTCTATAACAAGATTTCCAGATTGAATTCAAAATTTAGAGTCTATAACAAGATTTCCAGATTGAATTCAAAATTTCAGAGTCTATAACAAGATTTCCTGATTGAATTCAAAATTTAGAGTCTATAACAAGATTTCCAGATTGAATTCAAAATTTAGAGTCTATAACAAGATTTCCTGATTGAATTCAAAATTTAGAGTCTATAACAAGATTTCCTGATTGAATTCAAAATTTAGAGTCTATAACAAGATTTCCTGATTGAATTCAAAATTTAGAGTCTATAACAAGATTTCCTGATTGAATTCAAAATTTAGAGTCTATAACAAGATTTCCTGATTGAATTCAAAATTTAGAGTCTATAACAAGATTTCCTGACATTTTGGTTATCCAGAACACGATTTGTACTTCATGTTCGATTCCATATTGTTAAAATTTTATGTCAATTAAGGCAAGTGAATCTACCAAATCAGTGATATAGTGGTTGCATTGTGTACTAAGGATATTGGTGTAAACAATTTGTTTTTTAATGTCTCCTGGATTAATTGACATTGACAAGTATAAGTTTGCTGAAACTGCAAAACCAACACAAATGAATTCTGGAAAGGTCAAACTGCCTTGCCAGATGTAAATGCCATCCACAGGAAGATTTCTCAAATTTTCTGTGACTGTATTCCAATAAAATTTATTTGATTACTGAAGAACTCTTGGATTTAATTTGCATCCTTTGTAAATAAAGCCCCATGTAACAATGAAACACTGAGATATTTGTTGTGTTCTACAGCAATAGTGGTCAATAGTCATTAGATTACTTCTAAGGGTTAGTTTTGTTTCTAATTTATTCTTTGATTACATTTAACCTACCTGCACAGCTGATATAAAATGTACACTGATACACCTTTATTAATTTTTTTTTTCTAAGTCATTTGACCCAAAGGATCAGGATGACTTATTGACATTGCATTCCGTCTGTTGTCATATGTTATACAGAATGTCTTCTACATAAACTTTTCACTTTTTTGACTTCTTTAAAACTAATTCACCAATATATATCATATTTGGCCACAAACAACCTTGGGGAAAAGCAGTTCAAAATTGTGATATTTATGTGTCGGGGGGCCCGCTTGACTAAATTTCCTTGTAAAGCCATTAATTAGTTTTACAAAAATTGTGAGATTCAAAGCAGTCCTGGATCCAGGTATCCACTGTTAAGAAAGTGAAGTTTACTATGGTTTATACAGGAAAAGTATATTTTTGACATATTCTGCTGCATCAGTATGCCAATGTAAATTGTATTTGGTCACAATCATCCCTATAGCACAGCAGTTGTAAAATGTATGGATTTTACCTCCAGGAAGCTAGGGGGAGGGACTTCCAGTGTGGCAAAATGTTCTAAATTTTAGAATCTTTTCAACTAGTAGAAATATTTTCTCAGCGTATATAATACAGACAAACAACATACAAATGACAGGAATTGGAAGTTGTCTATAATATTATGTTGTAACCATCAACACTGAAACCATATTTGGTCTACCGTCACAGCCAGTTGTCAGAGGAAAACTGATATAAAACATACTACTGTCTCTGTTAAATGATTTAATGCAAACTAATGAAGAATGATACATACACTCAAAAACAAATCAGAATGGTTTTATTAGTTTCCTAATTGTTCCTGTTATCACTGCTGCTGTTACACCTGGACCTTCATAGCCAATCAAATGGCTATCAAGGTCTGTGTGCCTCTTGTTTTAATTTCTAACTCATGTTTATGTCCTACCAGTGGTATTGGTTAATTGATTATTTTCTTTACTAATTGGTTCACGGTTCATCATACAAAATCATTTATAAATCCATCTGAAGCATCATTACTTGATCATTAGGCAAGTAGGTCACTGCTACCTCAAATGTTTTGCTACAGTGATTGATAGTGTAGTAAGACATTATGTTTAACCCCTTTTCTCTGATATTGCTAAATGACATTAACTTTCTACACAGATAATTCTCCAGGAATACTCCATCATAATCAGATAAATGTTATACATTGTATACAGAGACATCTCCATCATTTCAGCTGCAGCTCAGTGAGATTAAATCTCATGTTCTATATCCTTATGTTTACCTTTTTGGATATTACAGGATAATGAGAAATGAAATCTTATGATTTTCTGTTAGCAGACAGCACAGTCCGGTCACAGAACACTTCTATATGGCCATGCTGTGTTACTAAGGCATCTCCATAGCAACATGGTGAGTAAGGATTTGTTAATAATCCCCTGAATTAAAGCTTTAATGATTCAATCCTATAAACCTATTGTGTGTAATTTTCACAGTATTTACTTCAAATAATTAATCATTATGTTTTGTCTTTTAAACACACGTATCTGCTGTTGGACCCCAAACTGTTTGTCCATCGTTTGAGATTGTAGTGAACTCTATGTCAAATATAACAGCATCATACCTTTACATACAATGTATCATCACAATTAGGTTTATTGTTTCATTACAGTATCTGTCCTGCCTGTCAACCAGCTCATCAAATGATAAACTCGCCTTTGATGTCGGTCTGCAGGAAACAGCACAAGGTACATATATGCATATGTCTGCATAATTATGTTAACAGTTAGTAATCAGAACCTGACTAGACAAATGGTTTGTACAATTGAGACATGTTAATTGTCATTTGTACTTAAGTTTGAAATTTCAAAAGAGCATTATTCTTCGGTTTGACTGAGCTCAAAAATGTTTTGTAAATTATTAACTACTTGTCCAGACATTTTTTTTATCGAGTATTGTTCTCTCCTTAATCTTTTCTATAATGGCCTTCAAAGTATAATGGAATAACTGATGCAGGTGCTTGTTGATGGAGTTAAGATACCTCGAGGGACACTACTAATGGAGTCAAGACATGCAGACCTAAAACATTTATTTTACCTATAATTTGATTGACAACTGAACAACATAAGTATGTTACTCTGTACTTGCAGCAGCCAGCATTCTCTCAACCTCCTTTCTAAGGGAAAAGGAAAATCAATAGAATCATCTCGTTTTATCAATTTAAAACATCTACATTCGGATCATATATCTTATTGAAAGAAAACTATTTTGCAAAATTTCTTATCAGGTAAAAAACTTATCAAATTGAATAACTTCTGTACATTGTCCTGATCACTTTCCTGAAGCAGATACCTGAAATTGGATATTTCAGTCCACCAGTTTTAAACAGCATTGCTCAGATTTTTTCTATCCTTGGCAAGTTACAGTCCATCATCTGTCCTAAGACAATTATTCTTGTAACTGTTTCTCCCGAAATTAAGTTCCAGATAAATCTGTCTCAATATTATAGGTTTCCCTTATCCATATTTTTGCATGTTTGATTTTTGAGTTGATTGAATTAAGGAAGCCACTAATTGTGAAGAACTATTGGATAGATTTTACAAAAAGTTTATAAAAGTTCTGCTTGTTCCTATATATATATACAAATTAATAACATTTTCTCCTGGCTATAGGTGAGTCCTGTTGGTGGACCATCCATCCGGCCTCCAAACAGAGGTCAGAAGGTGAAAAGGTCAGGGTAGGAGATGACCTTATTCTTGTTAGCGTGTCATCAGAGAGATATTTGGTAAGTGTTGATCAAGAAGTGCACAATACTTCAAATTTATTTGTTAGAAATTGGAGCATGTTTATATGTTTTTACATTCCTGAATACCCATTGTAGAATCTGTCCTTGAGATGGTCCAACGGTATTTATATAACTTTTTTTCAAGAACCAGTAAATCTGTTCTAATTAGCTTTGCAGCCTGTAAATATGTCCAGTTTTATGTTTATGAATGATCAATGATTTTTTTTTTTAAATTGTCTTCAAAATTATTTGAATGCTCATAAATCTAATCAGAAATAAAGGAAACTTGAGTGATATTGAACTAGTTGGGGAAGTTCTTGTCCGATCCATTGTTTCATCCTAAACTGTGCTTTGTCATTTGACCTACAAACCCTAAGAGATTTGTATTGGGAAGTACAATATTAATTTTTATAGTATCAGTGAATGATAGTTCATGCTTTGGTATATGTTTCAGCACATCTATGGAGGCTCAATGGTGATAGCATCGTTCCAGCAGACATTATGGACTGTAGTACCCATGAGTTCAGGAGCAATCAGTCAGAAATCTCTAGGTAAATCTCCACATAACTAAGTTGTCATAAATTTGACATAGAGAAAGTTAAATCTTGTGACATCATTTAGGTAACATTTGGATGTCTACATAAGATTGTGTTTGTATTTTGATGATATTGATTGTAGGCCACCTAGAATGACAATGTGTAGGCAATGTTGGCAGTGCTTCCTTTATTGAAAGTGCTAGCTGTCATACAATAAATGGAAAAAAGTTTGTTTTTTAACAATAACTTAAGAGGCAACTCAAACACTTCCATACCGTTCTTCTTTAGCGGGCAACCCAATCTCTTCCATACAGTACTTCTTTACCGGGCAACCCAATCCCTTCCATACAGTACTTCTTTAGCGGGCAACCCAATCTCTTCCATACAGTACTTCTTTACCGGGCAACCCAATCTCTTCCATACAGTACTTCTTTACCGAGTAACCCAATCCCTTCCATACAGTACTTCTTTACCGAGTAACCCAATCTCTTCCATACAGTACTTCTTTACCGAGTATTCCAATCTCTTCCATACTGTTCTTATTTACCAGGTAACCCAATCTCTTCCATACAGTTCTTCTTTACCGGGCAACCCAATCTCTTCCATACAGTACTTCTTTACCGAGTAACCCAATCTCTTCCATACAGTACTTCTTTACCGAACAACCCAATCTCTTCAATACAGTACTTCTTTACCGAGTATTCCAATCTCTTCCATACCGTTCTTATTTACCAGGTAACCCAATCTCTTCCATACAGTACTTCTTTACCGAGTAACCCAATCTCTTCCATACAGTACTTCTTTACCGAGTATTCCAATCTCTTCCATACCGTTCTTCTTTACCGGGTAACCCAATCTCTTCCATACAGTACTTCTTAACCAAGTAACCCAATCTCTTCCATACAGTACTTCTTTACCGAGTAACCCAATCTCTTCCATACCGTTCTTATTTACCAGGTAACCCAATCTCTTCCATATAGTTCTTCTTTACCGGGCAACCCAATCTCTTCCATACAGGTCTTATTTACCGGGCAACCCAATCTCTTCCATACAGTACTTCTTTACCAAGTAACCCAATCTCTTCCATACCATTCTTATTTACCAGGTAACCCAATCTCTTCCATACCGTTCTTATTTACCTGGTAACCCAATCTCTTCCATACATTTCTTCTTTACTGTGTAACCTAATCTCTTTGCCAATTTTTACAGGTAATACTCTTGGAGGGGATGTAATAAGACTATTTCATGGTCATATGGATGAATGTTTAACTATACCAGAAGCAGGGAGCGAAAATGAATTTACGTAAGTATTTATGTTTATATGTTTATCAGGTAATTGAATAACAATATATCCCAGACTTTGGTCACCATAGTGACTGACACTACTGAAGAAGGCACTGCAGTTGCTGATGTCACTCAGAAGGTGTGTCATCATATTGACTGACACCACTGGTAACACAGTGATTGATGCCACCCAGAAGGAGGGTCACCAAAGTGACTAAGTCGCTGGTGATGGTACTATAGTTGCTGATGCCGCCCTGTAATAAGGTCACCATAGTGACTTATCAGTTGTGATGGCACTATAGTGACTGATGCCATCTAGTAAGAGGGTCATTATAGTGACTGAACAGTGATGAAGGCACAACAGTGACAGATGCCACCCAGTGGAAGGGTTATCTTTGTTTATGTTATGGTAACAAAGGCTATATAGAAGTGATGAGTGTTATCATAGAGCCTGAGATCACTCAGTAATTAGTGTGACTAGGTAGAGTGACAAAGTGGCAGAGGCTAGTGAGCAGGGATCATTAATAGAGGTCAAAGGCAGCATTACTGGAAAACAATTTTTTTCTGTAGCTCAGAACTTTGACTGTAACATTAGTACATCTATGATCTAAACAGTTCTCATTTGCTGTTAGAGTGTAGATTTGTGTCTCTATATTAGGCCTTATAGTATCGCTATTGGCCAAGTAGTAGACATGTATATTTGTTGTCTCTCAGTTGACTCAGTATTCTTAGAAGCAGTTTTGCCCTAGAATTAATCTGTCAATCCTCTTACAGTCTCAATCCTGTCACTCTAGATTACAAAAAACATGCTTGCCTTCAGACAATCTGGAAATTTCTGTTCCTGGAAATCAATAAATTATTGTAATATTTTACACAAGATTAGCGGAGTGCTGTATATATGTCTCCACAGTGATATCAGTCGGAACAGTAAATGTCCAGTCTGCCATGATTTGAAAATGCCTTAAAGAATGAGAGTAAATAAAAAAGGGTTACTACGTAATCTGACTGATGAGGATTTTAGTATCTATACTTTTCCAGTAGACAGGACAACAGATTGTATGTTACTTCATTGTCTTCTTATTCATCAGTGTCAAGTGCTAAAAGCTTTGGCAGTTGTTTATGACATGTATATATATGATCCATTACATTGTGAGGATATAACAGCAAGCAGTCTTGTTGATGTAACAGCCATCTCTTAGGACCCAGAAACTGTCAAATATTTCATGATGTGTGAATATTTAAAAATAAAAAGCAAGTTTCTTATTTGAGTGTAAATAGAAGATGGAATGAACTTCAAAACATACATGAGTGATTGGATGGTGCAGTGGTAACTCACTTGGCCTTGCAGTAGTAAGGTGTTTAGTTCCAGTAATAGACATGAGAAATTATTGGTCACCTGCCTGACCACATGGGTTTTCATCAAGTTTTCTGGTTTCCTCATACAATGATATCCCTAATACATTTCCAGGCCAACAACAGTGATTATTATGTTTTAGAAAAACTTGTTTCACAACTTCAAAGATAATAAAGTTTAAAACCTTAAAACGATCACTATAAACAACCTTCAGAATATACACAAAGGGACATGATAAACAGCATAAAATGCTAGACAGCCCACTGCCTTCTTTGTACCTCTCTTCTTCTTCAGAGAAAAATGAGCATGTAGCCGCTTTTGCCAAGACATCATCTACTGCTTCATATATATAATGTGGATTTTGTTTCAGAGCGGTCATGTATGAAACTGGAGCAGTATGTAGCCATGCAAGGTCACTTTGGAGAATAGAACTTATACGAACAAAGTAAGTCAAAAAACAATAAGTCCCTTGAATATGTAAGAAGATCAGGAAAACATTTATTTTGAGCCATACAGCTATGAAATGTAATTTTCAACATATTATTATTAGCAAATGTTCATCAGCTAACATACATAATTTGGAAAACAAGTTATACATGTACTTCCCTGTGATGCTTCTATCTTAATAACCAGTCGTATTATTGGCAATCTGACCGTCTCCCCAACAGGTGGGCTGGTGGATTTATGGGATGGGGACAGCAGTGTAGACTACGCCACGTGACATCAGGCAGGTATTTGGCTGTGACCAACGACAACAACGTCATCACTGTCCATAGACTCAAGGCAGACGAGAAGAGCATCTCGTTTGTATTGATGGCATCAAAGGTAAAATCATTTTTCCCTTGATATTGTTCACATCTTTATCACCTATCCTTTTGTGATGATAAATACAGATCATACTGTGTTATGTCCCTTTGTTGGTTTTTTGATATTCTGTTTCCTTTTTCATACAAGAAGTGGGTTTTTTTTTGTTTTTAAATTTTGTTTTGTAACATCAAAGTGATATAAATGTGACTATATTGACTACCTGGATATTTTTACCTTATAGGATGAGAAAAAACAAGCAGAGGGTCGTGAAGATGAAGGCATGGGAAAAGCAGACATAAAATATGGTGACTCTATGGTTTTCATCCAACACAGTGATACAGGAAAGTGGCTCTCCTACCAGACATTTGAGACTAAGAAACGGGGACTTGGCAGGATTGAGGAGAAAAAGGTTTGCTAAGATTCTTTTAAAAGAAGTCATTTTATAACTGCCATCTTTTTTATGGTCTTTGCAATTTGGTATCACCAAGATAATTATTTCCAAATAATATCCTGTGACAGACAACTCATTTCATCAGTAAAGTAGGTTGGGAATATTATGAAAGTAAGTTCTACTCCATTACCGTTACAGGCTGTGATGCTGGTTGAAGGTCACATGGATGATGGATTTTCATTGAGTCGTGCCCAAGAAGAAGAGTCCAGATCAGCCAGGGTTATTCGCAAATGTCAATCACTTTTCACAAAGTTCATCAAGTATGTACATTATACATTCTTCTGAATGATTGTATAAAAAACGTACAAGTGAATAGTACCTTTCCGTTCAACTTTAATTAGATACACTAGAACCAAACAATGAATTAAACTGCATCATACAGCTGTTTGGTCCTTCTAGGACTCGTCGATGATGCTACATCATAATGGTGGTTCATCCTTCTAGGACTCATCATTGGGCTTAAAATTGTTTTGGATCAAGAGTTCTATTTGTAATTTATCATTTCAACCTTTAAAGAAGGAAACTCATATGAAATGTCTTTTAATGGTCACAGAGTACACTTAACCTATATTTTCCTGCAGAGCACTGGACTCCCTGAAAACGGAAGGCAAGTCTAGTGTGACCTGGTCTCGAGTTAGCCTTTCTGAAGTACTCAAGTGCCTTGAAGATCTTATCGACTACTTTGCTCAGCCTGGGGAGGAGGAAGGTAAGTTTATCTAGCTATTAATTAAAATTTTTGGTAAATACAGTAATGAAAGTTACAAAATGTTGTAAAAATTTATGCTTAATTGCTTGATGGACATTGTTTCAAATTTGCTTTTTGCATTCAAAAGTTGCAATATATCAGTGCTAAGAGCTGTTTATAACATTTTTCTATGAATATGTTCATTCTTGACGAGTTGTACAATCACATAACATTACTGTTGTTTCATTGTTTTTTTTATTTTTATAATGTATAAAACTAGATTTTTGCATTTTCATTTTTCAGAACATGAAGAAAAACAAAACAAACTACGAGCTTTAAGAAACAGACAAGATCTTTTCCAAGAGGAGGTAACTAGATGGTCAACCTTCAACAGTCAAGTTTATATATTATAGTGCCTTGACATGAAATTACTTTCAAATTCAGAAGCAATTGATATTTTACTGATTTCAAATTTGTTTTTCTCTTTTAGCTGTACATCTGATACAGCAAGCTTCTGATTTCAGCTAATTCTGATTTCTGCGGACATGTTTTCATAAAATTTTCTCTTTACGTATTTCAAATTGTTTATTGTACATGCTTAATTCAGTCAGTTTTCTAAGATTGTCGTCTTTATCTGATATTGTAAAAACTAATGAGCTGTAAACTTAGGGTGTCCTATTATAATTATGACTCAGCTAATTAACCCATTCTGTTTGACTAGGGTATGATAGCCCTGATCCTGGAGACAATAGACAAGTTCAGCCAATACAAAAGTCGCCGCCATTTCGCTCACTATGCAGGGGAGGATGCTTCCAACAAGTATGAGGACATCTCCAGTTATCTCTACTTACTGCTGGGTGAGTTTGTCCACTTACTGCCCTTTGATTGTCTCTGTTTGTCGAAACACGTGTCTTTAGTCTGGACAGCTCAGACGGTTAGAGCATTGGCCTACTTGGCTAAGATGAAGATCTGTGGTGTAGAGTTAGACATTTCCTACTCTGACTGTTTGTGTTTCTCAGAAGGCTTGTCTTTGCTGACATGATTGTGTCCTTGTGTAAGATACTATATAGCTTTACCTTTATTGCTCTATATAGTATACTACAGGCCTCTCGTATGTTGTGTGAGGTAGCTACTACCAGGAAACCTCGCCTCAAAATAACCCTTGCTGTTCATGGATCGATACCCAGCAAAGTCATCAGAATTATAAACAGTAGTATACATGTTGTTATTTAAACTTTTAACTTTCTGAAGTTTTATGCTTTAGTTATTTCTGAAGGAATTTTTACCTTGTGTATGTTTTTGTTTGTAGCGGCGATGATTCGTGGAAATCGTGCCAACTGTGCACAGTTTGCCCAGTCATACCGCCTTGATTGGCTGGTGGACCGATTGGAGAGTCAGCAATCTTCCAAAGGTCAGTATACATCTCCTTTCCAGTAAATAAATGCCTTTTTTAGTGAAACTGTAGCTAAAGTTCCTATGTTTGAAATATATGAAAGCAAGACATTTGTTTAATGATAACAGGTTTGTTTGACAGCTGGCTTGTTTCCGCTTTGTTATGATGCTGTCTTGTACTTGTAGGAGTGTTAGAGGTGCTACACTGTGTCCTCATCGACAGCCCTGAGGCACTGAACATGATCAAAGAAAAACATATCAACACCATCATATCCCTCATAGACCGCCATGGCAGGGATCCAAAGGTACGCTCTCCATTAGCCCATATCTCACTGCTCATACTCTAAGCAAAAAGTCTCATTTCACCAACAGTACTTTGTAAAATGGCACTCAAAAAAATTCCATTGAGAAGTTTAAAACATGTCATTAAGATGAATGAACAAAATTAATCTTGATAATTTTACATTTGACCTTCATCTCTGTATTTGACATTGACATCAGGTTCTGGATGTGCTTTGTTCATTATGTGTGGGTAATGGAGTAGCTGTGAGAACCAACCAAAATCTGATCTGTGATAACTTGTTACCTGGCTGTGACTTACTACTACAAACCAAGCTCATCGACCATGTTAGCAGGTATATTTTTGTCAAGGGAAATAACTATAGGGAGAATAAGTGAAAAAGAGAATATAGAGAGAATGACAACATTTTAGATATCATTTAAAAGATTAAAGGAAATTGCATGTACAGTGTGATTTTATCTTTTCATACTTGAGAATGTTTTATCCGTTTCACAAATCAATTTTTGAAGTTGACATAGACACATTTTTGATACTAACATAATTTCTTATAGCTTCGTAATATGTATTAGAAAGTAAGGCATTGGAAGTACAACAAATTCTAATGTGACTTTTTAAAGATATCAGGTATTCACACTATTTCTTTATGTTTTGCGATCAGTATGAAGCCCAACCTGTACGTGGGTATAAAGGAGGGCTCGTCTATGTACAAGAGGTGGTACTTTGAGGTGATGCTGGACCACCTTGAAGTTGTATCACATGTTCCACCCTTGCTAAGAGTAGGTTGGGCAAACACCCAGGGTTTCGTTCCCCACCCAGGAGGTGGTGAGAAATGGGGAGCCAACGGGACAGGCGACAATCTGTACTCCTATGCCTTTGATGGACAAAGTCTGTGGACAGGTGAGTTTGTTTTTTGCTGTCTTTTTAGGTTTGTAGAAGTAAACTATTGACCCCTACTAAACTTAATAAGAGAATATATTAAACAAAGAAAAAACCAATTTTAATTCATGGAACATGTTCTATTGATATAAAGTTCTAAGTGAATTTCTGTAAAATAATGGCTTTCACAAACCAATTAACCAACTTATGTTTTTGACTGCTCTCATTCCACAGGTGGTCGACCAAAACTTGTGAGAGAGGGAAAATTCTTCAAACAAGGTGATGTGATTGGCTGTACCCTTGACCTCTCTTTGCCTCAGATTACTTTCTCTGTCAATGGAATCAAGGTCCCTGGAGTGTTTAAAGACTTCAATATTGATGGGCTCTTCCATCCTGTCCTATCCATGTCTGCCAGCACGAGGTAAATCACACAGAATAAGCTTCTCCGATATAAGTAATACCCATTAAAACTAGTTTCTTTATGCTGTGGCAGTTACTAATTGGGGTAATTAATAAATCAAGATCATAATATACAAATATAAGCTCAATGGTGGCAAAGGAAAGTTGAATAACATTTATTTCTTTGAAGAAATCCAGACATATGATTTAATTAATCTTTCTCTTGGCATCGACGTGTCTTTTTGGATACCATTGTCATGTATATGGATGCTTTGTGTTACAGTTGTCGGTTTTTACTCGGTGGTGAGCATGGACGCCTGAAATATGGTCCCCCAGACAATCACTCCCCAATAGTGGAGTGTCTCCTCCCCAAAGAAAAGGTCAAAGTTGAACCATGCTTCATGTTTGGGGAAGTCCACCGTAACGTCATCTCTGGCCCTACAGAGATCTGTGAATACTCACCATTTGTGCCAAACCCTGTGGATACATCAAATGTAAGTGTATATTGATATAGGGACCTCTCTGTTCACCATGGATAATACTGAGTTGAAGTGTGGTTTATATCCACCAGTTAAAACTACTAGGTGTCTTTATCCCGTACCCTAATTGTTGAATATATTTTGTCATATACTATATCGGTTGAATGTGAGATCAGTTTCAGTGGACAGAACACTGATAACCATCTGTGAGATGAAACCTGGTGACAAATAGAATCATGTAGTGGAAAACTCCACAGAATTTTATTACATTAAGTGCTTGGATCCCAAACTCTGAGCTTTAGGGGAGGTATTTTCTGTGAGATCATTTTTCTATGTAAAAGTGGCAATACATTTCTATACTTCATGATCACTGTAATGAATCATCAGAAAAAGCAGCCTTAATTGAAATTCTTGCACTTAGAAATATTTTCATATGATCTGAATGATTGGTTTACAGATCCAGCTGCCTGTGTATATAGAAAATGTGAGGGACAAGCTGGCAGAGAATTTACACGAGATCTGGGCCATGAACAAGATTGAACAGGGCTGGTCTTACGGGGAGGTAAATATATGTACAATATAGAACAGGGCTGGTCCTACAGAGAGGCAAGTATAATTACAAGAGAGTACAGGGCTGGTCCTACAGAGAGGTAAATATATGTACAAGAGAGTACAAGGCTAGTCCTACAGAGAGGCAAGTATAATTACAAGAGAGTACAGGGCTGGTCCTACAAGGAGGTAAGTATATGTATAAGATAGAGTAGAGCTCATACTATAGAGAATTAAATGATTAATACTTGAGTTTATGAATTGAGAATTTTACCTGATGAGTAAATATAGTATATCCTTAAAATAGCTCCGCTTGATTTTGATATATTGTAGATTTTACCACTGTTTATTCTTTTGTCACAGGTGAGAGATGATCAACTGAAGATGAATCCGTCCTTAACCAACTTTGAGAGACTTCCAATGTCTGAGAAGAAATATGTGATCACAGTGGCATTTGAGACTCTTCGGTATGTGTAGCCAGGAAACATCTTATGTTGATTTTTTTCATTTCTTAAATTTCTTCCTCCCTTTCTCTCCCTCTCTCTCCTCTCTCCTCCCTCTCTCTCTCTCTCTCTCTCTCTCTCTCTCTCTCTCTCTCTCTCTCTCTCTCTCTCTCTCTCTCTCTCTCTCTCTCTCTCTCTCTCTCTCTCTCTCCATCTCTCTCTCTCTCTATCTCTCTCTCTCTCTCTCTCTCTCTCTCTCTCTCTCTCTCTCTCTCTTTCTCTCTCTCTCTTTGGTTTTGTTTTTGTAGTTATCTATTCACTAATTTTGTTTAATATGGTATGTTACAGCACACTACTGGCCCTAGGCTACCATATCAGTATGGACCTGAAGAAAGAACAGAACAACAGGATGAAGACAGTCAAACTACCTAACAAGTCAGTCTATATCTCTAGATCTTCACTAACTTTGATCGTTCAAAACAACACAGATACCACTTACTTGATGTATTACTCTGTGTTGAATTAGCCCTGTCATAGCTGAATGGAATAAAAATCAAAATGTTGAATCAACATATCCAATAATTTTTTTATACAAACATGTAGCACTTGATTAGATGTGAACCTGAAATAAAAAATAGGAAACAAACATCCATGTAGTACTACACCAGGCCTTTCAGTTGTCAGTGGCCTTTTCTTAATGAAATTTTATAGCACCACAAGAATGTATATGAAATGATGTTAATTTTATTTTCAGCTTTTTACAGTCAAATGGCTATAAGCCAACACCCTTGGATCTGGCAGCTGTAGACATGGACCCTACCATGGAGAATCTGGTGGACATGTTAGCTGAGAACACGCACAATGTCTGGGCAAAGGACAGAATTAAACATGGCTGGACATTTGGCTGGCAAGAGGTATAAAAATCCTTCAGGCTAGACAAGCATTCTGAAATTTAAAAAAAAAATAAAATTGTAATACCAGCTGAATGTTAATCTTATTTCTGCTGAAATCAAACCCTTATTTATCTTGTGATTTTATTTATTATCTATACAAGGATCCACACACCAAGAGGAACCCTCACCTGGTACCTTACAGTAAAGTGGATGACAACATCAAAAAGGCAAACAGGTAGTTTATCAGTCATATTCTCTAAACACACTAGTATAATATCAAAAGAAGAAAAAAAACCCAATTGTAATGATTTTATTGCAAAAATCTGATTCACCTGTCTTGACAGTTGTTTGCTAACAAATGTTATCTTTCTCTTGATTCCCTTCATTTGATATCTGCGATGTAAGGTTATGGTTTTCAGACTCCGATGTATGTCTGTTGTCGAGATTAGTATCATGGTATCAAATGATGTCACTGACATGGCGTTGTACACGTTAGTATTACAGTTCCACAGCTAACATAGATAAATGTTCCCCAATTTATGTTTATGTGTATTATGTTTTTTATTGAATGACGTATCCAGGGAGACAGCCAATCAGACAGTGCGTACCTTGCTGGCTTACATGTACAGTTTAGAGCCACCGACCAGCGAGACCGGCGAGACGGGTATGACAGGTTTGTGTTGCAGCTTATGCTTCAACTTACACCCACAAAAATCTCCAGACCCTGGTCTGTACATTATATCTGTGATTACAGTCATATAAATGCTTAATTTGATTCAAAATTTTCAAATTTACATCCTGTAGAACTTGGTCTGTCCTATTTTATTAAATTTTTCCCCCAATAATTGCTGTTTCTTCGATGTGCATATTCAGAACCTTTACCAATTTTTTTATCGCAAACAGAAAGGATTTTAAAAATTTTGCCTTCCAGAATCCAGTGGGGTTGAAAAAGTTCAAGCAAGTTTTTTAAAATCTTTAGTTTTGTGGAAAAGAAAATGGTTACAGAAAGTGAATACCACTTTGGTCAAGTATTTATCATGAAAACTGTCTTAAAACATATAGATTATTTTAGAAAAAAATGATTCTGGCAAGGATTTGATTTGATGATTTTCGTTAACTATTAGTGGAGTTTGAAAGTGGAATAGGACTGCTCCCAGTAAAAAATTCCCATTAAATATTATGGGACAAACCTTTGTAAGAATAACATATGTTCAGAGATATCTTCTTTGCAAATAAAATGTGACAGAGATGATCTTTTGGAATCATGTTTGAATCAGTAAGTACAACATAATCAGATATAGTGTGGATTTTTAAACAAATAATACACTTTGTGGCTGCAATGCTAGCTCTGTCTATGCCAGACATTGCTCACCTGTATTTAACAATGATTTTCAAATGCACACATACATTGTGAGGCTAAACAATAGATAATCACAGATTTACTGACCTGCTGATGGATATGACTAGCGCTACCTCCAATGTGTTCACCGAGTGATTGGGAGTTGATTGATTAACCCTGCCTTATCATTCCTGCTGTAAAGCAATATCGACCATTTTCACCTCATCATTATCCAATATAGCACCTGCTGTATTGCAAATAAATGATTTGGAAACCTCAGCACGCTCAAACTGTCCAGTAAAACGCTGCTATTATTCATATACAATTTGTACCCATATATATACATATATATATATAAACCTATTTGGCTGATTGATGGCTTGTTTAGGTGTTTGTAAATACTTGAACCAAAATAATTTTCCTGACAAAAATTTTGTGATGTACACTGGCTATTTATACAGTATATATATTCCTATATAAAACAGCATGTATGATCTGTTTGAAAAGCTTTTACTGTATGTATAGAGACTTTTGCTTGCTTTAATGCTGCTCTTAGGGAGTAAATTATTTAATCACTTGGCCAGTCATGGACATCGGAAAGGTAGGTCTACTTAATAGGATTAGCTAATATCAGCAGTGCACTAAAATCCAACTTAAGAGTGACAATAATCTCAAAACTTAAATATAGTATGGCTGCTATGAATTTCTTACAAACAAATCAGCATGTTTTTTTAATAGAATCTTCTACTATAAAGTCATACAGTGTGTGAAATCGTATATGTATCTGATAATTTTCTGATAGTATAAATGTTATTGTATAGTTGTTGGTATATGTTGTAGTGGCGACCTTGACAAAATTTAATATTGTTCTGAATCTCTTTAAATCATTCTTTAAACATGATTCATTGTTATAATATATAATTATAATACATGTGGTAGCAATGATCAGAATAAGAAGGATGAAATACACTTCTCTAGGTAAATCATCTTTAATGAACATTCATGCTACAAGCTAAGACATGAACATCAGACATGCATTTTTTGGCGAAAATTTCATGATAAATATTAAATCATATTAATAACGAAGAAAAATATTGTGTTGGAGGAGACATTTTGACATACTGTAAATAATTTTTGTATGGTTTTTATTGAACAGCCGTGAGCCAGGACACTCCCAGTAAACAGGTGACAACGAGAACATATCGTGGGGAGCTGACATATACTGTCACGTCAGGCAAATGGTATGTTACCACTTCTCTCTCTAATAGTTATCATAGGATTGCCTGTATTATTTCTACCCTGTTTGACACAATATATATATGTAATAGTGATACTTAGTATAAAATAAACCTTAAAGTCTATGAAAAAAATATTTCAAAGTTATATGATAAGTTAGATGGAAAATTTGAAGGCTTACAATTGGATTGTCATTGAAAAATCAGTGAGGTTTCTGAATGCAACCTTGATCATAGGATTTCACTGTAGATGCTGTAATATTTATACATGGATTGTTTTTGTATAAAGGTACTACGAGTTTGAGGTGATAACTCCAGGCTACATGAAGTGTGGATGGGCTAAAGCCTTGGCAGACCCCAGTACAGAAATTGGATTGGATTGCACATCTTATGCTTTTGATGGATTTTCTGTAAGTTTTGTTTTTCTTTTGCCATTTGGATATTTCATTTCTAGATCATCTGTTGGTTCAGAATCAGTAAAATTTGATAATTTGAAATTTGAGAATATAGGAAATTCAGAAGTAAGCTATATGGCTCTGTCCTTGTTTGATAATTTAGGAGTAATTATATTAAACTTTGACGTAAGTTTTGTGCGATTCTGTTGTCACAGGGATGTAAATGGTACCAAGGAGCAGAGCAGTACGGCAAACATTGGGCCCAGGGTGATGTGATCGGCTGTATGTTAGATCTGCAGGATAGGACCATCAGTAAGTAGTGGTAAAAAAATGTCAGGCATTGAAACTTAATCATTGTTGTTGGACGAAGATCTCCTTAAAAATGAAAACGTAATGTATTTGTAGACCTTAATGAGTGATATTTTGTCTGTGACTTTGTAGCATTCTCTCTGAATGGAGAACTGATGATGGATTCCCTGGGCCAGGAGATCGCTTTCAGAGGAATTGATTGTGATGATGGATACATTCCTGCTCTTACTCTTGGCTGTCATCAGAAGGCCAGACTCAATTTTGGGCAGGTAAGGAGCTAAAATGACTTGTATATTTTGGTAAGGTAAGAACGAACAGTACCAATCAACTTAAGACTGTAAGGAACTGCAAAGACAGATGATTTTGTATAGGTAGCAAACCAACAAAGCCAATTAATTTTGGATTGATGAGAATTATTTTCATATTGGTCAAGAAAATAATCCCAGTGACTACAACAGGTAAATGAGTGTTTTTTCTGCCTGTATATACTGGACATGTTGAATCTAACATTGTTGATGAGTTTTGCCAATGATAGCAACATTTTATCAAAGTAACATGCCCACATTTATTTTATATTTTAGGATGTGAACACACTGAAGTATTTTACTTACTGTGGTCTACAGGAAGGCTATGAACCATTCTGTGTGTATGTATATCTGCTGGTGTTACTGACAGTCCAGATTGTTGTCACCTATTCATTTTTTTCCTACTTTTTAAACATTTTTGTAACGTCACAACAACAATATCAGGTTTAATAGAATGCAAAGAAGTAAGTTTTTAGGTCTTCTTTGACAAAGTCTTATTGTGACCTATTGTGATCGCCTTTTGCCATGTGTCATGTATGCATATACATGTACTTGTAACATTTTTGACTTCTTTAAAATCCCTGATCCGATCAATGAAATTTTGCAGCAACATTCCTATGCTAAAGAGGAATCAAAATAACAAATTATATGGTCCCTACCATGTGATCATCAAGGCTGATAGGCCTCGAGTTTTAAAGTTGAAATCACAAAATTTATTTTGAAATGTTTCCAATATTTACATCAACAGGAACATGACTAGAAGAATGACACTGTGGTATGGGAAGGAACAAGCTATTTTTGAGTCTGTTACTCCTACTCACCCAAGCGTGCAGGTCCAGAGGATTCCTGGCGGGTAAGTATTATAATATCAAGTGTTACGGGGTCAAAGGTTTTAGCTGTTGTAAGGTCAGTGTTGAGATGATACAGAGTCAAGGTAATGAAACCAGGGTCAAAGGTTTTAGTTGTTGTATGGTCAGTGTTTAGGTGTTACAGAGTCAACATAATGAAACCAGGGTCAAAGGTTAAGTATTAATGGGTAATAGGTATTTAAATGCTACAGAATCAGATGGTGGATGTTACAGGGTCAATGTTTTTTTGTGTTACAGGGTGAAAAGTTTGGAGTTAAAGAATCAAATGTTATATATTAATGGCTGTTAAGGTGTTGCTGGGTAAGAAGTAAAGAGTTCCTAGGGATCAGAGTTGACATGTTACTGTGTCCTAGATTAATTGTTACATGATCAAGTGTTGTTGGGTTAAAAATAATTCATTGTATGGGTCACAGGCAAGTTTTCAGTTTGTCAGTGGTATGTGTTAAGGACAGGATAGAACTGTGGGGTCAGGGTTATGTAAAAACTAGATACTATGTACACTCTTACAAAATAATGAAATGATGATAATATGTTGTTAGTACAAGCAAGTGAATGTGGACTTTTCTTTTTTACAGAGCTAATGTAACACCATGTCTGAAGGTAATGTCCAAGACTTTTGGTGGTTTGGAGAAGGTACACCTGGAGTATCTACGACTGAGTCTACCTGTTAAATGTCATGACGAGTTTGTCCCTAGGTAAGTCATCAGAGAGAAAGGAATGGTATCAATGAAGACAAGGTCATCAGGAATGCTGATATCAAAATACTGTAGGAATTGTCATTGTTCCAAAAATCATCAGAGAAATGATCAAGTTCAAGGTGTTCAAGGTCAAAGTACAAAGGGTTAGATATGTGTATCTGAGGGGGAATATCTGTATAGTGGTGTATGGTCTTTAGAGAAATGGCTGAGGACAAATCCAGTCATCAGCAGAATTATCAGACATTGTTTAGAAACTTTTATTTGAGTGGAAGTTCTATATCAACTGCATTGCTCTCACACCCCATTTTGGGACTGGGGCCCGGAGCCCTTAGAATTGGGAAAAATAGCGGCGTTTTTCTTAGAATTGGGAAAACTTGGGGTCTAAATTGGGAAAAAAGATACTATTTTGCACTGGGAATTCGGCCCCAAATCTGGCAGATCGAGAGCCCTGAAATATGCCTATTACATAAATAATTCCTTTTCATGCTCACAGATGTTTGTTTTGAAGCTAAGGATGATCTGTAATGATACATTAACAGGGACCGTACCAGTGGCTATCCAACCTCTTATGAGAGGAGGATGAACCTGGAGAACATCCGTCACCATGAGATGGACATCGAAGAGGAGCACCATGACGACTATTACCCAGGAGAGGAGTCTAGTGATGCTAACATCAGTGAGGGCTCGTTAGAGCGACGCAGCAGACTAATAGCAGGTAAAGGTGAACAGATATTGACCCAGTGATCAGTATGGTGCCAAAGAATCAGGATTATTAAAAAAAAATTCATGAAATGTGCAGAATTGTTTGTATTTGCTTATTAAAATATCATCGTCCATTGCAAATTCACTGAATGCTTTTGATCATAAACTTCTTTGAAATTCTATAACTTAGTTGTTGAAGTTGATGCATTATAATTTAAATATTGCTACTGTTAAAGTTACTGACTTCTGAAATGACTGATGATAAATATCAGTGATAGGAGATTTAGTAACAAATTAATGAATAATCTAACGGGTTTCAAGATATCATGGACTTTGAATTTTTTGTTTTTGGTGAAGATTGAACTATACAATTTTATTGTAGTGATTATTAACGTATGTTGTTTAGAGGTTGGCATGGATTCATAACTACTGACCAGATTTTGACTAGCTTATAGTGTAGATGCTTTATAATCAGATTTAACATTGCTATACATTTATATACTTAACTAGCATCAGTACAGTGTAGACATTAACCTGCAGCCAACTCTTTCGAGAGACCAGAGTCGGACACGTACCTCTTTAAAGAACAAAACAACATACATTCTGCATGATATTTCACAGTCATCAGAACATTTCCTTATATACCAATAGAATTTAAGATTCACGTTGCTGAACAGTTAATCTTGGATTAAGTGATTGAAAAAACTTGATGATCATGTGACCTGATTTGAGATGGACAAAATTGCTCTATTGGAATGTGTCATCACTTAGAGGCTGCATGCTAAGCATGGTTTTATCTTCACACAGAGGGTAAGCAGAGGGTAGGGGATATTAGTCCCACCAGCAGTGGCGGGATGGACCTTCCAGGGTCAGCCATTGTCAACGGGAATGCCGGGGATACCACACCCATGGAAGAGAAATCCCTAAGTCATACTGGGGATTCTAAGTCCCAGACAACCACCTCTCGTAAGTCTGGGTTGCCCCCTCCTGTTTCCATACAGCCATTGTGGTATAAAGGGTTACCACCCTTCCTTGTCTGTCATCTATCCTGATAATCCCAAATTCCAATCTGACCAAGCGATTTGAAGTGAAAGTTCCTCTGTAGACAAATCCTCATCTCAGTGAAGAGTTATCCCCTTTAATCTATCTGAAAAGTAGCTTTTGGTTCTGTTGTATCCATCCACTTACCTGGTAATCAATTCCTGTCTGTGTTTTAGTTCATGAATTCTCAGATACATCCATTGCATTGTTGACTTTGATCCTGTGTTCTAGTTCATGAACTGTCTGACACATCCATTGCATTGTTGAATTTGATCCCGTGTTTTAGTTCATGAACTATGCAATGTGTGCATTATGGTAAAACACATTAAACCTGCTTTTCCTATTTGCTTGCTTTATTTTAACAATAAAGTACGGCCCTTTAGTTAGTGGACAGAGGATAGAGTCCAAAGGGAATATAGGTTTTCTCTAAAAGACTACTTTCAAGTTACTGATGTGGTGAATTTCACCTGACATAATCCATCAAACCTTAACAGAGGTACCTAATCCTATAGATACAAAGAGCATGACAATACTGCTGACAGCCTGTCTTTCAGTATTGATGAATTGATTCTAAATTTCTTTGCCATGGTCATCTTTAGGTTAAGAAAATTGAAAGGTCTATAATAGATGTAGCTTGGTGGTGCAGATTGATGGGCCTTATATCTGAAAGTGGGGTTGATCTTTCAAACACTACACTACCTTTAAATGAAAGGATTTCAAACTTACAACTTGGCCCTTAAAATGGGACTTGTATATAAATTTACTGAGTACCATGTGGCCATAGGTTATGTACTCAATTATATCTAAGCCTAATTGAGACCTACAAAGGAGAGTCCAATGTGTGAATAGGTAACATATGGCAGATATTACTAGTACTACTGTTTGGCTCGTGCAAAGTGATGTTCTCTTTATTCTGAAAATAATTAAGATGAGGGAATGATATGATTGCTAAATAGAGCTGTAGATCTAATTTAGGGCAGAGGGCAGGGCTTTCTTTATTGGAAAACAAAAAAAAAGAAAATTACTTTTGTTTCTCAAAATCTTATTTCAATCTCAGTATACCAGGTGATTAACACAGACCAGATGAACCTGCTGTCTTGTTTCTTATATGTAAACATACTAATCAGATAGCCATCTTACACACTATTAAATTGCATTATCCACCTTCCTGTAACTCACCCTGCATTGTATCCTATAAGTTATAGATAGGGAAGACCTAGTTCAGAAACCCTACACTAATATCATACATATAAGTTTGGTGACAAGTTCTAGCATACTATTTAATACTAACAGCACTTATAACATGTAAATCCATGGTACATTATGTAAGATCTATGGTACCAGTACTTAAATGATGTTTATGGTTTCACCAGACGATGAGGAGGAGGACTATACTCCGAGAAGGATGCTGAACGGTGGTCCAGACATCAGGCTTCGCAAGAGTAAGAAAGCATAAGGAATTCTCCTCTTGGTGTTGTAAAGTAGTGATCTGTTACTAGGATTATTTTGGTTTACCCAACAATTCTTATTCCCTTGGTATATAAAAGCAATAATAATTATTGGGTTGTGGCAATTATATATGCATGTTTCCATTTTTTTATGACTTTATGTTAAAGAAATTGCCAATAGTCATATATTCTGTCAACTTTAGACTAGTATGTATTTCAACGACTAGTATTTCATCAATATTTCCTTAAAAAATGTTTTCATAAAAGATTGCTTTTACAATAATGAATGCTGTGTCTTTATCATACGGGTGCCTTTGATAGTACTTGGGCATAAACTTGATGAGTATTTTACAGGGTGTGAGTAGATGGGTGAGTGGGGGGCATGACTTACATGAATGCTGGTACCTATGTAAGTCTGTCATGTCCTGTTCTGTTCATGAGAACCTCTCTTAGGATTTGGTTTAGGATTACCCTATAGCATCGTTATATCAAGGTCTACACCTGATCAGATTCTGGTTTACATAGGAGCAGGGGCATTCATAGCTTATAGTCATATTCTAGTTTAGTAAATCCTACTATAGCATTATCCACCTAATTTAAGAAGCACAATTTATACCTGATACTAGGAATTGTAGTATAGATTCTGGGGGACAAAATAGATATAAAACTTTAACCTCTTTCAATCGAATACAGCAAATGCTTTTACATGTGTGTGCATGGTGAATCGTTCAAGCATGGACCCATGTCAAATCTTGGATGTGTGACAAATGTATCGGTGCTCCAAATTGAAGGAGAAAAGTATGACTTTGTAAATTATATTGAACAGATAACAGCATTTTGTATTGATGATCATCCATCCATAGACTCGTATATGTAAAATTCAATTCTGTAAAGGTAAGTTGTAAATTAATGATGTCAGGATTATCATTAATCACAGAACTAAAACCGGTTTCTGTTCTTAATCAAATCTTTATGTATTTTACATTTAAAAGAATATATTGTTTGATTTTGGATAGATTATGTCCTCCTGTTATACTTCACAGCTATGCAGCGAGGGTATGATGACGACATGCGCGCAGGTAATCGTCGCAAAAACTTCTCCAAACAAGAAGGTCGAGGGCGCTCTTTGGATGAAGCTCATCCAGATGATCGTGCCACCACTGGACTCAAAACAGCTGTTAGTGAATCACAGCTTAATGGAGACCAGAGCAGTGGTCTGCTTGTTCCAGATGAGAAGAAGTCGTCCTCGAAGTTGTCTTTACTTGGTGACAAGCTGATAGACACTGCCAAACAGCTTAGTGAAAAGAAAGCCAAAAAGTCTAAGTCACCCTTTGGAGCATTTTTGAAGAAAGCACGTGACATTTCTCCTCAGGGTTCAAAACGTACTCGAAGTGTGGAGTATGGCAGTCTGGACAGGAAGCAAATGCCTGGTTATCAAATGCAGAAGGAAAAGAAACCGAGTCCTCAGCCACGGTCACAAACTCTGCCACCATCAAAGACAATAGATTCCATGACAACAGATGGAGACACACCCACCTCACAAGGACCAGTAATTAACATTGAGGCACCAAGAGGGATCATTCCGTATGAGTTCCAAGATGCAATGGGCAAACGACACATGTTTGGACGTGATTTTACAGGAAGTGAAGGCTCTGACCCAGACAATTCTGAAGGTGACCTTCAGGAATTAATGGCTATTGCTGACACCATTGATGAGTACAACTTTTCTGTGAGAATATTTCCTGGCCAGGATCCTGCCCAGGTGTTTGTGGGTTGGGTCACTCCAGGATTTCATTTCAATGAATCAAACTTTGAGATGAAGAAGACACGTCATGTTGTCCTTTCTGTCCTTGATGACAACTATGCCATAAAACAGAGGTAAATTTTTCACATTTTGATCAAAAGTTTGAAGCAAAACTCTTGTTAAAATTTTTCTTTTTCACAGAAGACATTAAATGGACATTGGTTTTCTATGTTAACATTTTTTCAAGACGTCTTTTATCAGTTCAGCATCAAATCTTGCTTTTGCCAATTTCATGGGGATGATGAATTGAGTTGCTCTTCAGGCAAATTTAATGAACGCTCAGTAGCCTATGTATCCATGGCATGAAGAGTTAAGTTTAAAAACAGTTCTGTATCAAAATCACTCAATAGATGCTCAGTAGGAGGTTGAACAATTTTGTAGCAGATGAGTCCAATTTGAGCAGAAATTGAAGTGTTACTTCTTTCTAAAAAATAGCAAAAATAAAGAAAACCTTTGAAATAAACTCCTTTATATTATAGGATAAAAATAACCTAGGGTTAAACCATTTCACCTGTTCGATGTGATGCATGGCAAAAAGAGTATATTTGAACCATTTTATGATCTGGTGTGTATAGTGTCTCTTTGATAAAGCTGTGCTGTGATTCTTTACTTTAGTGTGAGCCGTAAGAACACCTACATGATATCTGCTGGTGACCTTCAGCAGAGGTACGGAGGGACCAATCAAGAGATGTCTTCCAAACGGTCCTCCCCTGGACTTGTCATCGGCTGTTATATCGATATATCAACTGGTGTCCTCAGCTTCTCAGTCAACGGAAAAGAGGTGGCCAACAAATACCAGGTATGGGCCTCCTTGTGGTGGTAGACAGGACATGTGTATGAAGCTGGTTTAGTTATTGTCATGCTGCAAACTTTCTCTGATACCACATATAAAACAAACAGACATCAGTACTCCATCCATCTCTATCATGAAAACCATGAATTATATGACAGTGTTTTGAATTACAATACCAGGTTTAGACCTTCATGTGGTAGACAGAATATATATACTAGGTAGAGGGATACCTATACACCAGGGAGTGACCTCTCCCAGGTAGGAGCCACAATATGAAAGGGAGACATAAGCTTGCCCCACCAGTTAGCTACAAATAACCTCCTTGTGAAGCGAAGAAAATTCAAGAGCAAAAAAACGTTTAAGTGATTTAAATTAAAGATATGGTCAAATATATTGTGTATTTTACATTTTATTTGGGATATAATATTTATCAGAGAATGTTATCTATGTATACATCACGTAACAGGTGGAGCCTGGCACCAAGTTGTTTCCAGCTGTAATCTGTGAGCCCACCATCAAAGAGATGCTCCAGTTTGAGCTTGGCCACACCAAAGTAAGTATGCATTACATTTAGTCCTAATTTTGCAAGTGGGTTTGATTAAAATTTCTAAAAATATTATAAGATCTCTGCAAATACTAATCATTGTATGAGTAGATTAAATAACTTGTTAAAATAACTTATTTTTTACTCCTTTAGCAAACATTGCCCTTGTCAGCAGCTGTGTTCCGCGGCCGTAAGCAGGTGGTTCCAGCTTGCCCCTCACGTCTGGATGTACAGGTGCTGCGACCAAGTAGCTGGGCACGTGTACCACAGTCACTACTTGATATTCACACATTACGAATGTCCACTCGTGGTTACAGCATGCTGTGTAGTACACCAGAAAGTATGATGTCTTTATATATTCCGGAGGAAGACCGAAGTCTGGACATACTAGAATTGATAGAACACAAGACACTATTGGAGTGAGTCCTACTTTAGTTACCTTTGAGTGTTGATGTAGAGTTTAGGAGTTTTAATCATCGTCTTGCCTTAGCATTTCCCCTTTCCCTTTACAGTGATGTATGTGACTAAAGTTGTTTTATCCACCAATATGGATGTGCATTTGACGTGCAGGTACATGTACCTATAGCAGGGTTGTGATGAAAACTTCCTTCAAGGCTCATAGGCTTTAAAGAAAAAAAGGAATTTAGCAGGACTAGACACTGGAGGGATAAAATAGATGAGCAGGACTGGACCCTGGATGGTCAAATAGTTCATTTGGTTGAATCCCAGTCTAAGTAATAGAGGTCAATCTGGCCCTGTTTTACTGGTATCATAAAAAAACCTTCATACAAAATGTTTATATTTACTGATGACTTTTTTTAATACAGATAACATTTCAGTAAGATATAGTGATCAATTTAACATTGTCCATTGTTGTCACCTTATTCAGTTTTCATGCCAAGACTCTGGACCTGTACAACAGTGTATGTTCCCATGGTAACCACAGAGTAGCCAATGTCCTTCAACAACACGTCAACGAAAAACAACTGATGTACTGTATACAGAGTGAGAGTAAGTATCCATAGAAACGAGTTGTATACTTTATGCTCCATGAGAACCGGTAAACTGGTACATATTAAGCTTTGTATTTAATAAAGAGTTTAAATTATATTCTCACCCATTGTGAAATTGATACTAAGCAAGAATATGTGAGGGAATGACCATAAATGGAGATCAGACTTGATAGAAATTGGTCAACATAGCAAAATATTTATGTCTCCAAAGATGTAAGCTGTAATAATGTTCTCTTTAAAATGTATTTCTTGATAATATTGCTTGTTTCCATAGGCTTGTCTGGTCCATTGAGGAATGGCTATCATAACTTGTTGATCGCCATGCACTTGGAATCGCATGCTCAGTCCAGACTTAGAACAACCAATGAATTCATCATCCCACTGTCTGCACAAAGTCCCAAGTTGACTCTGTATCGTGCTGTTAGTACAGAGAATCAGCTCCATCAGACTAAACACACCATCCCAAGCATGGACAACAGTGTGTCCATTCGACCACAACTTGCTATTTCAGAAAAGGGTATTGAAGCCAGGTAAAAATGGTCATGACCTTTCTATCATGAGGAATTACACCAGTTAGAATTTGATAGGAAGACTCATAGATTTATCATCATAAAGCCCATTCAAATGCTGTTTATCTGGATAGGTAGACTTTATAACTGTCGTTCATTGGTTATAATCTTAAAACAAACCTGTGAGGAGTAAGACGATGGTACATGTAGTGTACGTAGAGACTCTGTAGGAATATCTATTGTTGTAAAATGGACTGTGATACCTGATGAATGTTGAAGAAAATTCTCTCTCTACCCTATCATTGTACATGTAGTGTAGGAAGAGACTTTGTAGGAATATCTATTGTTGTAAAATGGACTGTGATACCTGATGAATGCTGAAGAAAATTCTCTCTCTAGCCTATCTTTAACAGCAAACAGTTGGTTAACCATTATGACATCAAAATATGTCCTTGTATTACAGTAGTTTCAATCCGGTCATGGTATATGTTGTAGGGTTAAAAGTGGTGGTAAGGATTGCACAGCTCCATACTTCCCCATGGAAAAGCTCAAGTTCTTTGTGATGAAGGCAGTGAAGGAAGCTGTACAAAATGGTGGCGCTCACGTCAGGGATCCGATTGGTGGCAGTAACGCTAATCTGTTTGTGTAGGTACCAAGGGGTCAGCCTGCAAGTAATGAGCAGGGTAAAGGGCATCTTAACATGGGTTTCAGTCTTTTATGTTGTTAAAATACCTGCCTACAGGCAATCTGACTTTGATGAATGGGTTAATATGTGTGATATATGCAGATTTACTCAACCATAGTAGTATATCACTGATATTTGCCAAAGTCATGATTCCAGCATGATGGAGAAAAAAATTGAATAAAGTTTATTTTTATGGAGATTGTCAAAGGGACCATTTCAGAACTATAACTGAATTTCTTGTTCTCAGGTTAAGATTTATATGTGGTGTTTGAAGAAGTTGTTTTAGAGTTCTGAAAGTCTTGGTGTAGGAACTTAATTAATCATCTGAAAACAATAATTGTGCACTGTATAAAGATATGTATAGTCTATCGATGGTGCCTGATACAACTATCAATTAACATTATAATATAGATTCTCATGTTGTCATTGTATTACAGCCCTCTGTTGAAAGTGATCGACCGGCTGCTTGTAATGGGCTGTCTCTATGATGATGACCTCTTGGAACTCCTTCAACTGGTCAATCCAAAGGCCTTCCCAGATATACATAGTATGTTTAACAATTACAAAATGTTCACATGAAGTATTATGCTGCATTCTTGTTCAAGTTGAAGTTATCAAATTGTCTTGAATTATCTAAAAATAGTTCAATTATAACAACAAAGAATTTTTTTTTTTCGAATTTAAAGGGCAGATTGATATTTTTTTGTTGAATTCTTGTTCTAGATTTTAATGATTTATTTTCATCACAGCTGAGAATCCAGGGCTACTTGAAATGAAACTGGATGAGCCTGTGAAATTAGAGGTAAGATTAAACAATGTAAATTGTAGCACAGTAAAACCCCACATCTTTGAACCCGTATTATTCAGATACCCCCATTCTTTGAAATGATCTCTTGGTCCCGATCATCTCCTTCTACATTTCTTGTTATCTAACCTCAAATTCCTTCTGCTGTTATTCCTCCAAAAACCCACATGCCTCGGGTTCATTTTCATCCCGTCAATGTTCATAGTATTGTAGTGAGACAATATGAAAGTATTTGTCATTATACAATGTGCTTTCTATGTTACATGTTGTAAATGAAAAAATCAGAGTGACAGTTAGTTACAGAGAGCATCATAAAAGATGTTACAGGAAGTAGTAAAATATATATAAGAATTGGCAGTGACTAGATTATAATTATTTACTTGATTCATGTGACTTAATTCTGAATTTGACTGGGCAGTATTATAATTTGATGGCTTGTGTTACTACAGATGTGTAGAATCCTGCAACACCTCTGTAACCTCCAGCTGAGACACCGGGTGGAGTCTATCGTGTCTTTCTCCGACGAGTTTGTAGGCGACTGCCAAAATGTTAGTATGACATCTGGAATTCTAGAAACAGTTCATGAACCATTGTTCTGAAAATTAAATATTTGAATTTTAGTAAATTTAAATTGCCTTTGATAAGAAATTTTAGTGAAATTTAATATTCTTATCTTTGATGACTTTTGATAGAATTGATGAAGCTGAAATTCCTTTATTAATAAGTATTAAGTTTTTGAATTGTCCTTGAAAATGTTAGACCACATTAATGAGAGCTATGACTGCTTGGTGTTGTACAGGATCAGTTGAGAAGGTACCAGGAAATCAAACAGTCCAATCTATCATCTGCTGTCACTGCCAGGATCACAAAAGAGTTCCGTTGTCCACCTCATGAACAAGTAAGAAGAGCAATAGTCAGATATGCTGTCTCTTAGTGATCATTAAATACTGCTGAATTTTATTTACTTAGTATCAGAAGCGTCCTATAGTGTTTTAGCCTTTAACACTTCAGGTTTTGAAAGTTGAATTTTGTAAGGAAGAGAAATGGATATGAACCAGTTTGTGTTTGATTGAAAAGTATTCATTTACATATTGATTGTTTGGCTCCATTAGATGAGAAATTTGCTGGCCTTCAAAACTGAGGAAGACGCTGATCCCAACATGCCTTGTCCTTGCCGAGAAGACCTGAAAGACAGACTGATGAATTTCCACAACAACTTACTGCAACACTGTGCCATGCCGAGTAAACCAGAGGATGATGAGGAGAATGGTGAGGTTGCAACAGAAGAAAGGGAACCACCACCTTCCTCAAGTGTTGGAGAAAAACTCCTTAAATTGGTATGGAAGTCAAAGGAGGAAGAACAAGAGCCAGAGGTGTCCAAGCCGAAAGATGGTAAGATAGGTAATGCATGTGTGTTGTCACAGCGATTCTTGTATACTCACCGCACGCCTTAGGTGTAGTGGTAGTTAGCAGATGTAAGCTAGCTTTGTGAAGGCCATCGCTGCACCTGCTTTGAAGATATAAACATGATCAGGCTGCTACATTCAAGTTCAGTCGAAGGGTTGGACAATCTGCACCTGCACCAGTATTTTATAACAGCTTCTAAACACCAGAGTGGTTTGGGAATTTTTTACTTATTGCAAAACCAATTAGATTGCTTTTTTTTAACTGCTTAAAATTTTGTATACATCTTTGCTCAAGATGAATAAGAAATCAACAATGTATTTTTTCTCAGTTTTCATATTTTTTAATCAGAAAAATTGATATATTTTCTGTTCTGCAAAAGTGTCATACACATTTTTTGTAAACTATATCACTTATACCAATACTGAAATTTTTCATTCACTTTTTAATAAAAGCATGTTTCAGTATCTTTTTATTTTCAACAGCAAATTAAATGGTCAGTTTTACAGAGATTTTTAACACTTTGTTCTGGAAATATAAATTTAACAGGATATCCGGTGTTGGTTACTTTGGTACTTATCTTTTGGTACTATATAATCTTTTATCTCTTTCTGTTTTGTCTTCCTTTTTTCTGTATTATTAGTAGCTTTTTCTGGATATTAGAACATACAATATAGACTTACTTTGAACTATGTTGATTTAGATCTAATAGACATTAATTTGAAACTGGAACACATTGATTTAAATCTAAAAACCATTAAATTAAAACCGTAAAACTTTAAACTGATATAAGGTTGCATTGAACAGAATCTAGAATATATTTTTACTGATACAATAACACAATAAATTACATCAAGTTACATTCTCCTGAATCTAGAACATATTGAATATTTTGGAAATATAGCTCTGCAGTGTGAATTGCATGATTTGGTAGATAATAGTAGAAGAGATCTTACTTATAAAAAACCATAGAAAGCCTATTAACATGACATATATTTGAAGTGATGACATCTTAGATATATATATTGTGGAGTTGTTGTGGTACATATATCTTAATCTAGTTGCTTAGCAATGGCTGTTTTGTTTGAAAGAAAGTGTATCTTAACACAAGTTTTCTGCTTCCAAAAAAGATAAACAATATTTCTTTTATTTTATGTCCCAATTGATAAAATTTTTTAACAAAGTTTCATTCTCTTGTTACCTTTCTTAAAAGATCCATTTGAGAGGATTAATAACACATTTATCAGTCTAAAATATTAGTCAAATACTGGATACCTTATGCTGTGTCTAGCCTATACATTGTTTGTGACAGTTGATTTGATTGGTCCTTTACAGACAGTCTTCAGAAGCTGATTCAGAACACCATGATCTCCTGGGCGGAGGAATCATTCATGACAAACCAGGACTTGGTCAGAGAAATGTTTGGCCTACTTCACCGCCAGTATGATGGCATTGGAGAGGTATGTGTAAATATTACCTATGTAGGATGAAATATAGAATTATTGTGTTTAATTCTTTATTTATAGAAGAGAAGACAACTAGAAATAAAAATTCAAAGTTACATCAAGTTTTATTTTAAACTTTGTGGCATATTTTGGTCACTGCAAATTTTACTCGTGCTGCCAAAAGGTATTTGATTAGCCTGCACAACACAAGCATCAAGTTCAAGAAATCAAATCAAGTTCGCAAGTTCAAGTTCACATGTTCAGGTTCACACAAGTCAAATTTCAACAGTTCAAGTTCATCAGTTCAAGGTTCAACAACTATAATTTGACCTTGGGTAATTGGGGAGTGTCAACGGTCAAAGTTCATCAATTGCTTTAATAAATTATTTGTCCCTGGGAACAGTGGACAAATAAGTGACAAGTAGTCTAAAAATATTATCATGGTTGTGTGCTGTGCAAATGCCAAATGACCAAGACTTGTTATAAACATGACTTGGCCACTGCCACACATACTTTACAGAAATAAGACATCTTCTATTTGCAAGATTTAATGATTTGATTTGTTAACATTAGTAAATTTCATGTTTTATTACTATACATGCTCTGACTGCTGTGAGATCAAACAGCTGAACTATGATAGCAGATGAAATGTACACCAAGACATTTTCAGACATCATTCATGTTTTTATCTCTTTATATTGAGCACTACTACCATATTGATATGAAAAGTTTTTTCGCTTAAAATTTGATTAAGGAATAATTGAAACTGTCACCTCAGCCATGTTTTTAAAGTAGCATTGAGTTCTGCTGAATCTAGGTTGATGTACTATAGATACTATATGTTATGTTTACAGCTGAATACAGCCTTGGACAAAGCCTATGTAATCAGTAGTGGCAGTAAAGAAGATATTGACCATTTGTTGCACTCTCTGGGTAACATTCGTGCCCTTCTCTTGGTGCAAGCTGGCCCTGATGAAGAGGAGCTGATGAAAAACAGCCTCAAGTAAGTTTGTCCCCAGATCATGATAAAACCTGAAAGTGTGTGAAGGATTCTTTGTTTGTCCAAAACACTGGGTTACTAGGGAGGCACTTTACTAAATCTTGACAATACTGTTCAATATTACCTATATATTAAACGAAACCTTAAGAATCTCTAAATCCTATACACTATATTAGACAAATATGCCTTCTTCTACAAACCCTTGGTTGTCTTTCTTCCCTCACAGGGACCTGATGGACAACAAAGTGTTTTTCCAGCACCCTGACCTGATGCGTGCCCTCTGTGTCCATGAGACCGTTATGCAGTTGATGGTTAATACACTCAACAAGGCCCAGCAGCAGCAACAGTCTGCTACTAGTGGTGTGGCTGAACTGACCACGACCCAGGGCCGGCGGTCATCCTTCATCCCAGCAGGCACAATGGACAGCTTGGCGGAACATACTAAGGTTAGTGAGGTTGGATTGGAATCGTGTCAGAACATTTGGGTACTACACAATTAACTTCTTTTAATATTTAAATTTGTAATAGTCTTTTTTTTTCACATGAACACAGTTACCATATGATCTATAAGTAGATATCATGCTAGCTTGACTTTGTCTCCACTGTCCTCTTGTATCAATTCAACCGTAAACAAAAGCATATCTCTGAACTCTAGAATAATCTTCAATACGAACAGATTTCTCTCTGGTTTGATGAATTTACACAACAGTGTAAAATGGCAGCCATATAATTTCTTCTGCAGTTTCCATTATATGAAGACTCATGACTTAACTACTGTAAAATTAAATACTTTCAGGAGACTCAATTTTCACAGTTTAAAAATAGCAACTATTTCACAGACACTTGATTTTGTTGATAAATGTAGATCAGTAACTCCTCTTATTACATATTTAACAGTGAACTTATGATTTTAGTTACAAATAGAACCCTCAAGATCAATTGAAATAAATCCTCCACCAAAATATATATATACTGTAGCACTAAGAGATCTGAAACCTGTTTGAAAAATACATGTAAAAGCTACCCTACCTGTAGCAATATGAATAAACATAAGTGAACATGATGTTACAGGTGAGGGATCTTTTGTGAATGGTTGAGTTGATGATAGATTCATAAGAAAACTTTATTGACATATGCATTGTGTTTCATCGAGTTATGTTTGCATTTTGTTATCAAGAGATTGTAGAATTGTTTTGTGATCTGCATTGAGTCTGCTACAGTCAGCGATCGCTTTTTTTCCTTGCTACTGACCTGACCAGATCTTTGTACCTTAACATTCTAACATTGCTTTAATACATGTTGATGCACATTTGAGCTTATTTGTCCAAACGTTGGTAGAACTACTCGTCGTCCCAGACTAGGACAGTATTCAGAAAACCTGCGTATTGATTAAATTTGAGACAAAATTTTCCCTTTACTAATGCTGTAATGATTTAGGATATTTCCAGTCACACTTGTATATCTTCTAGATTGATGCATGACTTCTCTTTACTAATTTCATCAGCCTAGTAGCACTTTTTACTCTAATTGATAATATTCTTTATATTTATGCACAGATTCAAGTGTGTTGCACATGAAAGTAATATGTTTTTCAGCATAACAGTATTTTCTTACAGAAGTGTACTTGTACTTGTGGATATGCTAGAATTCCTGGACAAAATATGAGTTTTGTAAGGAACTATCTAGTGTGAGTGATTCCAGAATTCTTGCCTTATATGTAGGTTCATTGGTACATTTGAGATATGTGTGATGTGATCAGGTATTGGGCACATGCATGAGTCTTACCATTTTTCTCACACACATGCAGTCAATGCAGGAAATGAAGAAGAAATTCTGGGTAAGTGGTTACCCTGTCATCCACACACTCCAATACTCCAGATTTTATCTCCAGAAGGTTACTTTAAACTGTCCAAAGTGAGACAGGAGAACTTGTAATACCTTCAGCTATATGTAGTGAAAAAGTGTTTAAAATCAGGAATTCTAAATATTTGAGTAAAAAAAAATTGACGTTTATACTGGACGGCTTCTAATGAATCATATAGATTAACAAAGTAAACTTATTAATTAAAGAGGCACCTGTGTATACAGTCATCAGTGTAAACTTGTAAATTGGAGAGGCTCGTGTGTATACAGTCATCAGTGTAAACTTGTAAATTGGAGAGGCTCGTGTGTATACAGTCATCAGTGTAAACTTGTAAATTGGAGAGGCTCGTGTGTATACAGTCATCAGTGTAAACTTGTAAATTGGAGAGGCTCGTGTGTATACAGTCATCAGTGTAAACTTGTAAATTGGAGAGGCTCGTGTGTATACAGTCATCAGTGTAAACTTGTAAATTGGAGAGGCTCGTGTGTATACAGTCATCAGTGTAAACTTGTAAATTGGAGAGGCTCGTGTGTATACAGTCATCAGTGTAAACTTGTAAATTGGAGAGGCTCGTGTGTATACAGTCATCAGTGTAAACTTGTAAATTGGAGAGGCTCGTGTGTATACAGTCATCAGTGTAAACTTGTAAATTGGAGAGGCTCATGTGTATACAGTCATCAGTGTAAACTTGTAAATTGGAGAGGCTCGTGTGTATACAGTCATCAGTGTAAACTTGTAAATTGGAGAGGCTCGTGTGTATACAGTCATCTTGTAAATTGGAGAGTGTGTGTATACAGTCATCAGTGTAAACTTGTAAATTGGAGAGGCTCGTGTGTATACAGTCATCAGTGTAAACTTGTAAATTGGAGAGGCTCGTGTGTATACAGTCATCAGTGTAAACTTGTAAATTGGAGAGGCTCGTGTGTATACAGTCATCAGTGTAAACTTGTAAATTGGAGAGGCTCGTGTGTATACAATCATCAGTGTAAACATATTATTTATAGGAGAGGCTCATGTGTATACAATCATCAGTGTAAACTTATTCATTGGGAGGCCCCTGTGTATACAGTCATCAGTGTAAACTTGTAAATTGGAGAGGCTCGTGTGTATACAATCATCAGTGTAAACATATTATTTATAGTAGAGTGTAAACTTATTCATTGGAGAGGCCCCTGTGTATACAATCATCAGTGTAAACTTATTCATTGGAGAGGCTCGTGTGTATACAATCGTCAGTGTAAACATATTATTTATAGGAGAGGCTCATGTGTATACAATCATCAGTGTAAACTTATTCATTGGGAGGCCCCTGTGTATACAATCATCAGTGTAAACTTATTCATTGGGAGGCCCCTGTGTATACAGTTATCAGTGTAAACATATTATTTATAGGAGAGTGTAAACTTATTCATTGGAGAGGCCCCTGTGTATACAATCGTCAGTGTAAACTTATTCATTGGGAGGCCCCTGTGTATACAGTTATCAGTGTAAACATATTATTTATAGGAGAGGCTCGTGTGTATACAATCATCAGTGTAAACATATTATTTATAGGAGAGGCTCGTGTGTATACAATCATCAGTGTAAACTTATTCATTGGGAGGCCCCTGTGTATACAGTTATCAGTGTAAACATATTATTTATAGGAGAGGCTCGTGTGTATACAATCATCAGTGTAAACATATTATTTATAGGAGAGGCTCGTGTGTATACAATCATCAGTGTAAACTTATTATTTATAGGAGAGTGTAAACTTATTCATTGGAGAGGCCCCTGTGTATACAATCATCAGTGTAAACTTATTCATTGGGAGGCCCCTGTGTATACAATTATCAGTGTAAACATATTATTTATAGGAGAGTGTAAACTTATTCATTGGAGAGGCCCCTGTGTATACAATCATCAGTGTAAACTTATTCATTGGAGAGGCTCGTGTGTATACAGTTATCAGTGTAAACATATTCATTGGAGAGGCTCGTGTGTATACAATCATCAGTGTAAACTTATTCATTGGAGAGGCCCCTGTGTATACAATCATCAGTGTAAACTTATTCATTGGAGAGGCTCGTGTGTATACAGTTATCAGTGTAAACATATTATTTATAGGAGAGTGTAAACTTATTCATTGGAGAGGCCCCTGTGTATATAGTTATCAGTGTAAACTTATTCATTGGAGAGGCCCCTGTGTATACAACCATCAGTGTAAACTTATTCATAGGAGAGGCTCGTGTGTATACAATTGTCAGTGTAAACTTTTTCATTTTAGAGGCTCGTGTGTATACAATCATCAGTGTAAACTTATTATTTATAGGAGAGTGTAAACTTATTCATTGGAGAGGCTCGTGTGTATACAATCATCAGTGTAAACAGTTTCATTGGAGAGGCTCGTGTGTATACAATTGTCAGTGTAAACTTATTCATTGGAGAGGCTCGTGTGTTTACAATCATCAGTGTAAACTTATTCATTGGAGAGGCCCCTTTGTGTACAATCGTCAGTGTAAACTTATTCATTGGAGAGGCTCGTGTGTATACAATCGTCAGTGTAAACTTATTCATTGGAGAGGCTCGTGTGTATACAATCGTCAGTGTAAACTTATTCATTGGAGAGGCTCGTGTGTATACAATCATCAGTGTAAACTTATTCATTGGAGAGGTCCCTGTGTATACAACCATCAGTGTAAACTTATTCATTGGAGAGGCCCCTTTGTGTACAATCATCAGTGTAAACTTATTCATTGGAGAGGCCCCTTTGTGTACAATCGTCAGTGTAAACTTATTCATTGGAGAGGCTCGTGTGTATACAATCATCAGTGTAAACTTATTCATTGGGAGGCCCCTGTGTATACAGTTATCAGTGTAAACATATTATTTATAGGAGAGGCTCGTGTGTATACAATCATCAGTGTAAACATATTATTTATAGGAGAGGCTCGTGTGTATACAATCATCAGTGTAAACATATTATTTATAGGAGAGGCTCGTGTGTATACAATCATCAGTGTAAACATATTATTTATAGGAGAGGCTCGTGTGTATACAATCATCAGTGTAAACTTATTATTTATAGGAGAGTGTAAACTTATTCATTGGAGAGGCCCCTGTGTATACAATCATCAGTGTAAACTTATTCATTGGGAGGCCCCTGTGTATACAACCATCAGTGTAAACATATTATTTATAGGAGAGGCTCGTGTGTATACAATTATCAGTGTAAACTTATTATTTATAGGAGAGTGTAAACTTATTCATTGGAGAGGCTCGTGTGTATACAATCATCAGTGTAAACTTATTCATTGGAGAGACTCCTGTGTATACAGTTATCAGTGTAAACTTATTCATTGTAGAGGCCCTTGTGTATACAATCATCAGTGTAAACTTATTCATTGGAGAGGCTCGTGTGTATACAATTGTCAGTGTAAACTTATTCATTGGAGAGGCCCCTGTGTATACAATTATCAGTGTAAACATATTATTTATAGGAGAGTGTAAACATATTCATTGGAGAGGCCCCTGTGTATACAATCATCAGTGTAAACTTATTCATTGGAGAGGCTCGTGTGTATACTATCTTGAGTGTAAACTTATTCATTGGAGAGGCTCGTGTGTATACAATCGTCAGTGTAAACTTATTCATTGGAGAGGCTCGTGTGTATACAATTGTCAGTGTAAACTTATTCATTGGAGAGGCTTGTGTGTATACAGTTATCAGTGTAAACATATTATTTATAGGAGAGTGTAAACTTATTCATTGGAGAGGCCCCTGTGTATACAGTTATCAGTGTAAACTTATTCATTGGAGAGGCCCCTGTGTATACAACCATCAGTGTAAACTTATTCATAGGAGAGGCTCGTGTGTATACAATTGTCAGTGTAAACTTTTTCATTGGAGAGGCTCGTGTGTATACAATCATCAGTGTAAACTTATTATTTATAGGAGAGTGTAAACTTATTCATTGGAGAGGCTCGTGTGTATACAATCATCAGTGTAAACTTTTTCATTGGAGAGGCTCGTGTGTATACAATTGTCAGTGTAAACTTATTCATTGGAGAGGCTCGTGTGTTTACAATCATCAGTGTAAACTTATTCATTGGAGAGGCCCCTTTGTGTACAATCGTCAGTGTAAACTTATTCATTGGAGAGGCTCGTGTGTATACAATCGTCAGTGTAAACTTATTCATTGGAGAGGCTCGTGTGTATACAATCGTCAGTGTAAACTTATTCATTGGAGAGGCTCGTGTGTATACAATCATCAGTGTAAACTTATTCATTGGAGAGGTCCCTGTGTATACAACCATCAGTGTAAACTTATTCATTGGAGAGGCCCCTTTGTGTACAATCATCAGTGTAAACTTATTCATTGGAGAGGCCCCTTTGTGTACAATCGTCAGTGTAAACTTATTCATTGGAGAGGCTCGTGTGTATACAATCGTCAGTGTAAACATATTCATTGGAGAGGCTCGTGTGTATACAATCGTCAGTGTAAACTTATTCATTGGAGAGGCTCGTGTGTATACAATTGTCAGTGTAAACTTATTCATTGGAGAGGCTCGTGTGTATACAATCGTCAGTGTAAACATATTCATTGGAGAGGCTCGTGTGTATACAATCGTCAGTGTAAACTTATTCATTGGAGAGGCTCGTGTGTATACAATCATCAGTGTAAACTTATTCATTGGAGAGGTCCCTGTGTATACAATCGTCAGTGTAAACTTATTCATTGGAGAGGCTCGTGTGTATACAATTATCAGTGTAAATTTACTATTGTTATAGGAGACACTCGTGTGTGTGCAATCATCAGTGTAAATTTACTGCTTGCCAGAGACACACATACTCGCATTAAGAGTAAGAATATTAAAGTATGTAGATCAGATAATTAGTGAAATAAAGTCTGGTTACATTGGAGTGGATGGTGGATGAAACATGATTATGTAGAGAGTTGGATATGCACATCCCAGCCATCGCCATGTATATATATTAGCCAACATTTGAAGTATCTGACCATGACTTTTGTTGTATTTGTTCCCATGGCAACCAACACTCTTGTTGTGCTGTTGTACCAGTATCTTTGTTGCCAATTCAACAGAAATGTCATATGTGGCTTTTATAAGTGAACTGATGTAGTTGTGCATATGAAATGGCTAATTATTGCTGCAGATGAAACCCTGAAATCTTACGGAATCCTGTGTGTAATATTGTACTGTTTGGTGTGGTGACCCCTTCTGTTGACCTGTTGTTTCACACCTTGTAGAGTATGCATGATGCTGCTTTATCATGTAGTAAAATATTGTTTTTTTTAATTTTTAGTTAATTATATTTTTTTTGTATGTCAGTTTGTTTCTTTTGCACATTTTTGGTTCTGAGAGATGTTACACTTGTATTTAGTGCAGTGCCTGTTTTACTCCATGTAACCCATGTATAAATCCGTTGTATCAAGGTAACCTGATATCATGTCAATGTGACCTTTGAACTATTGTAAATTTGATGTTTTCAGATTAATAATGAACTTGTAGTGACTTTCATTTAAAAATGTAGTAGTCATTGTAAATGGAAACTGCATTGGTACCTGAAATTATTGACCTTGGTTTACTTACTACTCTAAATACCAAAGTTAAAACTAATCATCCTAGCATGAAGAGCTGTTGATAAACTCTAGATATGTTGCTATTTTACAGGATGCTGCTGCTGAGATGGTGGTGATGTGCTGCCGATTCCTCTGCTATTTCTGCCGTACCAGTCGCCAGAACCAACGTGCTATGTTTGAACATCTCAGTTACCTGTTGGAAAATAGTAGCATGCTTTTAGGTAAAAGTGCTTTATTGTTACAGTTACAACATTAGGTGTTCTTCCTATCAAAGTATATTTATTATATTTAAAGACATGATGGATAAAATTTAAAGGTAACCTGAATAATGTTTTAATATATCTACCATTGACAGCTCGCCCATCACTAAGGGGTTCCTGTCCCCTGGATGTAGCCTACTCCTCTCTGATGGACAACAATGAGTTGGCTCTTGCCCTGAGGGAAGCACATCTAGAGAAAGTGGCTGTCTACCTATCACGCTGTGGGTTGCAGTCCAATGCAGAACTCTTGGAGAAGAACTATCCAGACATAGGCTGGGACCCAGTCGAGGGAGAACGCTTTATTGACTTCCTCAGATTCTGTGTCTGGGTCAATGGTAAGCTATTTTAATAACTGTGATGTTTGAGTTTCATGAATAATAAGTTAATCATTGATTCAGTATAAGGGTAAATTTGATCAATTAATTATGTCCAGTAATGAGTACATAGTGGAGGTGTTGTATGTTAAATTGTTACTATAATAGGTGATTGAATGTGGCTTGATTTTTACAGGTGAGAGTGTTGAGGAAAACTCCAACCTAGTGGTGCGTCTCTTGATCCGCCGTCCAGAATGTCTTGGTCCTGCTCTGAAGGGTGAGGGAGGTGGCCTCCTAAAGGCCATGAAAGATGGCATCAGAATGTCTGAACAGATCGCTGCAGCTCGTGATGGTTTGTCTGCTGGCTTCCTCTCAGCCTTGAATGATGATGATGACTCTGGTGGAAGATATCTATTCCAGACGTATGTCTAGTTTATATAATAAGTATAACATTTAAAACTTTCTTCATATGTGTTATCACAACTAAGATAATCATCTGAAAGTGTGTCTGTGTTTTGCATGAAGTGCATAGATAATAATAAGGTAGACATATCGAAATTTTAAATGTGTAACATGAAGTACTATGGTAATTTTCTGGTACAGGAAGTACAACTTTAACCAGCTGCCACCTGAGGATGATGAGGACTACATTGACATGGGGGGAGCCATTCTGAACTTCTATGCAGGACTTGTAGATCTGTTGGGCCGCTGTGCTCCTGATGCAGAAACAATCAAATCTGGTCGCAGTGACTCGATTCGAGCCAGAGCCATTCTCCGCAGTTTGGTATCCATGCAGGACCTGGAGGGCGTCCTTGGACTAAAGTTCATTCTGCCCATCAACCAGGCTGCAGCACCGGGTGATGACAGTGAGTACTCAGAATGATTGTAATAAGTTAACAGTATAAAGTACCAAAGATGAAAAATCAACTTATTCTTTATATTAGAATTCATAAATTTATATTGTTGCAGTGTAATCATGTTTAAAATCATGTCTTTTACAGAAAATAATTATTTTAAAATTCATATATTTCAAATGTTTTAAAATGTAATAATATATTTTAACATAAATATAAATACATCTTAACAATATTTAAAAATATAAAAAAAATCCCCAGCAAATTGCAAGATCCTTTTGAAATGGACATTTGGCACCTATGATGGTCCATTTAGACTAATATGGAGCCAATGTTTATTTCTAGGTGAGAGTCAGGGTGCTGGGGCTCCTGCTATGGAATTACCTCCAGGCCTGTCACCTGCACACAAGGCCTCAGTCATGCTATTCCTAGAGAGGGTCTATGGCATTGAGGATCAGGCCACATTCTTCAGGATCCTAGAGGATGGAATCCTTCCTGATTTACGTGCCGCAACAACGTTGGATACTGTACGTCCAGCTAATGTAATGTATAAAACAGGGGTTGCAGGACACTTTTATTTATTATACCTGTGTGTTCTCTATCCCTGTTTTATCCCCAACCCTACTACCGGATAAATAATTATTAAACATGTTAATTCAGAACATTTTTAACTTCTGATATTGCTATTGAGAGAAATTACAACTAACATTTGGTGTGTATATAACTAGCATGACTTTCCCCTGCCACAGGTAATCTTGTGGTTATTATACAGGTGGTCCTTAGTATTATTTGTATATTATAGGCCACAGGATCAGACAGTGACACAGCACTGGCCCTGAATCGCTATATTGGCAGTTCCATCCTGCCACTTCTCACCAACTACAGCCACTTTTTCGGGGATGCTGACCACGCCTCCACCTTGCTAGACTCCACACTTAACACAGTGTATCGTCTCTCCAAGTGTCGCTCACTTACCAAGGGGCAGATGGAGGCTGTATCCGACTTCCTTGTTGCATTTACCAAGTAAGTATCAGGTTATCAATGCAATATCCTTACTTTTGTGATTAACATGAGATGAAAATTGATGACACATTGAATTTATAATTCATGATCATATAATGAAGTCATATCTATTTCTCATGGTATCAAGAAATGCTTAATTTGTTTTTTTTTTATTAAAGCCAACTTCGACCCCCAACAATGACTAGATTGCTGAGGAAGTTGGCTTGTGATGTACCAGCTTTATCAGAAAACACAGTTGTACCCTTAAGGGTAGGTAATTGATATTAGAATCATAGCCATACTGTAAGATATTTAATATTAGATAGACCTGTGACACAGTGTTAATTGTAGATCTGATATACCTTTCGTAACTGACTCTTAAACATAATTACTGGTTTCAAAGGTTGTCTCCCCTTGGATATGATTTGTTAATGATCTCTGTGATAGGTTGCCTCCATTCACCTTTGAAATAATGTGCCACTAATTATTTTTGTGATGGATTGCCTCCCTTTGTAGGTGCTGACCTCCTACTATGAGAGGTGTGGTCGCTACTACAGTTTCGGAGGCTGGGGGTCTTATGGATCTGCTACAGAGGAGGAGAAGAGGCTCACCATGATGCTTTTCAATGGAATTTTCGATGCTTTGGGTCACAGAGTAAGTTCTCACTGTTGCAGATTTATGCAGATTTTGATAACTTTTAGGAAAAATAATTTCCTTTCAATATCAAGGTTTTTATATATTCTTTGACACAAAAGTTTGTGACAAAAAAATATGGGCAACAAATACCATGAGACATTGTTTGCAGATGGGCATTTAGTTCCCTGCAATAAAAATTCAGGAACAATATTTTGATGATTCATTTCTTTCTTGCAGAAAAAAGAATCTCATCTCCATGTTTATTTTATAAAGTATGTTTTCTTAGATTTATCTATATCTAACCTTCTCTATTACAGGCCTATGACCCAGAACTGTTTTCGAAAGCTCTACCCTGTTTGTCAGCCATCGGTTGTGCTCTGTCACCTGACTACTCACTAACATACCAGGATGACAGTTGGCTGCGACAGGCAAACATGGATGCTGAGGGCACGTACAATCCTACCCCTGTCAACACTTACAGGTTAGTTATTTACCACTTTATAAATGCTATTGTTGTTGTTGATTGCTTGACTTTAGGAAATCAATATTCTTTTTATTTTTAACATCACAACATATATTTTGTAGGATTCATCTGACTCAGTCCCTGGAGTCAGCCATTACTAAATTTGCTGAGCACTTCCATGACAACTGGGCTTTGAAGAAGGTAAGGAACATTTGGTCATGTTTGTTTTACATAACTATCATGCTTTAAGGTTTACTGTGACTTTTTCTATAATACTATGTTATTGTGACTAGCTATGTCACTTTTAAGGGATTTGTTGTGTTCAATTGAGTTACATGTCTCTGTATTTCCAGATCGATGGTGGATGGTTGTTTGGTACAAATTACGACGACGACAGAAAAACACACTACATGCTCAAACCTTATCACCTGCTGGACGAAAGTGTAGGTATACACCATATATAGGTAAAATAATAAGAAATTAGGTTAAAGGTATTTAATCACCTGTTGTTATTAATGAAGTCATATTAATCTTCTGACAAAGAATTGTATCTGGTGGAACTTCACACTCAGTAATGAATTACTGAACGGATTTCTGTTGAGGATTGTTTCAGATACATTTTGCTTTTCAAATAAAGTTTTGAATATCAGAAATCCTCCTTAAACTGGTGACACCTCTCAATTCTTTACCTGGATAAATAAAAACACCTGTTGGAACAACAGAACTTAACCTTAGAGCTTACCAGAATCACTGTTGTAATTTGTTTTGTATTTTCCTTTGCAGGACAAAGTCAGGTATGAGGAACCTGTGAGAGAGGGAGTTAAAGCTATGCTAGCCTGGGGCTGGACCCTCACACAGGACCAGAGCAGGCTGGCTGCCAACAGAGAAAGCATGAAACGTCGCATGTCCAAGGATGGGGTGAGTCATAGTCACTGAAGTGATTGGATACTAGAGAAGGGATAAAAAAGATTGATAGAATATCACAAAATAACCAGTTTTTGTAAGTGTGACTTTGTCAGCAGGAACAAAATGTAGGTAAAAAAACAAAATATTCAAAGAGGTAATGTTTTCTACTGACAGTGCACTGATTAAATATACTTTTGTTTCAGCATGACCATGGTTACAGCCCACGACCTTATGACCTCAGAAACATGACCATCACCAGGGAAATGCAGGTAATTGTTGATCAGATAAAGTCTGGATTTTAGCTTTCATTGTTGATGAGATCATTTGAAATGTTCACAACCTTTTTTTCTTTTTTTCTTTCAGACACTCGCTGAGAGATTGGCAGAAAACTCCCATGACATGTGGGCCAAGAAGAAAAAAGAGGAATTAGAGGAAATGGGTAAATAAAAAATTAACATAAGATTCCAAAAAATTGTCATCCAATCACAATCTTTGCCCCGAATATCCTGTAGCAACAGGACAAGACTATATTGTACACTCTAAATGAAGGGCAATGCTTATTATCTTTCCTAATCTTCATTCGGTATAAATTCATAGGCCTATAGCTACCAGAGGAATATGTAAGAACATATTGAAGGAGAAGTTTGTAATGAGTGGTTAATTCTATAAATGAAATCCGATCAATGTATATGTACAGGTGGAGGAGTTCACCCACAGCTGGTTCCATACGACACCCTGACAGACAAGGAGAAGAAGAAAGACCGTGACCATGCTCATGAACTCCTCAAGTTCCTTCAGTTCCTTGGCTTCAGAATTCACAGGTAGGCAGACTGATAGTGATAGTTTCTGTAATAAGTGGTATGGTTTTCTTAGTGACTGGAATAGTATTCATGGTGACTAGCATGGTTGCAATGATAAATATTCCATATGAAATGGCAGAGCATCCATGGTTACTAATATTTTTCAATAATAGTTTGTAGTCTTGAACTAGACTGAGTAAACTATCACCAAACTAACAAATTGTCCACTTGCCTTTATGAGCTGGCTGATGATATGTCTATACCAACAACATCTATTTATTAATTCAGTAGTGTGTTACTGTCAGATTAACAGCATGGGCAGTTTTATAATGTAACCTTTGTTCAGATTCATTACCAGGAAACCTTAATATCATTTAAAGCTCAAATTAATCTATTGATATTGCAAATTACCCTTTGTATAATGCAAATTAATCCTTGCTAGTGGTTAATTAATATTATATCAGTATGCTGCAAATGGATATATTTGTATGGCTAATTAACCTTTGCATAATGCAAATTAACTGTTATAATGGAATATTAAATGTAAATATACCTTTAGATCAATAGATATGAATTCAACTTTTGTTTATGCTACGATATGTTACTTCCTAGTTAAACTTGGTGGATTAACAGCTCAGTGACTCCACTTGATCAATATTTTTTTTAATGGTTCCTTGTCTCGTGAGATCCATTACCATTGTGCAGAGCTGAGTAACTTGTAATGTGATTGCTTTGTTTAGTGAGAAGGTTGACCCTTGGGAGGAAGGTGTTAGGTATATACTTAACAACAGACAGTGTTGTGTTCTCCTTCTAAGACCGTATTGGTTGAAATCACGTTTTCAGATTTTTACAGCCATCTACTTTTGCTGTGGTGTCTGCACCCTGTATTTTGCTTTGCCATAAGACTATTGAAATGAATGTGTGAACAAATGATATGTGTAGAGTTTTTTTTATTCTTGATAATTGAGATTTGAAAAATGTGTTACCGATTTCTTAATAACACCTTTAATTATTCTTCTCTTCAACATAACAAGTAAAATTCTGGTAATGTTGTTTTAATATTTGAACATAATTGATACTATCAATTAATTTTGCTCACTCATATACATGCCATTAGAAATCTTTGAGCCAATGATAATGGATCCCTCTGATTGTAACATATTAACATGCATCTGTTGCTGTGTGAGTCAACCTTTTTCTCCTCACTTTTTAAATGTGCTTGTTTAATACATATTTTTACCAAAAAGCTTTAAACATCTTCTGCTTGATTTGTTTGCCGTTTTTTTTTTTTTTTTTTTTTTTGACCTTTTGAATTTTGTTTCCCATTTTGCTTATATCTTTTTATTCCATGTTTCGTATTATTTACACTTTCATATGCACTCAACGACATACTAAAGAAATGTTTGCTTTATTGATACTAGAACTGTTTCAGAGTTTATCAGGTTATTCCAATTCTGGCTCTCAAATCATGAAAATGCTGAAATCCATTAATTTGGTCTGAAGCAGAAAAATGTTATGATCTTTACCTTTTAAATGTTATGGTTATATGATAACTTAGAATATTATCTAAATACCTGCCATGTCTCATTCCTCCCTTACATCTTGAAGGGTTATGAATGATATCTGTCTGTACTGTTATCAATTGAGGTCCATTTAGACAATGAGATATCACTACATAACAAATGCACTGTATTAAATGCAAAGTTGTGGAAAACAGAAAAGACCCCAGATTAACAACGTTTTAAAGCATTCCATAGGACACAGTCTAGACCCCCATTATACTCCATTTTTTTTGTGTTACGCCAGAAAAAATCCAGGACTGACCAGTCGGCAATGCCTCTTGTTATACTCAAATATATCTTTGTTTTACTAGAAAATAGCCAGGACTGACCAGTACGCTTAGCCTCCCATTAAACTCTGATCCTTTTATATTACAACATTAAATTGAAAACATTTGGAAGTTAAAAAAAGTGCATGATCTACCAATGACAGCAGTTAATTTTTTGATGCTTGATATCTGCATCTTGGTATAGATAATATACTTGATTAACTGATAGTTACCAGGAGGATAAAATAACATCTTTGAAAGCTTCTTATCCTCAATAAGATAATTTTTATATGAAACAGGTTTAATCAAACCCTGAATACATAATTAAGTAACAGCGACATGATTTCCTGGACCAATAAATTGTTCTTAATTGATTTCTGAATCTTGTGCATGTTATGATTTAAATGATATTTAGTGTTTTAAATGGACAATATTCTTTGTTACCGTATAGAATACCCTTGAATTGGATCAGATGGTCTCACACTTTTATTGAATGGTCTGAAATTTGGTATTATGTTATTGACCTTGAATGTATATAAAGGCAATGAGTGTGTGAATTTTCATAAAGCTGTTGATTTGACTGATTAAAAACATTTATCTAAATGTACAATGAAAAATATAGTGTACTTTCCATTCTTAATTTTGCACAAGACAAACAGTTTTGGTTATGACAATTAGCATATAGAATAAGACTTTATTAAGTTTGAATTCATGGCAAACCAGTAAAATTATCTGGTCCATATCAGTTTAGAATGATTATACTGTGTATTTCAGTTTCAAGGGTAAGTCTATTTATTTTTATTCTTCTGCATAATATTCATAATATTTTCTCTTTCTCTTTTTTCTCTTCCTCCCTTTGTATTTGTTGTGCCTCCTCCCTGTGTTTGTATTTTTTGTCAATGTCTGTTTCTACTGTTGTTTCTATCAATGTCTGTCCTTCCGTCTGTTTGTACATGTTACAACCATCAATGTGTCTCTCCCTTTGTTTGTATCTATTGTTCATGTCTTATCGTCCTTTCAATGTTTTTTTTTCATTTGTGCCCTTGTCTCCCCTTGTGAATCCCTGTAAATGTCACACCTTTTCTCCTGTCCTTGGCTCATAACAGTGACACAGCAACAACGATGCCAAGCCAGAAAAAATCATCTTCCAGACCGAGCAAGGATTCAGAAGCAGACAGTGGGGTTGGTGTTTCGGCAACAGAAAAGCGCTTTGCCTACAGCTTACTGGAGAAACTACTTCAATACTTTGATGATGCCGCCATCCACATGACTCAGAACCGACCTAGCAGTCGTTTCTCCCGACGTGAAAGTTACAGCATAGCCACGGAAGATGTCAAGTTCTTTGGAAAGGTGGGGATATGAATCTCTATTTCTTATTACTACATGTTGTGATGACTGTGGCTGAAATTGATAAGATCACTTGTGTAACATTTGATGATAAGTTTATTTAATTCTAAATAAGTATCTGATCTTCTTTGTAAAAGTCTTGCTAATGAAATTAACTTAAATTGAACCAGGTGGTCCTGCCTTTTGTGGAAAAGTACTTTGCTGCTCACCGTGAATACTTTGTGGGCAAACCCAACTCGCCTACCTGCAGCGCTTCTGCCTCAGTCAAGGAGAAGGAAATGACTGCCAGGTAGGGCAACACTTTTAGCTGATGAAATGCCTGTACATGCAGAATCATTTAAAACATGCATTGATTACAGTGATACAGGTCTAAATGTGTCTTTTAAACTCGAAATTTTTAGCCAAGAAATCTTCTACTTGTAAGTCCCCAGCAGGTGGGAAAAAAATCCCTCTTGCTTAATATTTATATTCTTTACCATGCATGATATCCCAAGAATGAGAAGTGGGCAGTATACATTTGTTTTAATTTTACTTGTAGCCTGTTCTGTAAGTTGGCCCAGACACTGAGAGCAAGGATCCAGGCATTTGGACATGATGTGAACATCTCAGTACGTTGTCTACAGGTGCTTATCCAGGCTGTAGATGCCAGGTATGTTTTATCACATGAGCCTTGTGTTCTCTGATGTACATTTTTCTGTTGATGGATACACTTCTTGTGATACTCCAGTTTACGATCTTTAGAAAACAAATCTTGGGGCAGCTTGAACCAAGGAAAATATGTACCATTTAACATGAACCTGGTTCTGTTACAGGTCTGTCATGAAGAACAGCCCAGAAATGGTGCGTTCTTCATTGTTACCATTCTTCAACAACACTGCCGATGACCTTGCCCAGGTGGTGGATAATCTCAAGCGGGGTCGTTTCAGCCACATCAAGGGCACTATACTTAAGGGTGCCACCAGCCTGGACTTTGTCCATATGGTCATCCTTCCTGTCCTTTCCTCCCTCTTTGACCACCTAGGGCGCAGCCATTTTGGAGCCGACGTCATTGGTAAATATCACAGGATTACTCAAAAGTGCATCCAAATTCTGATACAGGATAGTGTCCACATTGATATGTTGTTGCCAGATTTGTTCGTGTTCACATGAAATTTAAAAAATCATTTCCTCGGGATGGCAATGGGCACAAGAGAAATATTCCATTGATGTTATCAACCATTCTATTTTTTGCTACTCTCAATATTTGCAAATAGATAACTTAGTTCAAGCTGAGAGAAATATCAGTAAAGCTAAAGAGATATACATTACAGAATTTTTTAACATGTTGTAGTATATACACTAAGGGATGAGATTTACCTCCCCCTGTCTTCAACAACAGTGTCCTTGAACATTGTATTGTATTGCCTCCTTTTGTCTTCCATGAAAGTTATAGTACATATATATATATGGTAAGTGGTGACAGTTGTCTACCCTTGTGTTCCAGTGGGAGATATCCAACTATGTTGCTACAGAATCCTCAACTCTCTTTACTCTTTGGGAACCAGCAGCTCAGAGATTGTACAGAGGTAAGTTTAACTTGCAGACCCGTCCCAAGTAGAACCCCAATGTTTCTCATATCTACATGTTTTTCATACATTGAAAAAAGATTATTTTTGATTGAAATTCAAAAGTTTATAGTTTGAAAAAAAAGTATTGAATTCCTAAATTTTTTGTAACTCAAAAGTGATTTTTTTATTTAAATTTTACTTTAAATGACTGCATAGTAATTAATGTAAGACAATAGAGGTAATTATTTTTGTGATTTTGTATTAAATATTTGTGATAACCTACAAACAGATTTTTAAATTATTTTTGAAAAAAAAAAACCAGATTGCTAACAAATTTACCTGACAGGATGTTATAATAGGTAATGACAGGTGCAGTTCTGTTATGCAGTTACATGTCAATAGTTGTTTGAGGAACCCTAAACGTTAAGTCTACTTCTGTGTAAACTAGTCCCAGTTTTTTTAGCTGTGGCATTGTTCATGTGGATCAGATGTTATCTGAAGTATTTTCCTGAGTGTTTAACACCCAGATCGATGGTCTAGATATTATTTCTAACAAACTTTCCACAAAATATCATCTTTCTAAAAAAAATTAGAAGGAAAATTGTTCCTTAAACTTTATATAAGCTTGAATGTATATTCTTTTATAAGTCAAGATTGTTTTTACACATTTTATTTTGTAACAGATGTCTTTGTTAAAAATTTCAATCTGTAGAGAATATGAAATATATCTTGTTACATTCTCAATTATTAATCATTACAGTGTTGTTAAACATGTATTAATTTGAACATTTTGAATTACCTTTCCTAGCTGGCTTCTCAATAAAACCCAGGAAGCTAGGTACCTTATTGCCCTATATATACTGGCAGTGGTCGAATGTCGTCGTGATGAATGTCCAGCATAATCACTGTGTATCATTATATGCTTTCTCAATTTTCATTTCATACAGTACTGTAGTGACAATGTAGGCACCCAGCTTGTCCAAGTGGCAATCGTGTTGTCTCAACATCAAGTTTATAAACTTCCATATTTTTGTTTCATTTACTCCAGAACATATTTAACAAATTTTCTTAAATATATTTTTAATGGAACAAATTTTTTCTTTTCAATATATACTTAAAATAGTTTTAGTTCTTGTATATTTTGATTGGCTTTATTGACAAATTAATTCAGAGACCCAGATATAATTTGAAATATCTGGATCTCTTACCTCCTTGGATCTGGTTTACTTTACATGTTACTTTAGCACTTGGTTTTCAGCAGAACAATGGTATTGCTGAAAGTTCCATTAGCATAAGGAATGTTATGTCTAGTGTCTTGATATATACATGTAATTGACTTTAAATGTTGAAATTTTTTGTAGAAATTATCAAAAGTCTTGAAACCAATTGTTCTATTGTAATGCTGAATCATTTTAGGCAAAAGTCTCAAGATTTGCAGTGAATATACAAAATTTTACCCATCTGGGTCTCTGCAAATCGGAAAAAACAACAGATTTTTACAACACATAATTCAGTGTAAAATTTACAGTATCTAACATAATTTGTTTTTAATGGTTTTCTTTAAACTCCCACAAAAATATTTCCTTGTTTTGAATAGTTCCAGCAACTTTAGTGTATAGAAAGTTGGCTTGCTGTCTCGGTTTGTAGTTGTATTTTCACATCTATGAATGTTTTATTTTGTTATTATTTATAAAGATTATGACTGTACAGTTGTGTTTTTTTTTTCTTTATTTCCCCCTTTCAACGTCCTGTGCTGTAGGGAATCAGTCTTATCGGAGTTGTCCAGGTATAGCTATTGTAATTCAGCGTGTGATGTTTATTTCATGTTAATTCCGCATGTTGTGACTTTTTAAAAGCTGATTCCTGTTTATCTTTTGTATGTATCCTTTAATATTTCATGGCAGGCTGTGTTACTTTTATACTTTTATTTCATCATCCATTTACTCTGCCGATCTTCAAAATTTCCTTACCCAAAATGCTTTGCAATTTTCAATTTCCTGTCAGATTTCCCATTGGCCCTATGCTATTTAGATGAAAATAGAGATTATTTTATGGAATGTTGTGTGTTTCCCCATGTAGAGACTACAGATTTTTTTTTTTTTTTTTGCAACATTTTTATTTAGAATATTTTATGGATGATGTTCATAATGTTTACATTAGCTAACTTTTATGTGATAATCATAATTACCAGCAAATCTCCTGAACAAAATAACACTGGCAAGTTCATAATAAACCAGTCTTTGCTTTCTAGTGTAGTGTGGAGAAACTTTCAGCTGTTCCTATCATTTTTTAACCACTCTTTAACAAAACAAAATGACCAACTTGCATTGGCTGAAAAAGACCACCAGTGTAGTTCCTTAACATTGGTAGTTAATCTTTACCACAGAAGTAGTTATAGGGCTGGTTTAGAGAACTTCGACAATTACAGCTTTATCGTCTCTAATTAGAAATTTCTATTTCACACTGTACCATTTGGTTTGTGCTTCTATTGTATAACATAGGCTAACAGTTGTGATATGCTTAAGCTGTGTAATACCTCTCTAGTCTGAACTAATGATAAATAATAGTTCATTACAATTAACAGTATCAAATTAACAAATGTGTGGATGATTAGTTTTAAAATTTCATTCTACATAATAAATGCAATGATCGTGAAATTAATGAATTAAAACTGAAATCAGGCCTTGTCTCAGTTTATATTTACACGATGTTGGGAAAATTGCATGTACTAGTACAGATATGTGGAACTATTTCCAGTGTTGATATCTACTAACTTGCCTCTGTTCTTTTGTTATTCTTGATATTAAACTGTATCTTTCTCTCAAGAGTAGGATACCTGTATCTCTTTAGAGTAGGATACATGTATCTCCCTCTAGAGAAGGATACATTTATGTCTCTAGAGTAGGATACATGTATCTCTCTAGAGTATGGTACCTGTACAAGTCTAGAGTAGGATACATGTACATCTCTAGAGTAGGATACATGTACATCTCTAGAGTAGGATACATGTACATCTCTAGAGTATGGTACCTGTACAAGTCTAGAGTAGGATACATGTACATCTCTAGAGTAGGATACATGTACATCTCTAGAGTAGGATACATGTACATCTCTAGAGTATGGTACCTGTACATCTCTAGAGTAGGATACTTGTACATCTCTAGAGTAGGATACATGTACATCTCTAGAGTATGGTACCTGTACAAGTCTAGAGTAGGATACATGTACATCTCTAGAGTAGGATACCTGTACATCTCTAGAGTAGGATACCTGTACATCTCTAGAGTAGGATACCTGTACATCTCTAGAGTAGGATACATGTACATCTCTTTAGAGTAGGATACCTGTACATCTCTAGAGTAGGATACATGTACATCTCTAGAGTAGGATACCTGTACATCTCTAGAGTAGGATACCTGTACATCTCTAGAGTAGGATACCTGTAACTCTCTTTAGAGTAGGATACTTGTACATCTCTAGAGTAGGATACAGGTATCTCTCTTTAGAGTAGGATACCTGTACATCTCTAGAGCAGAATACCTGTACATCTCTAGAGTATGGTACCTGTACAAGTCTAGAGTAGGATACATGTACATCTCTAGAGTAGGACACCTGTACATCTCTAGAGCAGGACACCTGTACATCTCTAGAGCAGGACACCTGTATCTCTCCATAGAGTATGGTACCGGTATATCTCTAGAGTAGGAAACCTGTATCTCTCCATAGAGTATGGTACCGGTAGGAAACCTGTATCTCTCCATAGAGTATGGTACCGGTATATCTCTAGAGTAGGAAACCTGTATCTCTCCATAGAGTATGGTACCGGTATATCTCTAGAGTAGGAAACCTGTATCTCTCCATAGAGTATGGTACCGGTATATCTCTAGAGTAGGAAACCTGTATCTCTCTAGAGTAGGATACCTGTATATCATTCCTCAGAACTTGATAGCTATGCATATGTGTGGTATATTGTTGTACAAGTGACTGGTATCAATGTGGGTGAGGATGTGTGTGTGTAAGGGTGTGTGCATGTGTGTGATACTCAGTATCTGCACAGCTGTCTATAACTTGAAATCTTTTGTATTGGTTACCTGTATGGTTGTCCTGTATTGTTACCTGTATGGTTGCCCTTTATTGGTTACCTGTATTGGTTACCTGTATGGTTGTCCTGTATTGGTTACCTGTATTGGTTACCTATATGGTTGTCCTGTATTGGTTACCTGTACGGTTGACCTGTATTGGTTACCTGTACAATTGTCCTGTATTGGTTACCTGTATTGGTTACCTGTACAATTGTCCTGTATTGATTACCTGTATAGTTTTCCTGTATTGGTTACCTGTACGGTTGACCTGTATTGGTTACCTGTACAATTGTCCTGTATTGGTTACCTGTACAGGTGTCCTGAATTGGTTACCTGTACAATTGTCCTGTATTGATTACCTGTATGGTTGTCCTGTATTGGTTACCTGTATAGTTGTCCTGTATTGGTTACCTGTATTGGTTACCTGTACAATTGTCCTGTATTGATTACCTGTATAGTTGTCCTGTATTGGTTACCTGTATTGGTTACCTGTATGGTTGTCCTGTATTGGTTACCTGTATTGGTTACCTGTATGGTTGTCCTGTATTGGTTACCTGTACGGTTGACCTGTATTGGTTACCTGTACAATTGTCCTGTATTGGTTACCTGCACAGGTGTCCTGAATTGGTTACCTGTACAATTGTCCTGTATTGGTTACCTGTACGGTTGTCCTGTATTGGTTACCTGTACGGTTGTCCTGTATTGGTTACCTTTATTGGTTACCTGTATAGTTGTCCTGTATTGGTTACCTGTATAGTTGTCCTGTATTGGTTACCTGTACAATTGTCCTGTATGTTACCTGTACAATTGTTCAATATTGGTTTCCTGTTCTCTGATATCACTAACCTGTAAGATATTAATTACCTGTACAGGTGTCAGATATCAGATATATGTAAAGTTTCAAATGCTGTTTGCCTGTACAGGTGTTATATATTAATTACCTGTGCAGTTGTCAGATATTAAGGTGTTGAATACCTGTGCAAGTATCAGGTAGATTTATTCCTGTGTAGTTGTCTGACTTAAGATGTTACTTGAACAGATATTTCTTCAAGTTATGTATAAAATTACCTGCATACAAATCTGTCCAGTATATTCTGAAGTATTTAGGTAGTGGCCAGGGAGCTTAGTGCTTGATGTATGTTTATAATAAGTTTCAATTCAGTGTGCATTTGCACAAATTTGTCTCTGATTGGTATGAGCACTGCATGAGTTAACCGCACCAGTTTGTCACATCTGTGTTCTGGTCAGGTGTAAGTTCTCACTTTTAACACACTTGGGTAACACTAATGATGTTCAGTAGAACTTGTCTGGATAGGGTCATGGAGTTAAAGCTTACCTGAAATCCCTTTAAATCTGATGATGGTTACCTGTAAGTATCCTGAGTGGCGATTTTTGGTTCACTATCATCAACTTGTTATTGGTTTTTTGTCTCTCATTGATCCTGAAACAGTTTTTTAATACTTTCTCTTATGAAGTCTAAAATGGATCTTTCAAATTACTTCTTCAATTCATCAAAACTTTTTAGACTATAATTAAAGGAATAATATGGCTGACGGTTGGCCATCTTGGATTTTAAAAATTCAGTTTGTTGTTAATCTGCTTTAATGAAGACACTTTAAAATGACAATCAAGAAATCAAGGCAATATTTCAGACACAGGAATATGATATTTAAAAAATAAGCAATGTGTTTATCATTGATATGAATGTCATTGCAGTAGTCAGAAACATTAGATAAAATGAAACTTAAAAATGATGATCATGTGATGTTGAGTGTGAAAATGTATCAGACATTTGTTAGCCTGTCTTTACAATGTTAGGCACCAAGATACATATGATATATAGCTTGTTTTCCTGTTGTTGAAATATAACAATAACTTCACTTTATTTATCATTAACCAGTTACTTGTGTGCATGTATAACAGGCAATCCACACAGCCGACTGGCAATGCTTTCCTTGTGTAGTTTGTTGTAGCTAATACTGCAGTGCACTGTGCAATATGCCATGTGGTACAGGTAAAAACTAACAAAAACCTAAATAAGGTATAGATGTAGTCACAGCCAATAGAATCCCATTAAGCCCCATCTTCACCTGTTGTAAAAAGCTGGAAGTGTAAGTTAAACTTTTTCTGTAGATTGCTATTAATGACTTTGTATTTGGGAGAGAAATATGATGATGGTAGGATTTTGAGGAAGAATTACCTGATATTGTACAGAAATTTTTCTTGTCAGGATAGCTAAGAAACAGATAATGATGAGGCTCCATCCAAATCCTCAGATCTTAAAACCTATTACTTTTTTCCTCTAAAAAGTCTTCATTAGGTTTGGTTGGCCCAGTATCTGAACAATTACTCCATCATTTAAATTAGGTAAATTATGGAAGGGGTTTACTTCTCCTAATTGTTGACACAGAATTTATTACTATCATATCATTAGTAAAGTTAAAGATACAAGTAATCTGATATAGGATGTCATTAGTTGAGTTTGATGTATGAAGTGCTTTAATAGGTTTCAAACTTTAGTATTGAGATATTCTGTATGGTTGGATATTTAATACATAACTAATTGATTGATATAATTTTGGACTATCTATAATTTTGTTCAACTTACAAAACTTAAGTGTAATATAAACATTGTTTAAGATAGTGGCAGAATTTGCTGGGTTTTTCTGGAGAGCTAACTGATTCTCAGCCATTGCAAGTTGGTTTTTACAAATCATGTTTAAACACAAAGATTCTTTTAATCATAAATTCACAATTTTTTGTTAGAAATTATTTCATTTGATTTCAACTAGCTATCTTTTATCACTACTCAGATAATTGTCCTGTTTCTTTCAATCACTACACTGTATCACCTTTTATTTCTTGATTATTTTTTACTGACAAAACACCAAGCTAACAACATATATTTAATGTTTTATGGAGGTTAAAATAACCTTTCCACTAAATTAGGGGATCAAGTCTCCTTCAGCAATAAAAGATATACTGACTGCCTCTAAGTTATGTACAGTTTTTATGTTATAATTAATACATATTTTAAAAAATGGTTTTTTTTATTATCAGTATAATATGGGCCGTTCTTGGGTAAGCAAGAAAGTGCTATAAGTCTGTATCGTCAGTTATTCTTTTCACGATAGATCAGAAGTTTTATAATCTGTCATCAGACTTAGATAATTTATAACAGTTTCAAAACTTAATTAGCTTGTTATATAATGACTACTGTGTTTTGACCAGACATCGACCAGCTCTCGGAGAATGTCTTGGATCCTTTGCTGCCTGCTTCCCTGTCGCTTTCCTGGAGCCTGACCTCAACAAATACAACAAAAACTCCATCTTGTACGGACTAGAGGGCAAGATATCTGAACATTCACTTGAGGCACAAGGTACGTAGTTACCATATTTCCCTAACAATAAAACCATGTCTGACAATAAGCCCACTAACATCCATTGATGTTCAGTAGATTTACATACAGCGTCTATTTCAATGTCCTGCAATTAGCTCACCTCTAGACTTTGAGTCAGACTTTATAAGTTGGATGGACCCTGCCTTTGTTTCTAGACATTGGCACAAGGACCAACATCCTGGCATAAGGTACAGGTACCAACATACAGGTAGCAATTCTAATCATCAGCTTGTTCAGGGTAAAAACGGTAACAAAATAGGGAAAAATAAAAAATAAGAATGAAGTTATAAAACTGTTTTAAAACCCAAACCTATTTGACAATCATCAGTTTCTTGTAGATCTTTTAGTCTATGAATTAGAAAAAAGTAGAAATCATTGCAATCTGATATTAGAAACTAGAAGACTTTTGGTGGTACACATATCTGGGGAGTATTATCACTATATTTATTGTTGTTACACAGAGGTGATGGACCAGCTAAATGAGAACCTGCCTGTATTAGACAAGATCATCCTGGAGATCGAGGAGTTAGCCCAGTCTGGGGGTAAATACCACGAGGCTCCTCACGTGATAGAGGTCACCCTACCAATGCTCTGCAGGTCAGTTTCAGCAGCTACTGATGAGGCTGATATCATTCTTTTCTTATTTCTGATTTCAGTTCCTTTACTTGTTCACTCTGCATTGATACCAGGCAGATATTCCATGACCAAGTAGCTTTTGATCCTTTAGTGTGGTGTACTAATTTTACACTAATGTCTTGCTTAAAACTAGTGTACATGTTGACTCTTTATTGCAGTTACTTACCGTTCTGGCTGGTTGAAAGGCAAAAGTCCATTGATTCGTAAGTATGACTTCACATATTGTAAAATGATATATTTTCAAAAAAATCCTATTGTCAGTGTAATTATGCTTACTTTAACGGTTCATGGACATATGAACTTGTGGATTTATGTACCTTTGAAATCAACAAAAACCTGAAAAATAGTAATGTTTTACAATACAAATGCACTCCATTTATGAAAACAATTTCATGAAGCAGTTGAAATTTATCGTACAGTTAGGAGATAAAGTTTTAAAATGTTTGCTTCTATCTTCCAAATCAATAGTACTCCAATAATAGTAATAAATGTTAAAGACAGGAAATGAATCATCAGAAATGTTTCAAAACTTTGTTTCAGAGTGACTCAGGTTACCACGGTAACTGGAGAGTTGATGAACAATGTTCTTGGTAATGTGCTCAAACTCATTAGGAACAACGTAGGCAGTGCTGACGCTCCTTGGATGAACCGGATAGCAAGTAAATCTCGTCCTCTGATGCTTTTTCTGCTTCATCGCCATGTGCTGTTCAAATCATATATTGTTCTGATGTTCATTTTATGATGGCAATCATTAGCATTTTTAATAAATAAATGTTTAGGGTTTGATGAGAGATTAATTTTTTAAAATTGATATTTCCTTATATATAAGGCTATAATACACCTGGCCATACTAGTTATGAAAGAGTATATATGGTTGAAAAAATTTAGTTGTTTATTGGATGAATGAAACTAAACTATTTGGAGGTCTACATGCCAATATTTGTCATTTTTACCAGCCCGAACCCAGCCAATCATTGTCAACTCCACTCCGGACATGATCAAAGAACACTTCCTACCCATTGCCATGAAGCTAAGGGAAGGTAACTCTGGTGTTGAACAGCTGGAGAAGCGCCTTTTGGCAAGCAAGCATAGTACAACAGATGTAGCTGACCTTGAACAGGAGACACAGGAGGTAATACGTCATGGAAATAGCTAGTTGTCATCAAGCTGCATTACCTTACAATTTATTATGTTATAAAAATTCCACTGAAGTATAAAATTACTCTTATCTTACACAATATTGTGGTTAGGTTATCAGTCAGTTTCAAATTAATTTAAACACCATGTATTATTTGAATATAAAAAGATCATGATCGTTTAAAGCATGGAGATGAACTTCACATTTTACTATGTCAGTCAGAATGTCAAAAAACTAAAATATCTGAATGATGACCTTGACCTTTTGCATAAAGCTATGGTCATCACCTGAAGTATATACTACAGTACTGATTATGACCATGACCTTTCTGTTAAAAGTTATAATAATTACCTGACTATGATATTGTGCTGATGATGACCTTGACCTTGTCTACAGGCCTTTGGGATCCTAGTGAGAGATATCTATGCATTCTATCCCCTGTTGATCAAGTATGTAGACCTACACAGGTCACAATGGCTGAAGAATCCGTCCTCAGAAGCTGAAGAGCTCTTCACCTGTGTTGCTGTTATGTTTGGCCTGTGGTCAAGGTCCATTGTAAGTAATTCACCGTTTTATGGGAAAGGCAAATATCTCTTTAGTGATAGTTAACACTTTTGTGTTCAGAATTCAATTTTGTAATAAGTTATGGATAAAATCTTTATAAAAGATATTCCATGATGAAACAAGAGTTGAAAATTTCTGATTGTAATTAGAAGTATAAGCAGTTTATTGTAGGAGGTTGATACAGAATCGGTGATCAAATTTACATAGTCATACTTGATTGTATATGACAGTTGTTTAAGCGCGAGGAACAGAACTTTGTGATGGCCAATGAAATAGACAACATGGCTTTGATCATGCCAAGTCAGACCAAAGCTGCATCGACAAGCAATCCAGAGAACGTGACTACCAATAAACGCCATGGTCGTAAACGTGAGAAAAAGAGGATGGAACTTCACAATAGTCTAAATGTAGCATGCTTGAAGCGTCTCCTTCCCATTGGGTTAAGTTTCTTCAGTGGACGTGAACAAGAGTTACTACAGCATGCCAAACAGAAGTTGATTGAGGTAGGTGCCGTTTACAGATTAATGACTGGGTGACATATATATATGTGTGAAGAATGGTTAAAGCTTGGTTGGAATATCAGCCACTTCAGAAAATGTCTTTAAAAACACAACTCAATGCACAATAAAACAAAAAAAAAAAAAGACTAAGAATGAACGAAGACATATGATTGATATCATTCTTTGCATTCAAAAATGATAAAAAAAAAGTGACAAAAAAAGTTTGGGTCCATGTGACCTGACAGAGTTCACTGGGAAGTTTGGGTCCCTGTGACCTGACAGGGTTCACCAAGAAGTTTGGGTCCATGTGACCTGATAGGGTTCACCAAGAAGTTTGGGTCCATGTGACCTGATAGGGTTTACCTGAAGTTTGAGTCTGTGTGACCTGACATATGAGTTAGGTTTGGTACCTCTTGGTAGACTGGATGTGGCTGATATATACCATTTGTTTAATCTGAATTATGACTTAAATATTCATCTATTGTGCAGTATTATTTTTTCTGATCCTCAAAACTGCTTTTGTTTATAATCACTGTATATCTGGTTATATATTTTGATGTTTGTAAAGCTGATTCCTTCACTTTGACATGAAATCCCAAACAGCATTTTAACAAAATGATAACCAGCTGTATGGTGCTCTATTTCTTGTCCCACAATTTTCCAAAAAAGAGAGAAAAAAAAAGAAAAAAAAAACACCATGAGTGATTTTATAACTTGTGATTTCTATTTACCTTATAAGGATATCCATTGGTCCTTTCCTGTCAGTGTTAATCAGTGAATTTGCCTGGTTTCAAACCTGTTCTTCCTTGAAATGTGATTAAGTAACAGGATCAATTCAGGGAAGAATGAGTACCCATTTACTACATCACGTACAAAAGCACTAGACTGCCAAACAATGGTGCTTGATAAATGTGATGTTTGCTTACATATAGTTAATCATTATAGGTCCTTACATATGTTACTAATATTAGATATATTTTAGTTAGAATCATTTGTTATTTTAATCATATTTGTTACCATTATTAGAAATATTTCTATGCTTACTAGGTATCACTTGTTCTTTGATTCCCTTGTTTGATACTAGGAAGCAGGAGTTGGGTTATCACATGGCTACAGGTTACACAATGAACCATGAGTTGGGTTATCACATGGCTACAGGTTACACAATGAACCAGGAGTTGGGTTATCACATGGCTATAGATTACACAATGAACCACGAGTTGGGTTATCACATGGCTACAGGTTACACAATGAACCAGGAGTTGGGTTATCACATGTCTATAGATTACACAATGAACCACGAGTTGGGTTATCACATGGCTACAGGTTACAAAATGAACCACGAGTTGGGTTATCACATGGCTATAGATTACACAATGAACCACGAGTTGGGTTATCACATGGCTACAGGTTACACAATGAACCAGGAGTTGGGTTATCACATGTCTATAGATTACACAATGAACCACGAGTTGGGTTATCACATGGCTACAGGTTACACAATGAACCAGGAGTTGGGTTATCACATGGCTATAGATTACACAATGAACCACGAGTTGGGTTATCACATGGCTATAGATTACACACGGATCAGGAGTTGGGTTATCACATGGCTACAGGTTACACAATGAGCCAGGAGTTTGGTTATCACATGGCTATAGATTACACAATGAACCAGGAGTTGGGTTATCACATGGCTATAGATTACACAATGAACCACGAGTTGGGTTATCACATGGCTATAGATTACACACGGATCAGGAGTTGGGTTATCACATGGCTACAGGTTACACAATGAGCCAGGAGTTTGGTTATCATATGGCAATAGATTACACAATGAACTAGGAGTTGGGTTATCACATGGCTATAGGTTACACAATGAACCAGGAGTTGGGTTATCACATGGCTATAGATTACACAATGAACCACGAGTTGGGTTATCACATGGCTACAGGTTACACAATGAACCACGAGTTGGGTTATCACATGGCTATAGATTACACACGGATCAGGAGTTGGGTTATCACATGGCTACAGGTTACACAATGAGCCAGGAGTTTGGTTATCATATGGCTATAGATTACACAATGAACCAGGAGTTGGGTTATCACATGGCTACAGGTTACACAATGAACCAGGAGTTTGGTTATCATATGGCTATAGATTACACAATGAACCAGGAGTTGGGTTATCACATGGCTATAGATTACACACGGATCAGGAGTTGGGTTATCACATGGCTATAGATTACACAATGAACCAGGAGTTGGGTTATCACATGGCTATAGATTACACAATGAACCAGGAGTTGGGTTATCACATGGCTACAGGTTACACAATGAGCCAGGAGTTTGGTTATCATATGGCTATAGATTACACAATGAACCAGGAGTTGGGTTATCACATGGCTACAGGTTACACAATGAACCAGGAGTTGGGTTATCACATGACTATAGATTACACAATGAACCAGGAGTTGGGTTATCACATGGCTACAGGTTACACAAGGATCAAGCGTTGGGTTATCACATGGCTACAGATTACACACGGATCAGGAGTTGGGTTATCACATGACTATAGATTACACAATGAACCAGGAGTTGGGTTATCACATGACTATAGATTACACAATGAACCAGGAGTTGGGTTATCACATGGCTACAGGTTACACAATGAACCAGGAGTTGGGTTATCACATGACTATAGATTACACAATGAACTAGGAGTTGGGTTATCACATGGCTATAGATTACACAATGAACTAGGAGTTGTTTCGTCACGTACCTTAGTTCATGCATTGAACAACAAGTTGTTTTCTTGTGTTGTAGGTAAGTTGTAGCAACTGTGTCAGTTTTTTTGTTTAAGTATTTTGTTTAAATGATTTGGTATGAATGGAATCCAGTTTCTGAAATAATGTGATAATTATGCTTTACCTGTCATAGGTGTTAGGGAAGGAATTATTGTAGAGGTTACGTGATATTGGAAGGTGTGATTTGCATGTAAAAGATACAATATCCTAGTATATGTAACTTTGTGGTCCTTTAGCAGGAATCACCATTGTGCTGCAAAGTTAAAACACAAGTATTAATCAGAAAACCTTGTTAGTGTTTGTTTGTGTCTTCTTATGTAGGATAGGGAGGTCATACCTGTCCTACACACTAACACTCTCTTATCTCATACAACAAAGTGAAAAAAGTCCAACTTTCAAACCTCTCTCACAATCTGACCAAATCTTTATTTGATGACATAATCAGATATTCTGTCTGACAATGTAACCGAGTCTTCTGTCTGACAATGTAACCAAGTCTTCTGTCTGACAATGTAACCAAGTCTTCTGTCTGACAATGTAACCGAGTCTTCTGTCTGACAATGTAACCAAGTCTTCTGTCTGACAATGTAACCAAGTCTTCTGTCTGACAATGTAACCAAGTCTTCTGTCTGACAATGTAATAGAATATTCTGTCTGACAATGTAACCAAGTCTTCTGTCTGACAATGTAACCAAGTCTTCTGTCTGACAATGTAATAGAATATTCTGTCTGACAATGTAACCAAGTCTTCTGTCTGACAATGTAACCAAGTCTTCTGTCTGACAACGTAACCAAGTCTTCTGTCTGACAACCTAACCAAGTCTTCTGTCTGACAATGTAACCAAGTCTTCTGTCTGACAATGTAACCAAGTCTTCTGTCTGACAATGTAACCAAGTCTTCTGTCTGACAATGTAACCAAGTCTTCTGTCTGACAATGTAACCAAGTCTTCTGTCTGACAATGTAATAGAATATTCTGTCTGACAATGTAACCAAGTCTTCTGTCTGACAATGTAACCAAGTCTTCTGTCTGACAATGTAACCAAGTCTTCTGTCTGACAATGTAACCAAGTCTTCTGTCTGACAATGTAACCATGTCTTCTGTCTGACAATGTAACCAAGTCTTCTGTCTGACAATGTAACCAAGTCTTCTGTCTGACAATGTAACCAAGTCTTCTGTCTGACAATGTAACCAAGTCTTCTGTCTGACAATGTAACCAAGTCTTCTGTCTGACAATGTAACCAAGTCTTCTGTCTGACAATGTAACCATGTCTTCTGTCTGACAATGTAACCAAGTCTTCTGTCTGACAATGTAACCAAGTCTTCTGTCTGACAATGTAACCAAGTCTTCTGTCTGACAATGTAACCAAGTCTTCTGTCTGACAATGTAACCAAGTCTTCTGTCTGACAATGTAACCAAGTCTTCTGTCTGACAATGTAACCAAGTCTTCTGTCTGACAATGTAATAGAATATTCTGTCTGACAATGTAACCATGTCTTCTGTCTGACAATGTAACCATGTCTTCTGTCTGACAATGTAACCAAGTCTTCTGTCTGACAATGTAACCAAGTCTTCTGTCTGACAATGTAACCAAGTCTTCTGTCTGACAATGTAACCATGTCTTCTGTCTGACAATGTAACCAAGTCTTCTGTCTGACAATGTAACCAAGTCTTCTGTCTGACAATGTAATAGAATATTCTGTCTGACAATGTAACCAAGTCTTCTGTCTGACAATGTAACCAAGTCTTCTGTCTGATAACCTAACCAAGTCTCCTGTCTGACATTGTTATCAAATATTCTGTCTGATAACCTAACCAAGTCTTCTGTCTGATAACCTAACCATGTCTTCTGTCTGACAACCTAACCATGTCTTCTGTCTGACAACCTAACCAAGTCTTCTGTCTGACTATGTAACCAAGTTTTCTGTCTGACAACCTAACCAAGTCTTCTGTCTGACAATGTAACCAAGACTTCTGTCTAAAAGCCTAACCAAGACCAGACAATATTTGCGGGACTTTGTGACCTAATTTCCTCAGTTTTCTTCTGCTTTGATTATCGTTTTCAAAATAACAACTCCTGTGTGATACAATCTGTTGGCTTTGTAAAAATTTCTGTCCTTAGGAACTTCAATTGATCTAACTCTATCCTATTTTGGTCTTTTTTCAGTTTATATAGTATGCTATTGTGTCAGATTTAATGTATGTGTTTTCTGTTTACCTGGTGGAAAGTTGTAGATGTCATTCTGTTTTAATTGTGATCCATTTTGCTAAAGAGGCAAGTGTTCTTCCCACTTTAGTGCTTTTAGTGGTCAGATTTTGGTGTAGATATATCTCCCAATGAAAATCTGTCCATTCTGATGTCAATGCATACCTTCCTCCTCACCAAGTTTACTGATGTGTGACCTGTAAGTTTGTGTACAGGCGGGTAGGATTTATTAGGTAATTGTTACCAAACTAAGATGTGCCACATCACTACTGTTTCAGGACACCGATCGTGAGGAAATCATATCAGGGGTATTGCCAGCTTTCTTGTCTTGTACTGGTCACTAGATGGCGAGTGGCAGTCATTTTGTATATTTTAAATACTTATAATTAGCTTTTGTATCCATTAATTCATTTGAGATAAAACATATTGAAAAATTCCTATATAAATTTGATTAATTTTAAGTTAAAGCATTACTTTTTATTCAAGAATATATCATTATATTGACACTTTGTCATCTATTAACATACAAAGGAAACTTACTGTATTGATACTCTTACGCTACAAAATGGCTGTCCCACGTCAATGCTGTGAACTATTGAACAATTGAAGTGGATGGTCCTTGCCAATTTATTTCTTCTTCTTTCCACGTTTCCTCTAGTTCTGTGTTTCAACGCGATTGGAATAAATCACAGGAAAAGAATCCAAGATAATTTGCATTGTTATATATATGTAAATTGAGGATCTAAAACAATCAATAAGAGAAACAATTGTTTTTTCAAAAGATGTTTTCATTTATGAAATTTGATGATTTGAAATAAAGGGGAAATAATTTTTTTTTTTAATTGTGGATCCATTGATAAAGGAACAATTGAGGGTCTTATGACTGCCTTTGCTTTCATTTGGTGTTAAAATTTAAATAAAAAAATTGATATGGAATTTTACATAATTCAGCAAATATTTTGAAATTGAATTCATTATTTTAGATGTTATATGAGTATAAAAAAATAGTTTTTTCATTATATTTTCAACTCAAAGGTAGATAAAGTTGCTGCACAGAACTAGCTACGTCTTGTTGCATGTTGTTATTTGGTTGAGAATTTTGTTTATAAAAAGTTCTCCGGTTTTGATAATTGTGTAGTAGGTAAATACCACATTATATATCTTCCCTTATGTAAACCTGTAATTACGTGTTGTACCTATATATATATCCGTAGAAGTTGTTGTATACATATGTATTTTATACCTTATAAACTGCATGATGTTTAATTCAATTTTCATATAGTCATTTTTCCAGACCACGTCATTTCTAATTTTCTTCAAGTACTCACATGCCATGTTGACCACAGTGTTCACTTGGATTTATTCTTTTGAGTGCTCAAATATCACGTCAACCATTATGTTCTTTTTCTGCTCACAAGTCAACCACAGCGAGATAGCTTCCATGAAGTTTCCTTCTCTCTGTTAAAGAAGTTCTCAAAATCTGATCTGTGTTATAAAATCATAAATTTTTCTTTTTTCCTTAACTTTGAAATACAGAGAAAAGATATGTTATGGAGAAATACAAGGAACATAGATGTAAGATGTGTAATACTTTGTTTAATACATTGGCATATGTAGATTTTCTTCCTTCTGTATAGTGTTTTTCAATTTGAAAAATGTTACCAATTCAGGTATTGAAAAAAATTAAGAAATGAATCTGTTGACGCTTCTTTGTATCAGCAGTTAAAGTTAAATATTGTATTGTACAGTATTGTGTTGAAAATAACTTTTTAATTATACCAATGGGTCTTGTATTTTGTAATTTACAAATTTTTGTCAAATCCATTCATAGTTTTCTGGTCGTAGTTGATACTTATCTAATGTCCATGTGCATTCATTCTCGTGTGTTATTCAATTTCAATCATTCAAGCATGGCATCAGTTTTTGCCTTAATTTTTTTACTAAAAATACTGTATCATTGGTAATTTTTTTTAAAAATCTATCATCATTTCCCTGTGTGCATTAGACAAACATTACATTGAGTTTGACTTTTTCTTCAATCTCTTCTCATTTTTTGTATTCGTTCATGTATCCTTTCTGAAAATGAAGTAGTATCTAATTTCTTGATCCATTTACAAGCGTGACCGTGACAGATGGTACTGGTAATGTATTAAATCAGAACTGACAGCTTCTGTAGATATGAGGAAGATGTATACCCAAACCATTTGGTTTTGGAGCATGCTACCATCAGTGGATACATTGAGTCTTGTGTCGGTAGAGGTGCTAAGTTATATTGTAGTAAACAATGTGCATACCTGTCTTAATTAGTCTGTGTACTCTGTAAAATTCATGTTTTATTTTGTAGATATAGGAGTTCCTCTAGTTAAATAAAAAGGATTTTTTTTATCTTTTGTTTATGATTGAATTGTTTTAGAATAATTAGAATGTTTTGTTTATGTTAATTGCTGTATATATATATTAAGATTTTTATTGTAACATTCATTATATGATTATGTGTGATTACAGAAAGATACAGAGGCAGATATTGAAGAATACTTGATTGAAAGTCTGGCAGCAGATGAAGGTGTAAGTATCAAACGATAAAGAACTGAAAAGTCCTATGTACAAGGCAGTCATAAAAATCATTTAATAGTACAAGGTAACTTTGACAAATCAAAAACATAACAAACTCTCTCAAAGTTTTAATTTCATGTTAAGTTTAAGTTCAATTAGAAGAAAGGTTAATTACATGACTTAATTAATGCAAAAATTTTAAGAAAAAAGAAGTTCCTTTATTGTCAAAATCCATCTTGACATCTGATTGGCTATTTCTGATTTATGATATTAAGAAAAGTTAAAAGAATAAAAAACTTGAATTTTCATTTTACATTTGTAGCCAGCAGATGACAAAGTAAAATGGCAGAAAGTGTTGTATCGCAAGATAGGCGGTAACCATGGAGGGGAGATAAACCAGAGACAGGCTATAGATAGGATCCTGTCCATGGCCAAGGTCATGCATGGTCTCCACATGGTATGTACAACTTTCATATTAACATACAGAAATATATAGATGTAGGGGTAGTTTGCATCGACTGTACATGTAGTGCCTATGATATAGTAGCTGTAGACCAAACTGATAATCACTCCAGTTTCACCAATGTTCTTTAACTAAAGTCATCCTATAGGAAAGCATTATTGTTGGCATTCAGGGAAAATCTTTCATGCAATTTTCCTTAACTTCAATAATGTTTTCTAACAGGGAAATTTAGATTGAGATATTTATACCTTGGATAAAAGAAAGTCCATGAAACCGGGGCAAAATACCTAATTGTTAGAGAAAAAGTAAACTTTGATTTTTAATGAACTTGATTAAATTATCTTGGCAGAAATAACTCTGTAATTCTCATGTATTGTAGTTAGTATATTAATGAAACAAATATTTTATGGTTTATGTATTAACAGTGTTGTTATAGTGGACTGTGGATATTAGTTGCTTATATGAAAATTTTGTTCACATGTAATTGGGTTTTTAAGTCACAAATTCCTTTGGAATGATAACTTTAAATCTTTTATGTTTTGATGAACAAGGGTGCTAAGATTTATCAAATTTGACTAATAGATGTCTGGAGGAAAGGCTATTATTCTTTTTCCATATGGAATAAATGTTTCACAAAGTTTGAACTAATGTTATTTGGATAACTACTTGGTATGTGGATGACCAAATGAATTCTTGCAGTGAACAATCAGGCCATGCTCAGTGTCTAGTGGCCTGCTCGGGTAAAGAGTGTTAACATCGTTAGATGTGATGAAAACTCAGTTTTTTCTAACTGAATACTTTATTCTAGAACCATAGCAGATGAGTACTATGGAGCCTTGTGTTGTGTTTTCTTTTGTAAAACATTAAGTCTGTAACTAAAGAAATTTGATATCGAAAATTTGAGTCAGAAACTTTTGGTAAATGTTTTGTATCTCAAAAAGTAAGAATTAACATAAATAAGCTCTTTTTATTGGCTTCTGAATTAAAGTTATATTTTTAAGAAAAAACTTTTATCTTTTAACATTGAACATTGAAGTTGTTTCTAGATTATGTATATTCATTTCCTTTGTATGGTTTTAGAATTTACTTTATTTTAGTAAACTGTTTATGACCTTAGAGCTATTTTGTGTCCAACTTTTTATAATGGCCAGAAAACAGATTGATTGTACCCAAGATTTTCATTTTTGAGAAGAGAAAAAAAGATGGGTTGAAATTTTTAAATAGAACAGTTATTAAATCATCAGTATACAATGTATATTTCAAGTTATATTTTTAAGTTATCTTCATGTATGAATTGAAAGATTGAAAGTGAGTGTGTTTATCTGACATGTGTGATCTTGGGTGATATTTTTTGGTGACATCATAGCAATTCGGGTGTCCGTAAGTAATTGTTCATCTCCTCTACACAGTTGAGCTGTATTTATTATACCTAGAGTAAGGCTTGGAATTACTACAAGATTTCTGAAATACTTAACTGAGCTGTTGTCACTGTCCTTGATGTATAAAGTGTAACCAGGGAGCTATCTTTGACGTGTTTTCAGCAACAGGATCCTTCGTTAGCTTCTAGCCTCATGACGAATTCTAAGGTAATCTTGTATGGCAAGAAGATGTATCTGTATGGATAGCTCACTCTTCACTTATGCCTGGTAGTTCAATAATATATCTCATCATCCCATTATTTCATGGCTGCCAGAACAAAGTATTTGTAGGATGCTTATCTACAGTCTTTGTGTAGGCAGTATCTGTTGTATTGTTCTTTGTTTCAGTAATACTTGCATGGAATACCTTCCACATGTCCGTGCATTTCAATCCCTGGTGATACAGGTTATCAAATTATGTCTTACTTCCACGTGTTGTAGAAAGGGTTTGAATTGCAGACAGCCTATCATGTAGACTTGTCTGGATCCAATAAATGCCAATGAAAGCCAATAAGAATTAGGGGTAATGCAAGAATTCCTCTCTGCAGAAGGTAGCAGATCTTAAGCAGATATTTGTTTTTTCATTAATTATTAGAATTTGTTGAATTAGAGAAAAGAAAGGAAGGAAAGAAATGGGACAGATGTGGCCTAGCTGGAACAGTTTGGCTTTATAACATTTTCTTGAGACGATCAGCTTCTATATAAGTTTGAGTGTAAGCTTGCATGAAGAAAAATGTACTTGCAGCATCAAGTACTTCAGCCTTAATAGAATGTATGGAAATAACTTTGCTCAACAGCTGTATTACAGGTATTGACAGAAGTTGTCATCTATATGACAAAGCTTAACATAATTCCTAGGCACACTGTAGTGCAGTAAACAAACTAACCCATCACAAAGAGGAGGTAACATGACTAATTAACAATGAGGTTTCAGAAAATTAAAGGAGTCCATAGGAGCTATCTTTCTTCCTTTTTTCATTTTTTATCATTTTGCCGTTTTGTGTAACCTTACTTGTTGTTTATTGCCTTTATAGTTTGAAATGAATGTGAAGGTGGATGGGAGGTATGGCGGCATGCTCTCCGTAAGTTGATAGGTTGTTGTATCGCGAAGTTACTCGTCCACTAAGAACACTACATGTTACTAATAGAAGGATTTTCTACACATCGACATTTTAATGCAGATTTTTGACATAGAATAGTTTGATGTTGATGTAACTTTAAATGCCGTTCAGATTTTTTTTTTTTTATTTAAACAAAAACATGTTATATTAATCACAAAAAATAAGGTCAGTCAAATAATTGTCAGCTCTTGGTGAAATTTTCAACTATTTATATTCACTCATTAGAACCATGCAAAAATTTCAAAAGCCTGCATTTTTGGAATATATCCCTCCCCTGTGTGGTTCTTCAGGGTTATACTGTCGACGGCTGTTCCTGAAAATTGGCTTATTTATTAACATGGCAATCTTAGTTACAGGAAAAATATGTTGAGCTGCTGTTGGAATGGTGTGGATACACTAACATTATATCCATACATAACTTCTCCCATTTTGAAGTTGGAATTGTATAATGAAACCTAAAAATACATTTACATATTTCTGTCTTTGTGGAATTCTATTATGTTTTTTTTAATACTTTTATTTTTGTGTTTTGAAACCCTTAACTTTACCAATGGGAGAATTTAATTTCATATTCAAGACAATGATTTGCTATTTCTGATAAAATTTAATACTCCTAAACTTCTGAAAGGAATATTTTAACACAGTAACTATAAATAGATCTCCAGTTTATTTTTTTTTTGCTTCTATTTCTTTTTTTTTTTTTTTTTTTTTTTAGTGATTATCAAGGGGCTGGAAAAATTGTAATATTTATGGTGAATGTGAATGATTTTTGAAAGTTAATACCTACAATTCCTCTCTTTGAGATATACATTAAATGTGTAAAAATAACTAATTGTTGAACAGAGCTGTTTTTTCAGGAAAATAATGTCTAGATAAGAGACTGATTTATTGTAAAAACCTGCATTATTTGCATAATTACATAGTGAGGGTTTAATTCATCATAGATAAATTTTTATGTTTTTGAAAAAAAATGACTTCTTTAGAAATATGATAATCATTGACTTGAAATCATCATGAGTTCAAAGCTGGAACCTAAACTTGCGAATTAATCATTGTTTTGTAGCACAGCTTGTGATTTGTAAGGATGGTGTGATTGTCACCAAGTCGTGGTTGTTTTTTATTGTATAATCTTTTTTGTGAATGCATTGTTTATATGTGTATCAGTATATATGTTTTATAACCTCTGTTACAAACCCTTTATTTTACTCTTTATCAAACATATCACTGATCAGTGATTGGTGTGGATTTCTAATTAATACATTCCGAAATGTTTATGACTGATTTCATTGAATTATAAACCATAAAGATTTTTGGATATTGGGGTATTTCAGAATAAGCAACAATTTGTTAAAGAGGGGTTTTTAGTGGTCAAGATTAGATTAAGGTTCTACTAAGGAGCATTATAGAGGTTATGGTTGCAGCTTTGTTATACAAAGGGAGCATTTTAGAGGGTAGAATTCTATAAAGGTTCTATAAAGGGGACATTTCAGAGGTGATAATTACATCTAAGTTATACAAAGAGGGACATTTCAGAGGTGATAATTACATCTAAGAAGTAAAAATGGGCATTTGGGGTGGATGTCAAGAGTTCACAAATTCTACTTCAACAAAATCAAAAGGAAGAACTCCATTATTTAGCAGCCTTCAAATCAGTACATAACAATACTTCAGAGATTCAATATCCTCTGAATGTTTCTCTTATATATCTTTTTTATTATCTGTTGTTAAGTTTGAATGAAATAAAAATTAGTTTGGTTACCAGATGGCTGAAAAACAGGTGATTTAGTTGATAGGTGGCTGTAATTAGCCGCCTTTGACACTAGCGTTACTACTTTCCTATATCCTTGGCTCTAAAGTAGTACGTAGAATGCTTCTCAGCTTGACATTCATGAAACTCCACAGGATATATTGAAGATACTAACCATATCTAATTTTCTTGGTTATGAATCATTATTTCTGTTTGTTTGCTTTAGTTACTTTGTCAAGATTTATTTTGCTTTTTTGTTTTATTTAGTTTTATTTCATTTCTTCCTTTCTGAATTTTATTTATTTGCTGCAGCTGATTATAACTGTATTCCCTGTAACAAGTACTAAAGTGATAGTGTAAGAAGGTGATGATACCTTGATGCCATCTCTATCTTCTCAGCCATCCAGAAATATTAATCAAATCAGGCAATTTTCCTCCACTCAATCTTTAAAAGACACTACACTATATTTGTCATTGCTTGATTGAGAGATATTTCTGGATTTAAGTATTGTCCTATGTGTGGTCGCCATATTCATAATCACTTTGTTATCTATCTGTCCACAGGTTGAACATCCTTCTCCATCTCACAAAAATGCATGGAAGAAAGTTATCTCCAGTCAAAGGAAAAGGGCTGTAATGGCTTGCTTCAGGATGGTACCTCTTCACAACCTGCCGAGGTAAGTCACTGTTACTCCACAATTTGCCAGAGTCACTGTTACTCCACAATCTGCCAAATTGAGTCACTGTTACTCCACAATCTGCCAAATTGAGTCACTGTTACTCCACAGCTTGCCATGGTGAGTCACAGTTACTCCACAATCTGCCAAAGTGAGTCACTGTTACTGCACAGCTTGCCATGGTGAGTCACAGTTACTCCACAATCTGCCAAAGTGAGTTACTGTTACTCAATAGCTTGCCATGGTGAGGCACTATTACTTCACAATCTGCCAAAATGAGTCCATGTTACTGCTCCACAATCTGCCAAAGTGAGTCACTGTTACTCGACAACCTACCAAGGTGAGTTATGTCTACTTCAAATCCTATCAAGGCCAAGGTGAGTCACTAACGATACATAACCTACCAGGGTAAGTCATGTCTACTTCAAAATCTACTAAGATGGGTCATTATTACTCCACAACATACCAAGGCCAAGGTGAGTTACTAATGATAAATAGCCTGTCATGATGAGTCTTGTCTACATCACAACATGCCAAAGTTACCATTGGAGGAGATGGACTGGAGCTCACACTTGGTGAAGAAAGTGATAACCAGAATTCTGATTAAAGCCATGTAGACAATAGTTTAAACGTTGTGACAGCTTTTGCTCCAGCACTAAAACTTATACTTACCTTCATACCAACAGGCACAGAGCCATCAACTTGTTCATGAAGTCCTACAAGAAGCAGTGGATGGATATGGAAGAAAGTGAGAAGAAAGTCCTCATAGAAGATCTCACGGTGAGGCTTCTTTTCAGTTAGTAACAAGAAATGATGAACAAGCGGTTTACATTGATGTTTTCTCATTGTCTGCGATGGCCAGAGCTTATACTGTTGTCCATGGCTTTCATTCTATCATAATTTGGTTTCCGCTCAGCCAATGAGGGTAATGACCTGAGTTCTATAATGAGAAGATATAGGTAAAGTTCTTAATTCATGGTCAACATATGTTTTCCAGAGTTATGTCATTCAACATCAAAATTGTTAAGAAATAATCAGTTTATTTTCTTTGCTAATAACACTGAAGAGCGCCATACTTTTAATTGATTGCTGGTCTATTTGGGTCATTTGTGTTGCACCAAAAATTTACTTCTTTTTTTTTTCTCCTAAAAAATCATATTTCAGATTTTATTTCATTTACACAACTTGTAGTAGTAAGTTATCATTAATGAGAAGTAACAGGTGCAATGTTAGAATTGTCTTTTCAGCAGGAAAGCGATGTATTTTGAAAGATTCCACATCACAGATTTAATAGAATTTGCACAAATCTTATATCTTTAGTACCCAAATGAAATTTTGAAAATTCCAACTCACTAAATATAACTGTTATTCAAATGTAACTATATAATATAAGCTATGCTAATTGTACATGTACCAATATCTCTACCCCATCTTTCTATACATCTGACTTCATCTAATCAAGGCTAAAAAACTCAGGATTACTGGTACAATAGAACAGAAATGACATGTTTGATATTTGTGATTTTCGTTTCAACATATAACCTTTGCATTTGTAGAAATCAGATGATGCAGAAGAAGATGCTGAGAAGAAGGAGACCGATGAGGAAGAGAAACCAGATTCCCTAAAACAGCTGATGACCTGTCTCAGTCGGGCAGCAACCAAGGAACAACAAGGCAGTCTTCCAGAGGATGAACTCTACATGGCTTACTCCAAGATCATGGCTCAGGTAGGTGTTAGATTGGCCATCAATGGTCATGACTCAGGTAGGTGTTAGATTGGCCATCAATGGTCATGGCTCAGGTAGGTGTTAGATTGGCCATCAATGGTCATGACTCAGGTAGGTGTTAGATTGGCCATCAATGGTCATGACTCAGGTAGGTGTTAGATTGGCCATCAATGGTCATGGCTCAGGTAGGTGTTAGATTGGCCATCAATGGCCATGACTCAGGTAGGTGTTAGATTGGCCATCAATGGTCATGACTCAGGTAGGTGTTAGATTGGCCATCAATGGTCATCACTCAGGTAGGTGTTAGATTGGTCATCAATGGTCATGACTCAGGTAGGTGTTAGATTGGCCATCAATGGTCATGACTCAGGTAGGTGTTAGATTGGCCATCAATGGTCATGACTCGGTTAGGTGTTAGATTGGTCATCAATGGTCATGACTCAGGTAGGTGTTAGATTGGCCATCAATGGTCATGACTCGGTTAGGTGTTAGATTGGCCATCAATGGTCATGACTCAGGTAGGTGTTAGATTGGCCATCAATGGTCATGACTCGGGTAGGTGTTAGATTGGCCATCAATGGTCATGACTCAGGTAGGTGTTAGATTGGCCATCAATGGTCATGACTCGGGTAGGTGTTAGATTGGTCATCAATGGTCATGACTCAGGTAGGTGTTAGATTGGTCATCAATGGTCCCTGTTAAATGAACAATGAATTGAAAGAGAGAGCAATTCACTGTGGATAAGAGATTACAGAGAGTAATTCATATTTCATTTCCATATATGTGAGCAGAGATTTTGATTTTTTTTCAGAGCTGCCACTGTGAGGATGAAGATGAAGATGATGATGGAGGTGATGCTGAAGGTCCTGGTTCATCATTCCAGGTAAATTGATGTGATCTTAGCTAGTTTTCTTCCTGAAGATATCTGTAATTCTATCAAGTTCTACTTTACCTGTAAGTGAATGGCAATGTTTCTTGTTACTCCTTTTTCTTCATTTGACTGTAAACAGTCAGGTCACGAAGGTCACAGGTGACATGTCAGGTTTTGTAGATCACAGGTGACATACTAGGTCCCAGAAGGTCACCGGTGATATGTTAAACCTGAAAGGACATAGGAGACACATTAGGTCTCAAAGGTCACAGATTAACAGGTGCTCATGAAACAATGTACATTATCATCTGTGTAAGCTTTATAGAGTTATTGCTATTATACATAAGTATACCCATGCCAATAACAGTAAGGCAGGTTTAGGAATGTTATTGTACAAACATATTGTACATATGTATCACCAAGATTTGTTTACACTCTGAAAAGCTGCTGCTTCGATGCTTCACACACATATAAAGGACCATAGCATCTCAAATGAGTTCAGGTTTCAGATTTGTATGGTCAAAGTCAAGGCCACTTTTACTATTCTTGGCAATTATGTGGCAGCATTCTAGTTATTTCATTCAGAATTTGCTCACCTATTAAGGGCTATAACACCTTAGACAATTATGAGTTTCAAGGTTGAAAGGTCAAGGTCACCATCTATCATTTTAGAAAGTCTTCGTCAGCACTAACAGCTTCATTATACCTACTTAGATGCATCCATGATAACATTGCGTACAAGATATCTCAGAAACATTGTGTTAGTAAAGGTTAAAGGTCAAAGGTCACTCTCAAATGAAAAATTTTAGTTCATACAAGCATCACAGTATCAAGTTGTACACCAGGTCAAATTTTGACAGTAATCATTTGAGGTTTAAAGTTGTCATTGTTGACCGTTTTTTAAATAAAAAGTTTATGTGTAACATATCTCATGAACCTGATAATAGATTAAACTCTCAATAGATTTAGATTACAAGAAGATGATGAGGGGATGGGGTTATATTTATATGAGCTCCTGCTTTAAGGGATTCATATAAGTTAAGGTTAAACTGCAAGAGAATAATGTATTGGTCAGAGTGCCTTGTAGGTACTTATTACTATGTATTTCGTTCTAACATAAAGACATTTATAGGTAATATTTAAATTACTACCATACTAATTGATATAGGTAGTGTTTATTGCTAACATCAATACAGATGTCTGTATAAAAATACAGACAGCTAACAGTATTGTTGAGTTTTAACATACAAATATACATATAGGTACACAAACAGTGTTAACTCATACGGCATTTTAGAGATCAACTTGAACTTGATCCAAGAGACAATATTTTATGGAATAAAATTTTGCTATCACCACAGCTGCAAACGGAACATTTGAAGGTATTAGAGCACTCTACATCAACACCACAATGTTGTGGGTAGAATATTTTAGTTTTGTAGAGGTCGTCAGTATACATAGCCATGACCTTCATTTGACTTCTCCCCTTAGTTACCAGTGTACATGTATTCTGTTGTGAAATTCCTGTCTTGCAGCCCTCACTGATCTTTTTCTTTGTTCTCCCGCCAACCTGGCCATAGCTGATCCATGTTCTACAACGGATTTCGCTTATAATTCATGAAATATTTTCAAAGATTTACATGAAGATTGTCATAATTTATCCATACAGACCAGATATCCTAGCGAGCTAAACTTTTTTTTGAAACAATATTATATGTAGAACAAATTGCTTTCAGCTATGACAGCTTCCTGTCCTAAACACCACATCACCCACTCTGTTCCTAGCACCTTTGTTAAAGACGATAGTTGTCAGATATCAGTGAAACAAAATGTCTGAAATACATGTAAAAATGTTCCTGATTTTTTTTTTTTTTTTTCACTAAGCTGTACAACAAGCTACTTCAAGTTAGTTTCAAGTTAAATTAGAAGTTACCTTTATTTGTAATCCTGTCAAAAAGTATGTATTTTCTTAGTTTAGCATCAATATCAAATTATTTGGCTAATAGGGATTAATTATTATACAAAAAAACCCAAAAGTACCTGTATACTCTGTCTCATCCATCATAACAGATTGTTCATGTTACTGTACAAGTGCAAAGTGTAGTACATAATTAATTATCAGCATAATGCTTTTTTAATCAGCAAGTACATTCATTGATCTGTTCAAAATTTATGGTAATGGAAAGTGAATCTTTTCCTAGGTTTCGGCCACTTTATAAATGTTTTTAATGTTAGCTGTGTTCCCTATGTAAGACCTTTGTTCTGTCCTACAGGAACAGGAAATGGAGAAGCAACAGTTGTTGTTTGAGCAGTCACGGTTGGCTGACAGAGGATCAGCAGAAATGATGCTTCTCTACATCAGTGCAAGCCGTGGTAAGTTGTGACAATGAACAGCTCCAAGGAATAAAATATTTGTTATTAGTTTGTTCCTTTTTCTCTTCTTGATCAGAGGTTTGTTTTGTTCATTACATTTATAAGTTAGAATTAAAATTTTTTATACCGAAGTAGAAGATATGGCACTTGTTCTTAGCATGCAAATTTGAATATTCCTGTGTGTTTTACAAGTTATGATCATTATGGTTAAGGTTGAATGTGACCTGTATTGCAGGTGTGTTCAGTCCAATGGTGGTTGACACAATTGAGCTGGGCATCTCCCTCCTTGGAGGAGGAAACGTTGAAGTACAGAAGGTAAAGTATAGATCATTTCTTAAATATACAACGGAAATCTGAAGACAATGTCCACCATATTTGCATATGTGGTCTTCATTTGTCTTAAAATAAATGTCTTACATGACTGATGCATTTCACTTTCATTCTTCCAGAAAATGCTCAACCACCTGAAGGATAAAAAAGATGTGGGATTCTTCACCTCTATAGCTGGTCTGATGCAGCAGTGTGGGTAGGTCATTTATCTTCTACGTCCACTTCCCGTACATCTACACACCATTTCAGATTTCTAGCAGTAGATTTGTATGTTTTGTTTTATATTTTGATTTATTATATATATCTTGTACATGGTAAGATTGGAAACCACTGTAGTGTGTTCAGTTTGTAGAGACTTCGTAACCTAAGGTGAAGGTTTGAGGCGTGCAGTTCAGCAATCACAATTCAAGACGGTTTGTATTTCTCAGGAAACTGAGAAAAGGACCATCTTGCGCTTATTTTGTTGTCTCGTTGGTCAAGACACTTTATGCCAATTTACATAGATGACCAGTGGTGGGCCTCCTGTTCAGTAAAGTTGTCACCAGCCGTTACATGGAGCCTTTGTCTCAAGAGAACCTTGCATTTGATGGGAACAGCAGAAGTACATAGTAAGATGTATTTAGATTGTGCTGACCTGTTGTCCTTTCTGACCAATGTTTCAGTGTTCTAAACCTTGATGCCTTTGAGAGAACCAACAAAGCTGAGGGTCTAGGTGTGAGCTCTGATGCAGGAGCAGGAGAAAAGAATCTCCATGATGCTGAGGTCACCATCAAACTATTCCGCTTCCTCCAACTGTTGTGTGAAGGTCACAACCTTGGTAAGACAGTCTCAGAAATAATGTATTATTTCCTTACCAACATCAATCAGCCAATGATGATACAAACAGCATGCTTAGTCATAGTGATTTCTCCAAGTTTTAATCATTTATATTTCAAAACTTGATATTGTTTTCTCTTTATGCAAATTTTTGAAAACTGTTAATTATTATTATTGTTACAGAACAATATTAATAAGCCACTTAATGTACATGCTTGTATGGAAAGATCCCACAAGCCTCTGAACAGATTTTCATTTTATCTGTAGTGTGGTACCATCAAAGTATTCACTTGGTTTGGTGGTCATTGCTCAAGTTAACATCTAATAGGTCACAGGTCACACTTTATAACTTTATGGAAGGTTTGGGAGGAAGTAGGGTGTATGTTTTTAAGCCTTTTGCTGTCTTTCATATGATTTATTTTCTACCATTCAGAGTTCCAGAACTACCTACGAACACAAGCAGGTAACAATACAACAGTCAATGTTGTCATCTGCACTGTGGACTATCTGCTGCGTCTCCAGGAGTCCATAATGGACTTTTATTGGCACTACTCTGGCAAAGATCTCATTGACCAGGCTGGCAAAGAGAATTTTGTACGAGCCATCAAGGTAGCCAAACAGATGTTCAGGTCCCTAACTGAGTACATACAGGTAGGTCAGCTAATTCTCTCTAGTATTTAAAGAGTAGACACAGTTAGACAAAGAGATTCTCTCATGTTCTTTAGATACACTTATGCCAAATATTCACTTCAGGTTCTTAAAGATAGGTCTGACACATGCATAGGTACAGTGTTCATTTCATTGTGTAAGATTACAGATTCAACAAAAAAAAAACCATACAATGATGTGAGCCAAGGCTATGACAAGCTGGTAAATCATTAACAAAAGGATTGCTAGTAAGTGCGACCATGGTGTGAAGGACATCATGATAGGTTTTGAAATAGCAGTTTTTATTGATGATTAGATGAAAGTTAAGCCAATCAGAATGCATCTTGTTTTGCTGACAGGGTCCCTGTTCCCAGAACCAGTTGGCTCTGGCTCACAGTCGACTGTGGGATGCTGTTGGAGGATTCCTATACATCTTTGCACATATGCAGGACAAGTTATCAAAGGTAGGTCATTGGACTACTTTTTTTATGCGCTAATGCCCTGCTATTTTAATGGGAAAGGAGGAGAGAGTGTGGGGTAGTAGTGTTACTCATCCCTCATGTCCCCTCCTGTCTCATTCTGAATCAATGTTCATATCTTGAGAACCTCTCAATAGATTTGGTTCACATTTATACAATAGTATCATGACATTAAGTTCTACTTTTCTTAACATGTTAAGGTGGTCATCAATCAAGATCAAAGGTTAAAGCTCACATTTGACAACTCTTGCAAATTCATCAAACACTAATATTCATATATATTGAGATCAGGGACATTCTTATTTGGGGTGGAGTTGGGGTAAGGGGTTGAAAATGTAGGAAAGAATTTCTAGGGAAAAAGGCCCCCTTTCATCTTGAAGTACATTTGCCAGCTTTCCATCATAATTCCTGAAATTTTCAAAATCTATATATTCTTGCATGGATAAATTTCTATAATTCACATTACAGTTTGTACATGTCAAATACTATTGAAACAATCTTACAGGGGTCATACTCATGGTAGTCTCTTTTGTATTGAGAGAGACATCTCCATCCATCAAGTCCCCAATTCCTTCTAGTCACAGCAGTTGTTGTTTGGTGAGCAACAAACACTGAAGTGGAAAAAGTTCGAGGTGTTCTGATAATCACAAACTATATGTTCCAATCAAATCTATTTATGGAAACAGGAGGTTTACAATGTTGTGGTCACATCCTAAATGACTTTATATACTTCACCATTGTGTTGTTTCTGGCCAATAGAAAACGTGGAATTACAGTTAAAATAATAATGGTAATTATTTGTTAATAAGGATCCATCTCAACTGGAACTGCTGAGGGAGTTTATGAGACTTCAGAAAGACATGATGATCATGCTGTTGTCTATGTTAGAAGGTAGGTTCTTGTATGTAGTAAACCTGATAGATGTTAAAATGGATGAGAAGTACACATGATCTAGGGAGACTTGAATGACCTTGAGGTGTTTCAAATGATCTTTATATGTTAGAAGAGAATTAAACTATAACAGAACAGCTCAGAGATTAAATCAAACATATATAAAGAAGACAATGAGTAATTTGACAAACTGGTAGATAGCTTTGAAAAACATTGCCATGTTGATGACCTTGTCATCTTTGAAGATAAATGTATCTTGTCATGCAGTACAACAATATTTTCTGAGTAAGGAAACCTGAGAGTATAATAATAGCAATTATTCTAAATTTTCACTCTGTACTGAACTAACACTGACATTGTTACAGGAAATGTAATGAATGGAGCAATCGGCAAACAGATGGTGGACACATTGGTGGAGTCTTCAGGGAATGTAGAGGTAGGTGTCACATAACCTGATCACAGTATAGGTAAAATTGTACAGACTAAGGTCACACCTGATCACAGTATAGGTAGGATTGTATAGATTAAGGTCACACCTGATCACAGTATAGGTAGGATTGTACAGACTAAGGTCACACCTGATCACAGTATAGGTAGGATTGTACAGACTAAGGTCACACCTGATCACAGTATAGGTAGGATTGTATAGACTAAGGTCACACCTGATCATAGTATAGGTAGGATTGTACAGACTAAGGTCACACCTGATCACAGTATAGGTAGGATTGTACAGACTAAGGTCACACCTGATCATAGTATAGGTAGGATTGTACAGACTAAGGTCACACCTGATCATAGTATAGGTAGGATTGTACAGACTAAGGTCACACCTAGGAGGATAAGGTCACAGATAGGTAGGTACAGACTAAGGTCACACCTGATCATAGTATAGGTCACACCTGGATTGTACAGACTAAGGTCACACCTGATCATAGTATAGGTAGGATTGTACAGACTAAGGTCACACCTGATCATAGTATAGGTAGGATTGTACAGACTAAGGTCACACCTGATCATAGTATAGGTAGGATTGTACAGACTAAGGTCACACCTGATCATAGTATAGGTAGGATTGTAAAGACTAAGGTCACACCTGATCATAGTATAGGTAGGATTGTACAGACTAAGGTCACACCTGATCATAGTATAGGTAGGATTGTACAGCCTCAATAATTCATTATGATATATTGTTAGACTGAATGTGGAGAAAATATATTTCTAATTTCTATTTTCAGATGATTCTGAAGTTCTTTGACATTTTCCTAAAGATGAAAGACCTGACCTCATCTGAAGCTTTCCTGGTAATATCTCAGATTTAATAGGTTGTCTTAATTCTAACATCTGTAACATATTACTGCATTAATCAAAATGTATTTGAAAAATCTTCAAAGTATAGTAATAAATCACAGGGTCATGTGACAGTCCTATTTACATTATGTATGAAACTGAATGTCATTTATTGGTATAATATGATTTTTTTTTTCACTCGGTCTGTAAATATAAAATTTACGTATCTTTAAGATCAAATGATAATAACATTGCATTGATGTAAGAGTGGATGTTGAATGGTTTTACAGTTTACTCTATCTTAACCAGACATCCTGGAGACCACAAATTGTGGTCACTTTATTAAAAATGTCTGCTTGTTGTATATTATCATTATCAATGATTGTGTGGTATTAATCCTGATTGAAGTTTAGAGCGTACTGTATGTCAGTAATGGTCTGAGACCTTTGACCTGGTACCTGTCAGAGCAGGGGCCTGCAAAGTCAGATGTGTGATTTTATTGGTCCACTTTTAGGAGTTTGACACCAACAAGGATGGGTACATATCTGCTAAAGAGTTCAGGAAAGCTATGGAAGCCCAGAAAATGTATACACGGTCCGTATATATAAACTGTTGTGGACATGTGTAATGTGCTCACACTCTTGTACTGAGTAACACATCACTCTCGTCACATGTGCATACGCTGTAGATAGATACTCAATGCGTGCTTGCTTGTCAAGTGGGGAGTTCTGTTCAGCCATCATTTAAGTCTTGTAATCATTCAAATTCTGAAAGCACTTTTGGAGCCCAAATTCATCAAACTGTTTGATTCAACTTAAAGTCTATATTTTATTACCTGATATTTGAATGCATGAGGAACTGGTACAGAATTCCCTGCTTTAGTAACCTAACTTCTCTTCACAGCCTATGTTGACTGTCTATATAATCTATGTATTCTGTCTCTTCCTGTACGACACGTCTCTTTATGTCTGTAATAGGAATTTGATGCTAACAAAGATGGTTGGATCTCACCTAAAGAGTTCCGCAAAGCTATGGAGTCAATGAAAGTCTACTCGGAGTAAGTCTGTACAATGACCCAGCCAGCATGGAATGATGTTTTCTCCATTTTTCACCAGAATTTTTGTAGGCGCGAGCACTCACAGAGTGTCGCATCCATTATTTTTGTTTCGCCGAAAGTTGTCCGTTGACACTTTGTACTAACACTGCACAAGACAAATTCGTCATCTGGTGTCCTATAATATTTGAGAAGAAATAATCTGTTCTGTTCAGCATTATACATACTTTGAACAAATAGAGACCAGTTCATGTATGTAAATACCACTTCAGCTGAAAAAGTCAATAGAGACCAGTTCATGTATGTAAATACTACTTCAGCTGAAAAAGTCAATAGAGACCAGTTCATGTATGTAAACACCACTTCAGCTGAAAAAGTCAATAGAGACCAGTTCATGTATGTAAATACTACTTCAGCTGGAAAAACCAATAGAGACCAGTTCATGTATGTAAATACAACTTCAGCTGAAAAAGTCAATAGAGACCAGTTCATGTATGTAAATACCACTTCAGCTGGAAAAACCAATAGAGACCAGTTCATGTATGTAAATACAACTTCAGCTGAAAAAGTCAATAGAGACCAGTTCATGTATGTAAATACCACTTCAGCTGAAAAAGTTAATAGAGACCAGTTCAGGTATGTAAACACCATTTCAGCTGGAAAAACCAATAGAGACCAGTTCATGTATGTAAATACCACTTCAGCTGGAAAAACCAGTAGAGACCAGTTCATGTATGAGAACTATTATGTTCGCTATTTTTAAATGTAATATTTTCTGCGATAAAGCCTGACGAATGTTAATACAAATCTTGTTCAGAGTCTTTACCCCTATTAAGTCTCTCATTATTCATTGCTGATTGGTCAGTTCCATCTTAACATCATAAGTTAACAAGTCTTGTCATAATGCTGATAATTCACCGTTACATGTTTTTTCAGAAATGTAGATATCAAGTGTACCTTAATTTGGAGTCCTTTATTTAGAAATGACCTGAAGTGCTTATAGTGGGTAGACATTCAGTAACATGTTAATTCAGCTAAATATATGCCCCCTTGTTAGTGTTCTGTATCATTGTTTGATGCAATTATACATTAATGCTAAGTCTAATATCCTGCACGATGTGACAATATAATTGCAACAACGAAGACCGAATATTTCAGCGATTCAATGACGTGGTAATTGATAGTTTTAGGCTTTTGTATTGACTCCTTTTCTAATACTTTTGTTTCTGACTAATTTTTTTAACTGTCTATGATGTTTTCGTTTTGTTTCCTTTTGAAGACCGGACACTTTCTCACTTCAATCGTACAAATCCTGTGTGGTGTGTCACATTAGGGGAATTATAGACCTGTTGCATGCGTAGATGTGGTAATGTTGTACCTGTATCTCTGACTGGCATTTTGTATACATACTTGATTAATGTCTTTATTCTCATATTCATCTATTTACTTTTTAATATTGTTTAAATTTCAGTCACAAACAATTAACGTTTCTGTCATGTGTTTCCTTTTCCTGTATCCTGTTACTGAGTATGATTTCTGACATGTTTATAAATAAATACCTGTTTGTTAATTGTCATGTTCTACTTTGAAGTTTTTCTTTTTCAGCTAGATATTGTTCTGTTTAAGTAGAGACATTTTCCCAATAACCATTATGTACACAGTGCATTTGATCTAATGAAATTGCATTTTCATATGTGATCTTTATCTTTTTTTTCTGGTTTGGGACATGTAGTCATCACAACATACAAAAATTTACAGCGTATCCTGTGGAAATTCTCAATGTGCCCAGTATCTGCATTAGACTAAGCATGCTCTGTGAAGTAAATTATTGAGTCACTTCTACATAGTTGTTTAAAACTTTTATTTATTGATAATGTTTTAAAGTTGGTTTTGCTACAATAAGGAATTTACACTTGATCTGCAGTTTGTTTATAAATCATCACATTGAAAATATTCTACTTAGATTCCTGGATGGTTTCATATACACACTCAGATTTGACACGTATTTAGACCGTCTTATTTACACATTTGTGGCTGCACTTCTGCGCTTCCAGCTTATCAGTGTATGCACAACCTGAAGGCTTGTTTAGTATTTTCTCCAAAGTCTAGAATCTTTTAAGATTTGTTTAAAATTGTGAATGTTCTCAGATGTAATTTCATTTACTTTTTAAAATTTTTGACAAACAATATAACGGAATGATTTTTGACAGAAATTGATACAATTGACAATTTCGGTATGAACAAGCCTCCTATCACATCAAAATCTTACCACAGCTTTACTCATCACTGGCACATTTGATTCAATTTAAGTTGTTAAATAATGTTAATTGATAACTGTGTAATGACCTTGATTGACCTTTGTCTAGAGAAGAGATCGAGTACATCATGATGTGTGTGGATGCTAACCAGGATGGCAAGGTAGACTTCAATGAGTTCACAGACCGTTTCCATAATCCTGCCAAAGACATTGGTTTCACAATGGCAGTGTTGCTTACCAACTTGTCAGAGCACATGCCCAATGACCCACGTCTGGAGCGCTTCCTGGAGAAGGCTCGTAGTGTACTTGATTACTTTGAGCCGTTCCTTGGAAGGATTGAGATCATGGGCAGTGCCAACAGGATTGAGCGTGTCTACTTTGAGATCACACAATCACACATTGACCAGTGGGAGAAACCTCAGATCAAGGTAGGGTTGGCAGAAGGCTACCAAAACACTGTTCTATGAGGACAGTATCTACATTCAGTATGTATATATATAACATAAAGTAGATACAATTGACATTGCTTTAAAGACTTCCTGTATATGGCAATTACCTGTCTTATATAATGAAGGTCACTTGTTTTCATTTCCCTATGTCAGACAGGTAAAGTAATAAAACCTCTGTATAAAGGTCACTTTTCTCTCCTTGTGCAGCTTTGTAGACAGGTTTGACTATACATAAAATACAAAACTTAATAAAAACTGTATCTGATTATTTCAATAAACAGTAAAGTGGGACCTTAATAACTAGCTTTATTCTCAGTAGATAATCCTGTCACTGCCATTCCCAGTAGATAATCTAACCACTGTCATGCTCAGTAGATAATCCAGTCACTCATTCTCAGTGGATAATCCAGTCACTCATTCTCAGTAGATAATCCAGTCACTCATTCTCAGTGGATAATCCAGTCACTCATTCTCAGTAGATAATCCAGTCACGCATTCTCAGTAGATAATCCAGTCACTCATTCTCAGTAGATAATCCAGTCACTCATTCTCAGTAGATAATCCAGTCACTCATTCTCAGTAGATAATCCAGTCACTCATTCTCAGTAGATAATCTAGTCACTCATTCTCAGTAGATAATCCAGTCAGTTGATAATTACCTGGTAAGTCACTCATTCTCAGTAGATAATCCAGTCACTCATTCTCAGTAGATAATCCAGTCACTCATTCTCAGTAGATAATCCAGTCACTCATTCTCAGTAGATAATCCAGTCACTCATTCTCAGTAGAGTACTCATTCTCAGTAGATAATCCAGTCACTCATTCTCAGTAGATAATCCAGTCACTCATTCTCAGTAGATAATCCAGTCACTCATTCTCAGTAGATAATCCAGTCACTCATTCTCAGTAGATAATCAGTAGATAATCCAGTCACTCAGTAGATAATCCAGTCACTCATTCTCAGTAGATAATCCAGTCACTCATTCTCAGTAGATAATCCAGTCACTCATTCTCAGTAGATAATCCAGTCAGTTGATAATTACCTGGTAAGTCACTCATTCTCAGTAGATAATCCAGTCAGTTGATAATTACCTGGTAAGTCACTCATTCTCAGTAGATAATCCAGTCACTCATTCTCAGTAGATAATCCAGTCACTCATTCTCAGTAGATAATCCAGTCACTCATTCTCAGTAGATAATCCAGTCAGTTGATAATTACCTGGTAAGTCACTCATTCTCAGTAGATAATCCAGTCAGTTGATAATTACCTGGTAAGTCACTCATTCTCAGTAGATAATCCAGTCAGTTGATAATTACCTGGTAAGTCACTCATTCTCAGTAGATAATCCAGTCACTCATTCTCAGTAGATAATCCAGTCAGTTGATAATTACCTGGTAAGTCACTCATTCTCAGTAGATAATCCAGTCACTCATTCTCAGTAGATAATCCAGTCACTCATTCTCAGTAGATAATCCAGTCACTCATTCTCAGTAGATAATCCAGTCACTCATTCTCAGTAGATAATCCAGTCACTCATTCTCAGTAGATAATCCAGTCACTCATTCTCAGTAGATAATCCAGTCACTCATTCTCAGTAGATAATCCAGTCATTTTCATTCTCAATAGATGATCAAGACACTTTCATTTTCATTATTGAATCAAAACTTAACAACATCTTTAAATTTGTTTTCAGGAATCCAAACGTTCCTTCCTCCACAGTGTGGTCAATGATGGAGGGGACAAGGAGAAGCTTGAGAGCTTTGTCAACTTCTGTGAGGACACCATCTTTGAGGTAGGTAGGATGAAAAATGTTTGATTACTATTTTTAAATATAGTACTAATATGTACTTATTTATAGGATTTTTCAAAAGAGGCACAAGATCTGTAATATTTCAATAAGTTTTGATATATGCACTTACACATGAAAAGGAAAGTAAATTAGTTATAAACTATTTCTGTAAATATTTACTGTCTTTATTACTAGATGCAACATGCCACAAGCATTAGTGCTGAAGAGCAAAGGATTGCCTCCCTTAGAAGTGGTGTTGGAACTGAAGGGGGAGGTGGAGGGTAAGTTAATGCTGGGATTTATATGTTCTATAGGTTTTGTATGTAGGATATTGTTCTGCTTACAAACTAGGATATATTTGAGTACTTTAAACTTTAACTATGCTTTGAGAGTACACTAAACTAAAATCCTCTCCTCAAGAAGAACAAAAATAACAAAAATATACAACGTTGAAATTATCTATACCTGATGCTTATATATTTTACTGGATTAAAGGATGTTGGAGCCACTGAAGATGGGCTACCGATTCATGATGGATGGCCTGTTTACAATATTATCATTCTTCACCTGGACAAATCTTAAGTCAGGGTACAGGATGTACAGGAGCATGTCCTACTGGCAACTGTTCAAAGCTCTCGTCAAACTCAACTTTAAAATCTGCTTCACGCTCCTTACATTCCTCTTCCATGTCTTCTGGTGAGTCAAAATACTGTTTACTTAAATTACTAATTGGTTACTGAACAAGATAATGTACAATTATTTGTAATGGACTAATTTACTGGCAATTTCTTACACTGTTGCTTTGCATAATCCTCTCGACATTACAAAAAGAATTCAAAGATTTTATGGGGTTATAACATATAAACATTGGCCAATGAAAATGCTTGTTTCATAGAGGATTAAATGATGAAATAATGATGTTGATGTTAGAAAGTGATAGAACTGTTACTTAAATCTTTTAAGTAATGCTACGGGTGAATACTATTACAGGACATTACTGAAGTTTGTGGCTAACATGATGATGGGTGAGAAGAGTGCAGAACCGACAACGCCCCAGGGTCCAAAGATACTGGCCCTACCTGCCCCGGAGCCAAAGGAAACGCCTAAACCACCCATTATACCACCAGTCGAGATTGAGACAGCAGAACCTGTCAGGGCATTCGGCATGGCGATCTCTACAGAGGATGGTGATCCAACGTAAGCTCAGTCACTTGAGTTGCATACTCTTGTGGAAACTATATCGACAAATATTTGCCCAAGGTTTTTCACCCTCATGTAAAACTTTTCATTTTTGCCCAGTGTTGAATTTGCCCTAACATCCTAAAAGGCATGTAATTTCAGCTTTAACATCAAACTTAAGCTCTCCTTTTATTTTTGACCTATGGATAAAGAAAGGTAAAATAGGCAAAGGTGTGACTGCAGCAAAAGTTCACTTGTATACAGTATTTCACAGTAACATGGAGTAAAACTTTTTTCTCATTATTTATTCTCAAAACACAATACATGTGTTTCATTACTGAAACTTTGTTCCATGTCCTTTTGTCAATATTTTTTGGGGAGAACAAAGAAATTATTTCATAATGATATTGAATTATATTTACAGGATTCAGTTGGACTCTGACAATGTCTCAACACAACCTAGTGCGGAAGCCACAGCTGAGGGAACTGTTACAGGAGCACCACATGAGGATCCAGTTACCACCACAAACGACGCACAAGCCACAGAACAGTCCTTCCTGTCTGCAGAGATGGCAAAGTGAGTGTCAAATATTGAAGACGTAAACAGCCAGGTCAATAGTGTCAGATAGTATAGGATAATGGACATTGAACATAGGTGTGAATAATAACCAAAATTGTGATAAGGAAGGATGTTAACAGATAATTATGGAGTGTTTTTTTAGTTTATGTGTGATACTTATTATTTTTCAGGGCTGCCTATGGCTCTAACACAACACCACAACCTGCTGATGAAGATGATGTGCCTTACGAAACTAAAGGATTTGATTACGGAAAATATGTGCTGGTAAGTACATATTGTAATGTCCCCTGTCTGTAGATACCTCAGTAGCTTATAGATGGGTATGTCATGTGCTTGCTGAGATGATGCTTTAACAATGATAATAGTTAACTAACGACAAATCTTTTGAGGATACAACATCTGTACCATATAAATTTATGGTATATAACATAAATAACAAACTTGTTCTGCAACACATGGTATGCTGTAATGTGTAGTTGAAACCGTGTTACTGCAAAATTACAAAAGAATTGTAGTAACATATATAATTTGTTATTGGTGTTATTCAATGGAAATATCAATTCGATATTTGAAACTTGTCGCCAATATTTTTTATTTTGACTCGCAAATTAAAACTCTTGCTAAAATGAAAAGCTCTACTAGCCTAGGTCTTATATGTATGTAGCTCGTATTAAAAAAAATGCTGTAACCAATATATGATGACCTGATATTGTCTTGTGTAAACCTCTATGTCAGGAGATGTATTAGGATATGACAGTATCTTGTACTAGTATTAATTCATATTTGATTCATTTATAGAAATAACACATATTAACATAATAACTAAGTATCTTAAAAGCAAAATAAAACTGAAGAATTATTGTAAAAGTGGAGATTTCATTCATTCAGTCTTACTAATGATAATGTTCATCTGAATTTTCTTTGGAAGTATCCAGTTAATGATTTTCCAAAATATGAAACTTCCTTAAAATTACAGAGAAATGTTTGAATATGAAATATCCACTTTTACACTATAATGAATGGATGTATCTGGAAACTAATTACTGTAGTGATATTAACTCCTAGTCAACTGCAGGTGTTAGTAAACGATGAATAAACCTGTGAATGTGTGAATGTGTATGGCTGGTGACTAAATCAAGGAGTGGATGTTTTTAATGATGGCATTTTCCCTGGTTGTGGTATTTCAGTAGGTTTTTTGGTTTTATTTGTCTTATTATTTCAAACATTTATTATTTTTGTTTTTCAGTGCTTAATGGTAATTGATGGAAGATATATGTATACATCGTTATCACTAACTGTTTTTGATATGAGATATATAATATATATTTAAACACTAACTGTTTGTGATGCAAAATATATCGCCATATAATCACTAATCATTTGTGATATGAGATTTATATAATCACTAACTGTTAGCAATGATGAGAAAAAATGTACAGCTTTTTATGTGATTATCACTAACTGTTTGCAATGACACATCCTTTGAAATGACACTTAATTGATTGCTTGCCTAATTTTTCAGCCCACCATCATCAATTAATTTAAATTGCTCTATGTCATTGGTCTGTTGTCCTTTTAAACAAATTTTTTGTTATCACCATTTCTTGAGAAGTATTCGATGGATCTTTCTCAAATTTGATTTGTTTGTTTCCATTAGCCCCTAATTGTACCGGTTTGAATGTTAGACTGGTCAGAAAATGAAAATGGCTGACAAGCGGTCATGTAGGATTTGGCAGTTTAAAGATTTGCCATTTCTCACAGGAGGAATTATTAAAAATCATATAATTAAGAGCAAACACAGAGGGGGAAAAAAGGAAGAACTAAGGTCCTGCATTTAAAGAATAAATAAATTTTCAAACAATGAGGGATCTTGTCTGTTATATAAACTTTATAATAATTTATTCATTCATTATCATTTTCCATGCAAAGTGACTACTATTGATATATGGGAATCCCCTCAGAGTTATACCAGTCAGCATTACCTATTTTAAAAAGACATCCAGCTACATCAATATTTGGCTTAAAAATTAATACTTTTTTTTATTTGATAGTAATTTTTTTTTCATTTTTACACAGCAGCCTTATTTATGTTGATTTATATTTTTTATGAAATGATATTTGATAATATTTTGTGAAAAGGAACCTTGAAATTTGATTTTGCATTGTAAGATTTGACAATTCAAATACATTCCAAGGACACTTCTAAGATGTTGACAAATATGCAGTTAATTATTTGGAACTTAATAATTCATCGTAGATAAAATTTTAGTCTGTTTGTTGATCATGTGAGCCATTTACGAAAAGTACTTTTACTTCTTAATTATTAACATATAGCCCATGTAAATGAGAAAAAAGTAGGTGAGAATTAAAAAATCATTGTTCACCTGAATATTAACAGTCCTAATGTAACAGTTTCCAACACTACGGGCACTTTGTCCTCCTAATTTGTTGTTTAAAGTCTTAAAACCCTAAAATAATTTTTATCTATTATGACTTGTTTATTCTTTTGATTGTTAACAATTGTTTTCCATTGATTAGTTTTCATTCCTTTGTTTTGGTTAACTGTCTAGTATCAGTTTTGTTCAATATTTATGTTTACTAATCCAATTTTTATGCTTTGATCAAGATTTTGATGTGATCTATGATGAAATGACATCGGTTTCTTCCATTTATCTCTGCATTCATCGTTAACCATATCATCAACATAAAACTTTATTAGCATGTATAATATAAACAAACACAGTTATTATTGAAGTTAAGTGAAATATTTAGCATACTGATTAGCATACTTGAGCTGTTTCACCTGTCTCTGTAATTCTATTTTATAATACATCAACAGGTTTCTTAGTATGTCACTATCTGCCATATTACATTGTCAATGCATTCTTTTTCCTGGAAAGATTATCAAACAAAACTCTGAAGATTACAGCTAATATATGGAAGTAACTAAAGCTAATAATCTGGTTATTTGGAACCATATACAACAAGTCAATCAACTACATTTCGACTTGTTACTTATCTCAACCCCCCCCCTAAACCTTGTTTTCCAACTAAGTTAATTTTTCCTTTACAACACACAAATTTTCAGGACAGTGCCCTTAGCATGCAATATGAGATCTTAGTAGAAAAAAGTGTTGTTTTGAGACTATTTAAAATCAACAATCAGTGAAGATAGTTTCATTCTATAAGACATTGGGGTATCATTTGATTAACTAAATTTACACTGGCTGCATTGCCTGCACATTTCTTGAGACTGGAAGGTTTCATACAGACATAAGTTATATTGCTAAGTATATTATACAACATTTTAATAATAAAAAAATTATGCAGAGTTAACTTGTACCATTCTTAGGGTTAGACTTTAATTTTTAGGGTGTCAGTTTTTTTTCTTCAAATTTTAAAAATTTTATTTTGAATGTATGGTAGTTTTTAAAATGAGATTTATCTCAAGTTGTGAATGAGTTTTGGCATTTATTTGATTTCAGAACTTTCAGTTCTTTGATGTTGATATCTGGTTTATAATCAGAATGAATGTGAACAGTTATAAGAATGATTTTATTACTGAAGAAAGCTTGGTCTAGTCAAAGAAAAAAGTATTTGTATTTTTACCAAATATATCATGAATGTTTATTTTTTCTGTTCCCAGAGCCTGTTTGCCAGGAACTTCTACAACTTCAAGTACATTGCTCTTGCTCTGGCCTTTGGTATCAACATTATGCTGCTGTCCTACAAGGTAAAAACTAATCTGAGTGAAAAAAAAATCAAACTAGGGAAAGTAAGAAAATACATTCTAGTTTATAACTGATGATAATACAATGTTATAAAGAAAGTGAAGATAATGTTAATCTTTTGGACTTTTAATCCCTAGTGGAATCGAGGTATACAATTGATTGTGTTAAATAGCATTCCAATCATGTGCTGTGAACTCAAGGAGGAGGATGTAGGTTTTTGTTAGAAGACTGCATGAATGATGTCATCTGTAATTGCTGTTACAGGTAAGTAAGCTTCATCATGAGGTAGACTTGGAGGATGGCGGTAATGGAACGGAGGCTGAGGATGATGACGACATGGAGTACATATCCATGGAAGGCGATGTCAACTGGAGGGAACCTACTATGTTTGGTCTAGCTTTGTTCCATACACTCACAGCCTTCTCCATGCTCATTGCCTACTACTGTCTCAAAGTGCCACTAGTCATCTTCAAAAGGGAAAAGGATATCGCCCGTAATCTGGAGTTTGAGGGGATGTGGATTGCAGAACAGCCAGGAGAAGAAGACATCAAGGGACGTTGGGACAAACTGGTCCTGAGCACTTGTTCCTTCCCTGAGAGTTACTGGGACAAGTTTGTCAAGAAGAAGGTAAGTTGAATTTTGAGTGGGTTCAACAGTTTCAAAAGGAATTTTATTTTAAAAAGGACTTCTTAATGAACAATCTTCTACCATGCTGGATAACTTTATGTAGTTTTGAGAATTTGTGAATAATATAATAAAAGATTGATGCATTATTTCTAAGCTGTGAGTTTCAAAGGATGTCCTTCGATATATGTACAGGTTCGCGCCAGGTATGCTGATCAGTACGACTATGAGGCCATTAGCAACCTCTTGGGAATGGATAAGGGCGACTCTATCAAAATTGGTGAACAACAGAACTCCAGTATAGTGCCAGATTTGTATGTATAATGAGAATTATCTTAATATGTTTATTTGTGAAGGTTGATATTTTTGCTTGCAACATATATCAGCTGCTCCAAGTAATGAAAGTAATGAGTTGTGATCATTAGAGTCTGAAATCTTTACAAGTGTGTTTGAACTACTGAAGATTTCTGAATTGGTAACATTAAGTAGAACTCATCTTGAAGTAAGAACAACGAAACACCAAGGAAAAATTTGTGTTTAAATAAAGTTGTAGTGAGCACCACTACTAGACAATATAAAAGTGTTGTTCATCTGTAAAACACTGGTTTTCTTGTTTAGTATATTCATTGTGAAGTAATAATTTGTAAAACCTACTACATCTCTCCTGTTTCAGCCTCCGCAATCTTGACTGGCAGTACCAGTTCTGGAAGTGGGGTGTTATTTTCACTGACAATGTAAGTTTATTTGATCAAGCCTTTGTCATTGAAAATATTCTGTACTTCATGCGAAACATTGAAGTGAAGATCATACATAATTTTTATATGGTTCGTTTCTAATGCTCTGTGGAAATGTGAAATAAGCTGAAGCTGATTTTGAAAGTTTGTGTGGAGGTACTGACTTGTCTGTGTAACTTGTTTTCAGTCATTCCTGTACTTACTATGGTACTTCATCTTCTCCGTCCTTGGCAATTTCAACAATTTCTTCTTCGCTGCTCACTTGTTGGATGTTGCCATCGGTTTCAAAACATTGAGGACAATCTTGCAATCTGTCACACATAATGGAAAACAGGTATGTGTTACCAGCTTAGGAATATATCATATAAATCACGGCATAGACTATCTTGTATAGTTCAATGGAGATTCAGATTTGAAATAGTGCTGATTTCTACAGAGGGCATTTCATTTGTAAAATTTTGTTTACTAACAGGCAGGCTTAATATAGAGTATTTACTTGGCTGACCTCCAACAGAATGTATTGAATAGGAGAGAGATTTAACTTCAAATAGTAACTTTGGTTATAAAACAGTAGTGAATATATCTTGGTGTGCCTTAATCTATATACATTTCAAGTTTATGTTAATATAAAGTCTTATTCTTGCTATTCTGTTCACACTACTACCATACCATACACGATACTAGTAAATAAGCATCTGTATCCGTCTTGTTACAGCTGGTGTTGACTGTGATGCTGACAAGTGTGATTGTGTATATCTACACTGTGATAGCCTTCAACTTCTTCCGTAAATTCTATGTGAAGGAGGAGGACGGTTCAGTAGACTACAAGTGTCATGACATGGCCACTGTAAGTTTATTTGTTATCTTCTCATACTCCTTCATAAAGTTAACATTCTAGATTGTTATTAAGTCACCTGTAATGAAGGTTGAGGTAAGCCCTTGCTTGATGTATGCTCTTCCTGCAATGAACTTTTCCATTAAGTACTTCTTCTTATGAACCACAATGACTAGAGTCTGAACAGTTCAGTCATAAAGGTCAGATGTGCTATCTTCTATAAAATCTTAAAAACGACTCATAATGAATTAGAATGTCTTTAATCATGCCTTTTTGTTGTCTTACTTGAAAGATTATCAATACTACAGTAGTGGTATATTGTATTCATTTCATCAAGAAAATTATTCCAACAAACCAAAATACCTGTATTTGTAGTCTTCAGACATTCATATTGCTTCTGACATGTAGTTAGCTCTTAAAACTTACTTTGAAACACAGGTAAGTCACCAGTACTTATGTAACAGTAATTGTGGCCAAGCATTGTTTTCAGTCATGCAAGTATATATACTTAGTATGTAAGTGAAACACTAGAATCATGGTATTGAGGCAGCTATATGCTAAAAAAAATCCTCATGTTTTTCTTGGTGTTAATACACACTCTTTTCACTTCTTGCATAATAAAAACACTCCAAATGAAGTATTTGTGGAAGCCTGAATTGAGTCTGCATATAAACACTACCTAAAATACAAGAGTTACACTCACTTTGGTTAAAGTTATTTTAAAGATTTTTTGATGTTTTAACTTTGCAGTGCTTTGTGTACCATCTCCATACTGGAGTGAGGGCCGGTGGTGGCATTGGTAAGTAACTAATTATGTCAGATTATCAACAGCATTTCTGTCTCTATTCATTTGGTACATGTTTGCTTGTTGAATGCATCAGTGCAGATGATGAACAGAAAACTGACCAGACTCAAAGATAGAAATATTATTACACTTAAATCATTATAACTTTGCTTGTGATCACAAGATAATGCAACTTATTAACTAGTTTTAAAATTCAACTTCAAGACTACAAACTAACAAGTATGACTTATTATTGTAGGTGACGAGATTGAGCCTGCAGACGGAGACGCATATGAAGTGTACAGGATCTTGTTCGATATCACCTTCTTCTTCTTTGTCATTGTCATTCTGCTGGCCATTATCCAGGGTAGGTATAACAAGGGTTCTCAGGCACTAAGAGACATCTTTACCAGTGTCATTATCCAGGGTAGGTATAACAAAGGTTCTCAGGCACTAAGAGACATCTGTATCAGTCTCGTTATCCAGGGTAGATATAACAAGGTTTCTCAGGCACTAACAGACATCTTTACCAGTGTCATTATCCAGGGTAGTTATAACAAGGATTCTCAGGCACTAACGGACATCTGTATCAGTCTCGTTATCCAGAGTAGTTATAACAAGGATTCTCAGGCACTAACTGACATTTTTACCAGTGTCATTATCCAGGGTAGTTATAACAATGATTCTCAGGCACTAACGGACATCTTTACCAGTGTCATTGTCCAGGATATTTATAACAAGGGTTCTCAGGCACCAAGGGACATCTTTATCAGTCTCATTATCCAGGGTAGGTATAACAAGGATTCTCAGGCACTAACGTACGTCTTTACCAGTGTCATTATCCAGGGTAGTTATAACAAGGGTTCTCAGGCACTAACAGACGTCTTTACCAGTGTCATTATCCAGGGTAGTTATAACAAAGGTTCTCAGGCACTAAGAGATATCGTTATCAGTGTCATTATCCAGGGTAGTTATAACAAAGGTTCTCAGGCACTAAGAGATATCGTCATCAGTGTCATTTTCCAGGATAGTTATAACAAAGGTTCTCGGGCACTAAGAGATATCGTCATCAGTGTCATTATCCAGGGTAGTTATAACAAAGGTTCTCAGGCACTAAGAGATATCGTTATCAGTGTCATTATCCAGGGTAGTTATAACAAAGGTTCTCAGGCACTAAGAGATATCGTTATCAGTGTCATTATCCAGGGTAGTTATAACAAAGGTTCTCAGGCACTAAGAGATATCGTTATCAGTGTCATTATCCAGGGTAGTTATAACAAAGGTTCTCATCCACTAAGAGACATATTTATTGATGATTTGATAATTTCATCAGTAAGAGATAAGCTATTTGTGATACTGTACATTTACGTAAACATCAGACCTGCTGTCATATAAGTTGGAAATTAGATTCTATTAAACTTTTGTTTAACACAGGACAACATATGTTTAGTAAATATCTTGGTTATGTTTTTACTTGAATACATTTGAATCCTAGGTTTGATCATTGATGCCTTTGGTGAGCTCAGGGACCAGCTAGAGCAAGTGAAAGAAGATATGGAGGTGAGTATATACCCAAGCTTTGTCTCCCCTATATAAAATTGGTTGTTGAATTCTTTAAGTGCTATTCTGATACAAGGATTTAACAATGTTATGAGGATATCTACATAGATCCTGCTCATATCAGGTAGAACGACATACTTTTTAACAAAACCACTTTAACAGATCAATATATGATAATACATTTTACATATTTTGAATGGATAGAAAAGCTTTCATTTGTACATTTTTTTATGTAGATCTGGTATCTACCTGGTATTTATCTTCACCGTAGGTCTAATTAGTATATTATGTTCTTTTTCAGTCAAAGTGCTTCATCTGTGGTATCGGGAAAGAATACTTTGATAAGATACCACATGGGTTTGAGACCCATGTCAAGAATGAACACAATTTCGCAAATTACATGTAAGTATTGTTGAGGATTCAATTGCATTTACCTTTTTTTGTAATTTACTGTTGAGAATTGTAAATTACCACACAAAATACATCAGAAACACTGCCAATAGCAGTTTGTAGTAAATGTTGAAAAATATTAAGATTTGGTGTCATTTCAGGTTCTTCTTGATGCATTTAATCAACAAGCCTGATACAGAATACACTGGACAGGTAAGTTATTGATAGATACAGAATACACTGGACAGGTGGGTTATAGATAGATACAGAATACACTGGACAGGTGGGTTATAGATAGATACAGAATACACTGGACAGGTGAGTTATTGATAGATACAGAATACACTGGACAGGTGGGTTATAGATAGATACAGAATACACTGGACAGGTGGGTTATAGGTAGATACAGAATACACTGGACAGGTGAGTTATTGATAGATACAGAATACACTGGACAGGTGAGTTATTGATAGATACAGAATACACTGGACAGGTGGGTTATAGATAGATACAGAATACCCTGGACAGGTGAGTTATTGATAGATACAGAATACACTGGACAGGTGGGTTATAGATAGATACAGAATACACTGGACAGGTGAGTTATTGATAGATACAGAATACACTGGACAGGTGGGTTATAGATAGATACAGAATACACTGGACAGGTAAGTTATTGATAGATACAGAATACACTGGACAGGTGGGTTATAGATAGATACAGAATACACTGGACAGGTGAGTTATTGATAGATACAGAATACATAGGACAGGTTGATTTTCTACAGATACAAAATACATATGACAGGTCAGTTCTCTATAGATACACAATATGCAGGATATATGAGTTCTCTATATACATTATGCAGGAGGACAGGCGAGCACAATAAACACTAAAGTAAAAAATTGTCAGTAGTTTGTGGTTGGTATACATTTTATGGGTGAGGTTTTAGATCCATTTACACATGCACCTATCAAATAGAACCTGGTTATTCACAAGTTTTTCTAACTGGTTAAATGTAATTGATTGTAATGATCATCTTTAATCCTTATTGCTTTTGGATAGAATTATATTTTTTTTAATACCTTTAGTCCTGCTAATGTGAAGTTGCTTTAAACTTCATGGAAGTGTCAATAGGTGAAGGTATATTTTGACATTGCTTACTGAAGTTATATGTGTGTTTTTCTCAGGAGTCCTATGTCTGGGAGCTGTATCAGCAACGGTGCTGGGATTTCTTCCCTGTGGGTGACTGCTTCAGGAAACAGTACGAAGATGAAGCCTCAACCTAATACAAACAGACTGAAGACAGTCAACGTCATTAAAGAGGCTAACAATCCTGATGTTCAAGGTCATTTAATGCAAAATTATGGCCTTGGATTATTTCAATTATTGTCCCAAACAGGAGATGAATTAAGCTGCTCAAAATTTGGGGTGTTACAAGAAATTCAACCACAGAATTTCCTCTAGGAACATGCAGAAATTCCCCATCAAAGCATTTCTTTGACCTTTCTAAAGGTAACTATAGCCTTGGAGCAAAGCTTTCTCTCTGTTGACATGGTGACAAGCCTCAAGTGCGGTTCCATTGACATGGTACCCAGACCCTTACCACACCTAGTGTGTACCCAAACCAAAGTGATATCATCTCCATGGCTCCAAGTTCCTTTTATTTCATTTAATGTCCGTGGATTAATTCAGTGTTACCCATGTATAACAGGCTACTGGTACTTTACTGCTGGTCTGTTTCTAGTGACAATCTTTGTTCATGGAATTACCTTAAGAAAGCTAACTATTCTTTTGTTAAGAAATCAGTATTATGCAAAAGAGTCCCACTCTTGTGATTAATAAATGTAAAGTAGAATTGAAAGAATGGTGTTAGGTGACAAAACGTGTGTTTTGAAGAAGGAAACAAGTATTAATCTTGATAAACCTGAAGTATGGACTGTTTTTGCAGTGAGGATGGGAAAATGTGCAATTTTTTTAAATAAACTTTTAAACAAAATTGACCCACTTTCTTCACCTGATTTTAATATTTACAGTTGTAGACAAGGACTGAAAGTTTTACATGTGATTTTTAGTAAAACACTTTGTGGTTAAATGGAAATTTATTTACAAACTTGTATATTGTTTCCAATTTTCTTTTTCCTTTTGTAGAAGAGAATTACTTCTGTTCATGAAAATTTTGGTTTTATGTAAAATTTGCTCTTACATTTTATGCCCTGTTTAGAACCTGTTCATCATGATGGAAAGTTTTAAATAGTCTTTTCATTTTAAATTTATAAAATACCTGTATTACTTAATTTTGCAAATGGGCAGTCTGATTTTTTTTGCCAAAGTTATTTCATTAATGTGCTAGATAATTGATATGAAACGACAGTATAAGTGTTCCTTGTAAATATATGAGTGTGTCCCTCTCTGTATGTGTCTGAGAAATGACTTATATATTTTCTGGATAGATTGGTACATGTACTTTTTAACTTGAAAACATAAGCTTGTTAAACTATTTGAATGTGCAATAGAATATTATACATAGCAAACTTTTGATTGTGCATTTTAAGCGACAAAGTGATTTAGTCTTCCATTTTTCATCCCCATGTTTTTTCTGGCTGTTATCCAGACCATTAACATATCATATATAGAGCCCCTAATATATAGTATACAATGTATATAGTATTTATTTACACACCTGTGTACTGACATGCTGAGGGGTGTAGGTGCTGACTGTCACTAGAAGCAGTGTGGTACCCACACAGGTCGAGCCTGTCATGTGTTTTGGCCACATTTCTCATTTTACCAGTGCATTTAATATAGGAATGTTTTATCTATAATGATCAAGGTCCTTCACAATTTCGATATTACTTGTGCATTTTTTTCTAAATATTTTGTTTCACTTGCTGGTAAATTTGATGCTGTTGTTACCACCTCGTTACTGCAAATATATAAGGTACCATGCCAATGGTCACCCTATTGAATAAAAACATTTTTTTATAAAACTTTGAAAAATCTTGGCATTGTATTTTGAAAATATGTTGTTAAGGATTGTTTATTTGTTTGTTTGCTTGCTACTGGGGTTATCATCCCATCACAGTGAGGCTCCTTGTAGTAGCTGGTGGCTAATTCATGGAATGCCATACCAGAGGCCTACCACATGTCATCCAGAGAAACTGGGGTAAAGTGTTTTGTCCAAAGACACAGAACAGTCCATTTCTGAGACACACTGAAAGAAATTCCAAGAAACATTGACAATTATATTGAACTGTCAAATCCAAAATGATGGTCACCTGTCAGCCATTTTGTTTCCCTGATCAGTCCCAAAATCAAAAGGGCACAACTAGGAATCAAGGGAAACCTTCAAATGAAAATTGAGAAATATCCATTCACTAAACTGTTCTTTTGAAGAAACAGTGAAAGCAAGAATTGTTTAAGGGCTAACAACACATAGACAGAAAGACCATGGACACAGGGTGATGAGAACAACCAATAATCTCAATTTAACATACCAGGCCCCACTTGTATAAAACATCTCAGCTTGAGATTTCCTCAAGTCGAGATTTTCCTCAGCTGATATCTCCTTAAAAACGGCTTGTATAAAATTTTCTCAAGGAACAGGAGGAAGTCATCGACTAGGATGTCCTGAAATTCCTTGAGGAATTTTCATACAAGATATTTTCAAGGAGATATTACCTGAGGAAAATCTGGGCTTGAGGAAATCTGAAATTGAGATATTTTATACAAGAGGGGCCAGAGCACATAAGCTTGCAATATGCCTCTACTATATGTATCATTGTATCATTGTAACGGAGATACATTCCATGTCATATATGAAAAATTCAATAAGATATCACACTAAATCACAACTGAAATATTTTTTAATACTTTCAAAACTCGATACAAATTATCAATAATAAAAAATAACATGGTACTCCTAGAATAATTTAACAAGCTTTTCAATATTTCACTTTGGCACTTTACCTCCAGTTTTTAAGACCAGTTTACACACAAAAAAAATGACAGTTACACATCAGCTGTCAAAAGAACCTTTCTTATTGCTGAAAATAATAAAGGTCAGGAAGACACAACAAATACAAAGGCATTTTCCTATTTTTGAACTTCCCATTAAGAAAATGATTTTTTTTTTCTTTAAAACAATAAATATGTGAATGATATACCTGCTTCATCATGCATGTCTACGAACAACACTTGTGGTTTAAGAGATTTCATTAGGTAAAACAATCACAAAATTGACATCCAATTACATGTAATATAACTTCTCAGAGACCACCAGAAATATATTGGTTCATATTTAGTAAAATTGGAGTACAATGTAGATGAATTTTTTTTTTTTTCCCATTTTTAAAAACAACCTGTTTCAGTGTGTTTGACCTTAGTTTCACATTTAATTAAATTTACAAGGTTTACCAATTAAAAATACATGTGATGTAGGCTTAATTTTAAATTCTGGTCAGTTCAGAAAGTGGTCTGCCCAGCATCTTCATTTCAAATCAATGCCTACTTTATCGAAATAACGACGGTAGTTATCAGATAGGTTTGAAACTGAAAAATTTCTTTCTGGTTCATCTGAAGAAATAATTTTTACAACCTGTAAATTTCTTAATATATTATTCAAAAGGGTCACCTTTCATTACTGTTAGTTTTAACTAAATTGAACAAACACAATTACAGACCATTAGGGAACCTATGAACAATTTATGAAGCACTTTGCAAAACATTCTGACAATCCTGTCTTAATCAAAATTGCCACCTCAGCCATATTTCTTTTTCATATTGGTATGCACTAAGAAACACACAGAATTTTCTTCTTAAAAATCCTGATCATCCCCTTACCTTAAGATAGCAATTAGAAACATCAAATACTAAAATCATTAAGGGCTGCTGACAACCATCTTTGAAATATATCTTATTGCATTCAAAATGTTACTTAAACAACAAAGACCAATACCAATTATGTGGATGGATTTCTCGGAAGCTCACTTCAGTACTTTTGACGAATAGCAATAATAAACTTCTAATGCCAAAATATAAATTGACTGGATACAGTCAGTTTGAAAATATTTTATCATACTGAAAATGTGGCTCACACAACCCATACTAACTAATCATATTGATGGAATACTTAAACTTCAGTTGTAACTTGTTATTGCAAATAAACAAAATTTAGCTCATTATCTGTCGGTATAACAAAAATCCACAGAAAATGACATTTTGGTCAGCTTTCCAAGTTCAAAGGGCTGTAAAACAACAGAAATGGTTTTTCAGAAACTAAAATTCAACATAGATCTGTACATTGTTATCTGCCTGTATCTGTAGGTATGACATGAAAAATAGGCAAAACAGAAAATAAGTTTTGTAAAATTTCTACATGAACTTATCAAAAAAGCTGGGTTATCATTGCATTACATCCTAGCTATTAACAACCAAGGTCACTTAAGGATATATCAGGTTTGGGTGGTGGAGGAAAATCAGAGTTCCTAGAGGAAAACCACTGACCTGCTGTCAGTACCTCATGACTACCTCATGTAGGTCTTGAAGCTGCCACCCAGTACATTATCTGAAGGCATGACAAAAAAAACAACTAGAAAATTCCAGATGTTATGGTAGTCACGGTAACAGCTTAGAAAACTAACAAAGTGTGAAAATTAATTTATAAATCAGAACAATGATAAAAAATCAAAGGCAGTAAAGCTCACATCACATTATAGTTTCCAAAAGTTTTGAAAACGATGTATATCTGTTACCTCATATACAAAGTATACATGGCATCGTCCAGCTGTATGTCTAAATCAAACACATTAAATGAGCACCTTATCACATACAGTTTCATTGTGGCTTTCAGAGGAAAAAATCATCATGACCAGAAATCTTAATGAAGGTTGGAGTGAAATCACTTCTAACATGGCAAAAAATGGTAATACACTACTAGAATAATTGTAAAACTTAACAAATAACTAGGAAAGTAATTACTTACTGGTAAAATTGGAAATGATATATACTAGAATGTAATGTGTAGAATTTAATTATACAAGCAAGTACTCATAATTCCTGGTAAAACTATAATTTGTATATACAAATCAACCCAAAACCGCTTAATTAACAACTAAACATTTTCAAATAAAAGATTGGAGGATAAAGATATTGATGAACCTATTTGAGGATATATTTTTCCATAAAACTGTTTTCAAAAACTTCCTCTTTCTTTGCTTTAAAATCAAACAATAGACTACTGAAAAATCATTCACTTTCATCAGGCGTTGAGGTTCGGGTCGGGGTGGTGTTGGGGTGGAAAATTTTCATTTATTTTGCGGGTACTCATGTCCACGAAATGGTAAACAGTTAAGCTTAGATTATATATATTTATGAAAACCAAAATATTTGAACCTCAAGAGAATATGATTTCACTGTATTGACTCCATGGGGTTTATGAAGTCCTTGGACAACCTAGTGTAACTTTTTCAATCCTTGACTGCTTTAATTTGACATCATAGTCACTTTTGTAAATGGTAGGCCGTATCTTCCACTTGTTCATGGAATATATACCACAATAAGTGTAAACATCAGGTTTGTAATACAGCCTGCCTCGTAATCCTATTGATCGAATACCTCTTTCCAGGGCTTTCACCTCATCCAAATCAAGAAAATTTTCATTGTGGATACATATCACATGTCCATCATTTCTATCAATCCCTTCATCCGTAATGGTGGAGACTTTGGCAAAGTGGCATGGAATGCTGCCTTCCATAATTGCCCAGGCCACCTTGGTCCACAGATGATCCACCTTTAATCCTGTCGTGACTGGAATCAGCATCCACTTTCCTGATGTGATTTGGAATCTGTCAGCTAATTCAAACAGCAACTGTTCAGTAACTTTTTTTGAGGCAACTGCTTGTTCAAAAGCTTTCAGCAAAGCCAGGACATTCACAGGATATTCTTCTTCCTCTTCTTCATCTTCCTCTTCTTCATCTTCCTCTTTTTCATCTTCCTCTTTTTCATCTTTCTCTTTTTCATCATCCTCTGCATCATTGGTACTTGTACGGTTAGGTTTGAAAACACTAATGAAATTCATTTCACTGAAAAAAACCGAAAGAGTGAAGTTCCCTACAACATACAGCAATATTGACTTGCTAACGTTATATGTTTCCAAATCCTATCTATGCCCAATGAATGACCATGTCTTACGGTATGTACACAAGAAGCCCAGGAGCCTTAATGATCATCCAAGGTCTCAAGGTCTTTGGACAGTTTTAGAACCTGTCCATCAGTCCCAGCATTTGGGCAGACAGAATAGAACTGATACTCATAAAAGTTCTATTGTTTCTAAGTTTGAAGGCTTAATTTTTAATTAAAGTCAACTGATAACAATGTCTGTTGTTGTAGTTTAGCATATTTGACCCCTGTAACCTTAATGGAGGTCAAGGTCATTCATTTGAACAAACATAATAGCCTTTCCTCCCAGCATGCTACTTGCCCAATATCAGTACTCTGGGTCATTTTGTTATCAAGAAGAAATTATTTGAAGATTTTAACACATATGACCCCTGTGACCTTGAAAGTAAGCCAAAGTCATTCATTTGAAAAAAAAAACAGGCAGCCTTACATACTACATACCCAATATCATGACTCTGGACCATTTAGTTATTGTGAAGTCGTTTAAAATTTCAACACATATGACCCCTGTGACCTTGAAAGTAAGCCAAAGTCATTCACTGGAAAAAACCTGGCAGCCTTTTATCCCAGCATGCTACTCGCCTAATATCATGACCCTGGACCTTTTCCTTATTGAGAAGAAGTCCCTTAAAGATTTCAATGCATTTCACTCCTGTGATCTTAAAAATAGGTCAAGGTGATTAATTTGAACTAACAGCATACTATCGGCCCTATACTATGATCATGGGCTTCTAGCTTATCACAACAGGTCACTTTAGACTTCATTTCAGGTGATCTAATAATTGACATGTACCACTTTGATCCTGATTATACCATATTTTGAAAAATTCAAAACGTCCTCTCAAGAACCTATGATATGTCATAATATAGGCCCTGATAATACATTGATATGAAGGCAATTGTAAAACTTAATATAATGCAAGAATTTCTGCTCTTATCAAAATGATATACATATGATTTTTTATCATTCTTTTTCATGTAAAAATTTATTCATTCAATACACAACATCAATATATTAGTAAATATAGTATGATTTATTGTCCGTGTTTTAATGACTACAAAATGTCTTACCTAATATCCGGAAGTTATCAAACTGCATATACATATACATGTATTACATAATTGCAACATCATACATATAAATAGCTGTGAATTAACAGGGGACCTAACTGGTCAGTATCTCTACCTGTGTATTAACAGGGGCTATAATGGGTCAGTATCACTACCTGTGTATTAACAGAGGACCTAACTGGTCAGTATCTCTACCTGTGTATTAACAGGGGCTATAATGGGTCAGTATCACTACCTGTGTATTAACAGAGGACCTAACTGGTCAGTATCTCTACCTGTGTATTAACAGGGGACCTAACTGGTCAGTATCACTACCTGTGTATTAACAGGGGACCTAACTGGTGAGTATCACTACCTGTGTATTAACAGGGGACCTAACTGTTCAGTATCAGTACCTGTGTATTAACAGGAGACCTATTGAGTCAGTATCATTACCTGTGTATTAACAGGGGACCTTACTGATCTGTATCACTACCTGTGTATTAACAGGGGACCTAATGGGTCAGTATCACTACCTGTGTATTAATAGGGGACCTAACTGGTCAGTATCACTACCTGTATATTAACAGGGAACCTAATGGGTCAGTATCGCTACCTGTGTATTAACAGGGGACCTAACTGGTCAGTATCTCTACCTGTGTATTTACAGGGGACCTATTGAGTCAGTATCGCTACCTGTGTATTAACAGGGGACCTAACTGGTCAGTATCACTACCTGTGTATCAACTGGGGCTATAATGGGTCAGTATCACTACCTGTGTATTAACAGGGGACCTAACTGGTCAGTATCTCTACCTGTGTATTAACAGGGGACCTAACTGGTCAGCATCTCTACCTGTGTATTAACAGGGGACCTAACTGGTGAGTATCACTACCTGTGTATTAACAGGGGACCTAACTGTTCAGTATCAGTACCGGTGTATCGACTGGGGCTATAATAGGTCAGTTTCACTACCTGTGTATTAACAGGGGACCTAACTGGTCAGTATCACTACCTGTGTATTAACAGGTGACCTACTGGGTCAGTATCACTACCTGTGTATTAACAGGTGACCTATTGAGTCAGTATCACTACCTGTGTATTAACAGGGCACCTAACTGGTCAGTATCACTACCTGTGTATTAACAGGGGACCTAATGGGTCAGTATCTCTACCTGTGTATTAATAGGGGACTTAACTGGTCAGTATCACTACCTGTATATTAACAGGGAACCTAATGGGTCAGTATCACTACCTGTGTATTTACAGGGGACCTATTGAGTCAGTATCACTACCTGTGTATTAACAGGGGACCTAATGGGTCAGTATCACTACCTGTGTATTAACAAGGGACCTTACTGGTCAGTATCACTACCTGTGTATTAACAGAGGACCTAACTAGTCAGTATCACTACCTGTGTATTAACAGGGGACCTAACTGGTCAGTATCACTACCTGTGTATTAACAGGGGACCTAACTGGTCAGTATCTCTACCTGTGTATTAGCAGGGGACTTAACTGTTCAGTATCAGTACCTGTGTATCAACTGGGGCTATAATGGGTCAGTATCACTACCTGTGAATTAACAGGGGACCTAACTTGTCAGTATCACTACCTGTGTATCAACTGGGGCTATAATGGGTCAGTTTCACTACCTGTGTATTAACAGGGGACCTAACTGGTCAGTATCTCTACCTGTGTATTAACAGGGGACCTAACTGGTCAGTATCTCTACCTGTGTATTAACAGGGGACCTAACTGGTCAGTATCACTACCTGTGTATTAACAGGTGACCTACTGGGTCAGTATCACTACCTGTGTATTAACAGGGGACCTATTGAGTCAGTATCACTACCTGTGTATTAACAGGGGACCTAACTGGTCAGTATCACTACCTGTGTATTAACAGGGGACCTAATGGGTCAGTATCACTACCTGTGTATTAACAGGGGACCTAACTGGTCAGTATCTCTACCTGTGTATTAACAGGAGACCTAACTGGTCAGTATCTCTACCTGTGTATTAACAGGAGATCTATTGAGTCAGTATCATTACCTGTGTATTAACAGGGGACCTAATGGGTCAGTATCACTACCTGTGTATTAACAGGTGACCTACTGGGTCAGTATCACTACCTGTGTATTAACAGGGGCTATAATGGGTCAGTATCACTACCTGTGTATTAACAGGGGACCTAACTGGTCAGTATCACTATCTGTGTATTAACAGGGGCTATAATGGGTCAGTATCACTACCTGTGTATTAAAAAGGGACCTAATGGGTCAGAATTTCGGACATTGTAGTAATGTCATATCAAACCACATATACCTCGAAGTTACTTCCTTGCTGTGATGGGGCAGTATTTATCATCGGGAGTGTAGGAACATAACTCACAGAAATATTCTACCCACACTGGAAAACATCAGTAGAACTCTCTCAGATGTCAAACATACCAATGATAAAAGACTTGCTAATCTTGAAAAGAAAACACAGAAGCTGGATGCTAAAGTGGAAAATCTTAAATCAGATCATGATGATGAGTTAGAAAAGCTATCGAAAGACATCAAGGAAGTACATGTAACAGCTGTGGAAGAAATTAAGGAAGGTATTGAAAAAGTTATAGATGAAAGAGTAAGAGAACTTGATGATCGAAGGAGGAGAAACACAAACATTGTCATATTCAACATACCTGAAAAAATCAATAGTGATGGCAAGCAAAAGGAAATGGAAGATGAAGAGGACATCAGACTGATAACAATAAAACTTGATGTACCCAACTTGGAAATTATAACACATTTCAGAATTGGTAGATACGCTGAAGCCAAAATTTGTCCTGTAAAAGTTGTACAAAGCAATAAACAACAAAGGAAACAAATCCTCGAAAATGTGACCAACATTGCTAAGAAATGTCCCACTCATCTCCAGAAAGTAGCTATAAAACGTGACTTAACAAAGCCACAACAAGAAGAGCTCAAGGTAAGAGGAGCAAGAAAAAACCAACTTCCGATAGCAGCCAATCAGCAACCAAGGAACATTACGAAGACTCCGACAATGATTCTGTACACACAATGAATACAACATCCTCCTTGTCAAGTACCCCATTATTTAGTCCTATTGGAGCTTTTAGGCATCTCGTACACAGGAATCGACATTCAGAATCACAGTACTATGATATGGAAACGCTTGACAATTTTGATCCCGATCAGACAATATTAAGCAGTGTCCCACACCTGCAACTCTTTGCTGGAACCCATTGATATAAATCTGAAAAGGACATAAGTTTTACTTCTGTAAATAGTGATTCTCTAAGCAACCTCCTCATTTTTTTATTCAAATGTGGATGTCCTGACCAGAAACAAGCAAGAAGAACTCAAAACACTTGTCTGGAAATAACTTTCCATTCAGGAGGAGTAATGATAACCATCAAAATCTAATCCTCAGGCTTCATCACAGTTTGCTACAGAATCAATATCAGTACCCTTGGGCCTTTTACTTATGTAGGAGAAGATGTTTGAAGATTTTAACACATTCCATGCCTGTGATTCTATAAGATGGTCAAAGACAATCATTTGAACAAAATTGGTAGCTCTTCATCTCAATATGCTGCAGGTACAATATCAGCACCCTGAGGCTCGGGATTATTGAGAAGAAATCACTCAAGATTTTAACACATTTGACCCAAGTGACCATGAAAGTGAGGCAGTCTTTCATCTTAATAAACTTGATAGCCTTTCATCAAAGCATGCTTCAGAAGTCTTTGAAAGATTTAAACACGTTTGATCCCTGTAAGGCTGAAAGTGGGTCAAGGTCATTCATTTGTATCCCTTAGGTCAAGCATGCTACAGGCCCAATGTCAATACCTTGGGCATTTTGATTATTAGAGAGAAGTAATTGGACGATTTAAATGCATATGACCTCTGTGACTTTTTAAAAAACTTGGTAGCCCTGCACTCCATCACTGTACAGAACAAATATCAGTACCCTAAGCCTCTAGGTTATTTGAGAAGTTGTTTGAAGAGAAAAGTTTCTGACAGATGTGTGGACAGATGGCCCCTTCAAGAAGGCAAACTAAAAACATGCATGTAAAATAATTCTACATTTTAAAACTTTCAGTGTTTTTAAAGAAATAAGTTTATCTAACATTGCATATAGCTAAAGGTCACTACTTGCAAGCATTATCAATCTTCACCATTAAAACCTATCAGCCAAATATTATTATTCTAGTTAATCAGAAGAAGTTGTTTGAGTGTTTTAAAAAAATTTGACCCCTGTGACTTTGACTAAGTGTCATTCTAATCTAACAGTCAATTATAACACTACATCAACTGACCAACAATGGGACAACAGGGGAGGTAAATATTGTAGGCATAAACTCAACCAACATTTTTTTTTTTATTTCAGTGAATAATTGTTTCTACAAACTATACTGGAACAAAAAGGAAATTTCAAAATGTGGTTTTCAAGATTTTGACTATGATTACCATCTCAAATGGATGCTCATAATTAGAGTCTTATTCAGGGAAAAACATTAATGGCACAACTGTGTTATAAAATGGCTTCTGTGGTTGTCATGTTTAACTAGTGACCCCGTCAAAATGTAGCAAGAGTGGAAACTGAGAAGTTCAGGTTTGGTTTTTCTAGATGACAGCCATCTTGTATTTTAGACACCATCCAAAACTAACAATACCTGGTCATGAACTAATCCAATATCATTCCAAGCAAGCCTGACTTACTGTTTGGCATCTAGTTGCTAGAATTGGACCAGAGGTTTACAATGGATGTGGTGTGGGAAAACCCTGATTTATAGTGATGTTACAAAACCAACCTGATATTACATTTCAGATAAGTTTCAGGTAAAACCCATGGGTGGAACTTCAGAAGTTAAAAAATGTGGAAACTTAAAAGACATTGATGAGCAGATGACTACAGAATGAAAGATCTTCAAATTTCTTGAATGTGATGTTCACAATGAATTGTATAATGGTTGCAAGTGGCCAGTGGAATAGTATCGACTTTAGGTTGAAGTATTTCATCACGTACTCATTCGAATTTTGCTTTGTTTATCATGTACATGTTATTATCAAGGAAAAATTATCGAAACATTACATCTAATCAGAAATATTAAACATTAATTACTTTCTGATCCGAGAAGGCATGTTGACTTGTAGCCACTCCATAAATGGCAGCTTTGTAACTCCAATGACATAGGAATCAGTCCTTTCTTCAAAGTTTCCTCTGATTTTTTCGGTGTCAACAGACAATCGTTCCAGGGAGGTGATTATCTCTTCATAAGTCACCCTTACTGTAAAAAAAACAAAAACCAAGTACTCCCAGGGAAACCTTAGTACCCACAATACAATTAGTAACAAGATCTTTGTTCTTTTGCCTTGTATGTGATCTTCATTACTATAAATCACTTTATCTTAGCAAACTTTTAATTTTGCAAAAGGTAAGTGACTGTCTTATTTGTGAATAAACAATTTCACAGGTATCACACTTCAAAAGTCGTTTATTTAAAGACAACATCTGTAAAAGCATACCGGTATCTGAATTCCCAAATGAAGCTCCTTACAAATAAATGAAATGTAATCCCTTGCGAAAAATTCATGATTTACAGTAAACAACTGCATATGTTATATTGACTATTGGCAGATGAACTAATCAGAGCTATAAAATTAATTAATCTGTAGGTGCCAATCACAGGTCATATCTTATTTGTCAAATTGTTTACAGAATTCTCAATATGCATATAGCTGAGGAACTACCAGAAGAAATTTTGTAGGATGACCATGCACCCATCAGCCATTTGGTTTTTCAGTCCCAAAATGGACAATCCACAACTAGAGATCAAGTGGATGGAACTTTCATGCATATTTGAAATTTGAAAATGATCCCTTCAGTATTTTCCAGACATATTGGTAACCAGGTATTGTTTAAGGATCAACAGACGGACGATGCATAATTTTAACATTAAAGTGTAATGAAGCACACCGCAATACTGTTTTCTATGGAAATGGTATAGATTTACCAACAAATGCTATTTTGTTGCTCTCCAATAAATCTATCCTCTGATTTAAAAAAATCATTAACGAAGTGTTGATAACTTAGGCTTATTGCAAAATAAAATACACAATGAAGTAAACAAGAAAATTTTGGCATCCCTATTACTGTACAATCAATCTAACACAATCATATCTTTTGTTTACTTTTCAATGTATTTCCAAAGTAAAGGGTGAAATGAAGTATAGGAATTAGACATTCTATACAAGAATTATACTCTATACTGAAGTCATTTCATATATATATTTCCTGCTATTTTAGTAGTATAATAGCTATATTTCACATCTAAAAATCTTTTTTAAACAAACTTTTGGATATCACAAATCATGTTAAGTGTGATTTTACTTTGGGTTGAAATTGACAGTTAACTAAAATTGAAAAATCATATTGCACACTTATGTAGGAAGGCTTCTTAACAGTTATGTATATTTAAAAGAATTAAAAATTATCTGACTTGAACAGGCAACTTGACCTTTTTAAAATCTACTCTCTTTCTTGGCACTTTTATACTATTACAAATACATCTGTACCTGGAAAATAAAAAGAATTGGGAAAGAACTTGATGTTTTATTGATATTAGTACTTTTTTCCTTATTTTGTAGGACTTCAAATTTTTCAACTGTACATTTTTGTATTTAATTCTAACTGAGGATATATTGATAAGTTATGTACTTTTTCCTATTTTCAAATGAATTTTATTTCATCTATTTCTTTTTTTTTTTTAACTTTTCAAATAAAAAAAATCATTTCACAATCTATCAAATTTCTGTTAAAGTATAACAAAATCAGTTGTCAATTCTTTATCTTTATTTTTGGTTTATATTTTTGTTATTATTATCATTATCACTTTTAGGAAAGTGTTGGGAAGTGAGCAGATATTTCATTTTATTTGAAAACTGTTGAAACTTGGATCAGCTAGAGAAATAAGTATTTTTATACCTGATTGTACCTATTGATATGCATATTTTCTTACACATTTTCTAAAAATACAAGATAACTAGTAATTTATTTGTGAAAGACAATCTATTGCCATTTACAGATGAGGGAAATTTATCTATAACAGGACTCAACTTACTGTGCATAGACAGTCAGTTCACAGACATCTAAGAATCACAGAATTTCAATAAATTAAGCATGTAAAGGCATGTCAATTAACTCATGAAATAGACTTTTGTACTTTTACAATTAAATATCACCAGCAACAACATTTTGTAGATATCTATATTTTGATATAAGTCTCATCTAGATAGTACCATAAATAAATTTTCACTTCTTTATACACCTGGTCTCAAGACATGTTATTTACCTGTATATTTTCATAGTCTACATATACTTAGAGAGAGTGGATATTGTACTGTTACTATAAACTGTAATATCAACTATAATGAACATCAATCATTTCACCTCAAAAATCTGACAGAATAGGTATATATTCTTCCAATTACACATTTACGTATTTCATTATTATAGTATATCATATAAAGTTACTTATTGCAGGGATGGATAATAGGTATACATCAATCCCTGCTCATTCGTTCCTTTTTTCAGTATCTTCAGCTGTCTTTTTACCATTAATACTGGATTACACTGTAACTATTTAAGTCTCCTCATTCCAGGATGAAAATTGGCAAACACAGAATATTAGTTATATAATATGTATATATTTGCACATTTATTGTCCCAAATGTGCCACGTGTGGAAGTGGATGATGTTGTACAGCATGTGTGCATGTATTACTGTGAAATTTGAACACTTTCCCTACGGGTTTTTCTTTGTTTTTCTATCATAACTTTTGTTCTATATTTCCTATGTGGAATGGGGCAGTAGTTGACACGGGGAGTACCAGATAGAAGATTTATTTTTTGACAATCGTTTATGTACAGATAAAAAACATTAGCTTTGTAGAGTTATGAGCAAACATGTATAACAAGTTTCAACGAAACACAAACGAAATATCACAGCATAGTAAAATTACAGAAGCAAAGCAAAACAGTTCTACACTATGGATATACTGACAAGCACAAAAGTTGTTAAGAAATATTGCAGAATGCATGACGGAAGCAAACTGTAAGTTGAAATAGCAATATTTTTATGTAGCACAGCATTCATAAGTAAGCATGTAGCGAAATAACACAAAATATCGCATTTTAGGATAAAATAAAACTGGCGATAAAAATAGTGAAATTGAAATTGTTTTGCACAAAAAAAAAAAAAAAAAAATTTCATATATCTTATTAAATTGTGAGACAGGAGTTTATTCCTTATGTAATACAGATAAAACAGGTCATCCTGCTTCCTTATCGAGTAAATTCACTGTCCATTTAACTAAATAGTGTCCAGTCATCACCACTAATCCCCTCCGAAATAAAGTTTCCCAGTAGGTATGTGTATACTTAAAAAGGCCATGAGCAATAAATTAAGTTGATGAATATTGCATTAAACAAACACATTATGTTAAGATTTAAACTACTTTATAACTCTGGCACAGAAATTTTGTTTTCAAGTAGAATTCCCACAGTTTTGCCACTCCTTTACTGAGTGACCCTTTTTTAGAAGACTTTGCTGGTTGTGGCTGACCCAAACTAAGATGGGATACAGTAGCCTTCCTTGTGAAGAAAATCCCAATATAGATTTATAATCATGTATTTGTTCTATACGTAAATGTTTTCACATTTATAATCTTTTAGTTAGCCAGCAAACTTGCTAGGTAAGGAATGCCTCATCACCTGCTACCTTGGGCTATATATATCACACCATAATATATCTAGTCTATTTACTTAATTGTCTAGTCTACCAGTACACTATGATAGAACCTTTTGTGTTGGTATATAATTATGATTTTTCCTCTCGATTGTCTTTTTAAATAGTCAGCAAGCTTGGTATAGGTAGAGACTGTCCAATCATGATCACCTACTTGCTGGATGTAAATGTGATACTACACATTCTATTAACAAGATACAAAAAATGTTTATAAACCATCTTTGATATTACATAAAAATACCTGGTATGTGCTTGCTAAATTCAATCTGTTTTCTTATTATTCTCTTTATTTCCTCCTTAAAGATGCAAACAGAATGATATATATGCAGTTTGATTATAAATTGTCATACTGAATAAAATTGGCTTCAAAATATGCAGCTATAAGTAACATAAGGTACATTATACAACAATAGTAATAATAAGATATATAACTAATGAAATCAAATTTTCAATCGTAATAAACTTTAAGCATTTTTGTTAAGAAATTGACTGATGCCACATAAAATTCATTTATATCGGACTGGCTCATTTAATTCTATAGTATTTTTCCACCAATGAGGATATGAAATAGATCAGTCTGAATGAGCATGTTAAACATATTATCATCAATAGTGATGATTCAACACCATAACTGATCTCAAATCGTTTCAGTATGATTACACTGTAATACATTCGAGTATACACATCATCATAAATGAGTCTACATTTATGACACAATCATGTTGTTTCTTATGGATACAATTAGTCACATAATACTGTGCTATGTATGGTCACTTTTATTTTGAGGAAAATTGATAAATAATTTCCACTGTATGTGAGGAGACAATTTATCCTGTATCAACATAAACCTACAAAACTCCTGATCTTAACTCATTCTCTTTCAATGCATTTTCTTCATATCAATGTACAAAAGATTTTACTTTCTTTTTAAATATACTTTAAACAGGAAATGATCACAAACCAACAGTTCTTGCTCAAGTTTGTATGACACATTTCTTTAAAACTCCAGCTATGGGGTCCAAAAATCTTTGATCGTACATATTATGTTAGTCTTCACGTATGCTATAAAAAGACAAGTAAAACATACAATACAATTGACATGCAATTTTCTCCAAATTACACTTTCTTCCTGGTTACCAAATACACTTCCTGATAAATTATTTTTGCTGCACAATCATGCTTTTTGGCCTTGTCATGACTACGTTTTTATACTTATGTTTGTCGTGAAAATACGGCTGCTGATCATGAGTTCAGGTTAAAATGTTATATGTCAATCTTATGAGAACTCCGGCGTATATGAAAGTAAAAAAAAAAAGTCTTAGTGTCTTGTATCATAATTGTAAGATGGACTGAAAAACGAGAAACATTTATGAAATACACAAATAGTATCATAAAGAAATGTTTCAAATATTTGTAGATAAGAATATTGACTATAACATTACTGCATCATACATTGTTGATTAGCTAATAGCTCCGCCATCGTCTTATAGTATGATGTAGTCCTCAACGAATGCGCCAGCCATGTAACCTTCCAGTCGTGACGATAACCCCGGTATTTTTTATTTTATTCTCGGCAATTTATTATATTTTTATTCACCAAACTTATAAATATTTATCCTACCTGAATTTTATAGTTAATAACTAGGAGAAAAAATTGTTAAATATACGATGATACTTCAATCGTTGAAATATTTACAATGGTAGAATCATACCTGTGAAATTCTACATGTGGATCATCACTAAAATGGATGTTTGGCGTTAAATTATATGAAATTATGAGGGGTTGAATTCGTAAAATGTCTCAAGTAAGAGAAACCATTGAACTCCTAACAAAACTGTTGAGAAGAAACGGTACTTCGAAGATTAAGGCGGAAGTTTTCCGACTGGCAAAATTTAATAACGATGAAGCTGTAAGTTGAATACATGTAAGCCTATCGTTTAGGTCAACTGCAGCACCTGCAGTTAACCATTGGCGTCCGGCCTTTGGAATGGCTGGTTTATGTGTATAGATATTGGCACAAACAGTAGTCCCTGAACACCTTCCATTTTGTTTACATTATGATTATAACGGGCTCATAAAAGAAACAAAAAACAATTTAACACCTGTAGTTAATCATCTACACGAAGGCTAAACAGTACTGCAAGTTAAAATCTTCATTTGGTTTTTATTGGTGACTGTCTGGAGGGGTTTGTTTGGACAGAGATGTCTCGTGTTAACCTTTTCCCACTGCATTAACTATTATGCACAAACAAATGTATTACATTAATCGTTACTAAGAACATGGGTTTAAATATGTCAACATTTGTTATTTTCTTGGATGTTTGGTTACAGGTTTTTTCCATTTCTGTGACCCCTCCTTTCTCAAAATGTTATCTCAGTTCCCTCAAAATTTCTGATTTTATATATTGGTGAGCAGTTGGATTCCCAGATGTTATTAATGAGTTTATGGGCATGTCAATGCTACAACACAATAATGTGCATACGTAACAATCTTTTCTGTGACATTTACTATCACCAAATTTTACACCATCTAGTTAAAAGTAACACTGACTTGTAGTTATTTTAGGTATAATCTCTGAATCATTCTGCATATAGAAAGGTCTGGTTGTTGAATCCCTTTCAAAATAAATTAAAAAAGAAAGAAGATACACTTTTTTTTCACTGTCATGCATCATTATGTAAACAATACACTATCACAAATCTAAGTTTCATGTTAAAACTGTTTCAAATGTTTGTAAATGAATATAGGCATAACCTCTGTAGCAGTGTTTTATTAGATAAATAGAGTATATATGGCTATCCCTGAAGTAACACTTTGACGACACATATCATGTGACCTCACTTCACACTCAAAACATGCATATTAACCAAATGTGTGCCTAGAGAGGTAGGGTACCACTGACTATATATATTAAATCATTTTAGGCTGAAATTTGGCATTGTACAAAAATTGTTGCCAAATCCCTTTAATGGAATGCATTTTTATTAATGAAGGTATGGTTTAATCATTTTTTTCCTGGCAGAAAATTTTGAAAAATGAGCTTTATGATATATAACATTTTTCACATCCTATTCAGATTCATATGTTTATTTTTTATAATTTCTGTGCCACCTGGAGCATTCCAACAAATTTACAGGAATGTGGCCTTATATTAATTGGAAGTTATTAATTAACAGTTACCAGACATTTATGTGATATTAATGACAAGGCCAGATGACATGCTGCATATAGATACTGTTGATTATATATTATCATAGATATTGGCATTGTACAATTACATAGATACTGGTCAGGCATCATATAATTATATAAACACTGGTCAAGCATTGTACAATTCAAAGATGAAAAATTTCCGCCAATCGGCGGATTTCCGCCTTTTTCATGACAAATTTGGTCATTTTTGAGATCGATGCAAATCCGGTGAGAAAAGTTCAGGGGTTGGGGGGTTAGGTATGTCTTGATGATGCATTTTATTTTTAATCAATCTTCATCAACTCCGTTCTTAAATTCTTCAATTTATATGCCCTTATAAACTGTGAATTTAAACATCGAGCAGTTACGAGCACCAAGTTTCTGGTATTGTCAAATCGATAATACGAAGGAAGATAACTCTTACATCAGTCGAACGTTTGAAAGCTATAGTTGAATTACAACAGAGATGAAAAATTTCCGCCTTTTCCAATGCTAGCCACTTTCATCTCTGACAATTACATAGATACTGGTCAGGTATCATATAATTATATAAACACTGGTCAAGCATTGTACAATTGTTATATAGACACTAGTCTAATCTTTTCCAATGATATTGACACGGTCAGGCATACATCAAACAATTATAAAGGCAATGGTTAGACAATGTAGAATTACATAGACACTGGTCCAATTATTTAGACTCTTGTCAGATGTTGTCTAGTTATATCTACATTTGTCAGATGTTGTCCAGTTATATCTACACTGGTCAAATGTTGTCTAGTTATATATACACTTGCCAGATGTTGTCCAGTTATAGACATTTGTCCAGTTAGATAGACTCTGCTCTGGTTAAAAATTGTAAAAGATGCAACATCATACACAGTTTAAGCACTGCAGATGATTTGAAGATTTTGATTTTTTGTTCATTTCAGACTGTCCCATTTTGGAAACTTCTATTTGAGTTACTCTACTTTCTGAAGTATGGGGTGATCGACGATGTAACCGTCAAGGCATATGCAGAGCTTACTCAAGGTATGTTATAAAAGTACTTAAAAGTGTATGTGAGATGCATGGTCTTTAACTCAGTACCCACTTTGTATAATCATATAGAAAGTGGTCACAGTAGATAGGCCAGCCTGACAGGTAATAAGGGATGTAAGTTACATGCATGTGCAAGAGACAGTTGTTGAAGGTAATCCTTAATCTAAAAAATTAATTTCCATGGCAGGAATTTTCTTGTGTTAAAAGGCATTTATGAAACCAGGGCAGATATTTTTGCTTCACAATAATCAGTGAGGGTTTCTAGATACATGGTTATCATCAGTATTGCAAAATTATCTCAGTCTGTTCATGTTCATATTACTTAGTCATGTAAATTTACCTGTACATATTTTTGATATTGTATTGAAATTCTGTTTTCATTCTTACATTGCATATTGGAGGAAAAAGATATTGGCGGTGATATACATTGTACATGTATATACTACCACTATAGAACATATATCTGTAATCATATGCCTTTACCTGCTTACAATACTAATGTATGTATATCAGGTATGTAAAAAGAATGCTTGTTTTTGAAGAAATGTTTCATCTTTACAGAAGAACTAGCTGTGTATGTGAAGAAGAGTATGCAGAGCCGAGGGTTCTACTCCAAAGAGTTTTCATTACTGCCCAATGATATGAGCTCAGGTAGCAGGGAGCTACTACTGGCTTTTGCTTGGCTCATGTGTAAAGAGAACGTGATTGTTAAATTCATGGAACAATGTTCCTCCCCTGTAGATGAAAACACACTATCTGTGTATGAGGTTTGTATAACTGATAGAATTTAATTGAAAAATGAATTTTAAACTCAACTGCATATCCATACAAAATATCTCATCAAAAATTGGAACTTTATCAGGTTTTCCAACTGAAGATCTAATAACAGCCCATTCTGTTTTAGCCACTTTTCAGTTTTAAGTATAAGATATCCATCTTTAGCCCACCATCATCACATGATCTGCTGTTTAAATCACCCTTTGTCTGTGGTCTGTCATCCATCTCTCTGTAAACAATTATTGTTATTGCTAATTCTTCCGAAGTACTGGAAGGATCAAACTTAGTGTGGAGATTCTGTTGTGCCTGTTTTTAATTTGATGGAGAAAACAGAATGGCCAGCAAGCTATATTCCATGATTTTTATAGTTGAATTTTGTTATTGCTGTTTCTTTGGAAGTTTTTGAATGATATTTCTGAAACAAATGTAGGTTTCTTTCCATCTCTAGTTGTGCCGATTTAATTTTTAAGCTCTTTAAACTTTAAACTTTAAACTTTATAAAGTGTTACATTTGGACCCTCTACCTATGATATCAAATACTCTAAGCTCTTATGAAATTGATTTAAAGGTTTTCTTAGCTTATATTGATACTTTTTACAAGTAATCTTATCATATTTGTTTAATACTGCTTATATTCACATGTTTACAATATCTGTTAACATGTTTGAAATGTCATTCTGTTCAGTTTGATTTGGAAGAAAACATACACTCCTCTAACTACCTAGCCTCCAGTAAGTTCCTGAATCCAGTACAGAGGGTCCAATACCTGCAGCTCCTAAACGGCAAGATGAGATCCAGTCTGAAGCGTCTGTATAGCCTTCAGAGGGAGAAGGTCAAGCTTGACCATAAGGTAAGTATTTTATATATGTAAGATTATACCAAGTTGATATATGCAAAAAGAATGATAATAGTGCTTCAGCTATAGTAATCTAAATTATTCATTTTAAAAGAAAGATTATGAAGATTTAGTAAACCATGCATGATTACAGTCTGTGGGGATAATTTAGGGAGCTTAGAGAGGTTATGATAAATGTCTATAGCACTTTTCTGTTTAGTTGATGTTAATGGATGTTATAATCTACTGTAGGTTCATGAATGTACCCAAGGGGTATCATTGTCACCTGGTGTGTCACACCTCACAGCTCTGGAGGTCCACATGCTTAAACACCCAGAACTGTTGAAGAAGGTAAACATTACTATTTACATACAGAAAACAGCAGATATGAACTCTGTATTGTGATGTTGGAAATTGATAATCACAGATCTACTTTTTCTCTAATAATTGATTACAGCATAGTTGTAAGATAAATTAAATATGAGGCATTCATACATATTTGACTATCTTTCTGATGATATATTGGATCCACCATGCAACTTTAACTTATCAGGTAACTAGGCAGTCTTGGGGAATGCTATTTATGTTGTCAGTTACTGAGATGAATAACTATCTAGTTCAAAATCATTGTCTGGATCTTTTTTTCAAGGTCACAAGTAATCAATGGATATGTTTTAATCTGATTGAAAATACCTTTTATAAGAAAGACCTAAAGGATCCTGTCCTGTAGCTTGTAGTCCAATCATTTTAAAGCAAAAAATAGCTATAAGGTCAAACTAATTGCAAAAGAATTTATTTTTTTGCAGTGTTGAATGTCCATATTAATGTATTCTAAAAGTCCCAAAAGCTCAGTCAGGTGGAACATAAAAAAAAATGAGTATAAACTGATGCTGTTTGGTCTCAACAATATTTAGTAGAAATGGGGGAAGGGGTATTCTAGATATCATAATTGAGTTTGAAACATCATTCGTCAATGTATTATATCATCAAAGATATTATGTCAGCCTTTCATTTTATACCAATTTCAATATCTTTTGACAAATAATCATAATTAGCTCCCTTGCTTAATATTTTGTAAATTTTTGTGCAAAAGTGTTTAAAATACCAATATTTTTATTACATTTATGTCTAATTTTCTATTGGAATATTACAATGACACTCTGCCTGATATTTTAAAACTGATTATGATATAACATCTACAGTACTATTAAACAAGTTCATCTAATGAAAGAAAAATAGTAAAAATCATAGGAAAACTAAAATAATGCATACTTATTTTCCATTTATGAAAATTTATCGATTTATATTACAAAAGCAAGAGTCATATATCATTACAACGTGTGGTTTATCAAGAAAACCCCACAAAATCTTCTAAGATATTTATTTATAAATTATCTCCAGTGCAGATGCCAAAAGAAATAGGCGTTGATATCATACAATTAATCAGAATCATACCTCCCTTTTCATTCAATAATCATTGTTCCCTCGTGTTATTATTACAAATTGGTAAAATCTCATATCCTTGATTTTATATTTGAGTTAATACTGATATCACATCACGTCACTATCAGTTAGTGGTAATTTGACCAAAATGTAGGTACCGTTCAATTTCCATGAATATTGGTATGTATGTGTGGTTTCATAAAAACATAATGATGACATGCATTGATTGGATAAGATTTCTGCCACAAAGTTGCTTCAGATTCATTGAATTTAGATGTCCAATTTTCAAGAAAATGAGTAGATAAATTGACTGTCTCACAAAGACGACTAATGTGGTAAAATTCAAATATTGTCAATATTTTTTTATCAAAAATACCACTAATGTGATAGAATTCAAATACTGTTGGATGCTTATGGCATTACGTATTAATCGTAATTTAGCATGATGTCCATCAATTACATCTGCAGTGGTGTGTTCAAGTCAATTAGTACTTTTTGTTGTTGCAGACAGATATTTCAAATTTGTTACATATCTTCATTGATATCACTAGTTATTACTTTATCAGAATTTGATAGGATAGGATACCTAGGATATTTGGTTTATAATCATAGATTAAGCCTGTTTAACTTTAGAAACGAATGAACTTGAAGAGGAGAGAGGGAGAGAATATATTCATATTGTCTAAGTTATGAGTGGATATACAAAATGTAATCTTTTCATAGAGATTACTTACTTTTTTCTATAGGTGTTTCATTTGCTTGAAAAAGACAATGAGCGACTACAAATACTATTGGTATGGACTGAACAAGAGGAAAGGTTCTGGAAATGGATGGTAAGATAACTGAAGGACTGCTGTAAATCATATTTTTCAAATAAAAAAGCATTTTGTGAGCATTTTATTTCTTGGATAAATATCACTCAATATATTTACTTATACCGTTTTCAGTAGTTTGTGGACATATGATTTGATGAGTAAATGTACCCACAAAATCAACTTAAAAAATCCTCCACAAATATTTATGATTTTACAGTATCATACACTCAGATCTGATTTTACAGTATCATACACTCTGATCTGATTTTACAGTATCATACACTCTGATCTGATTTTACAGTATCATACACTGTGATCTGATTTTACAGTATCATACACTGTGATCTGATTTTACAGTATCATACACTCTGATCTAATGTTACAGTATCATACACTGTGATCTGATTTTACAGTATCATACACTCTGATCTGATTTTACAGTATCATACACTGATCTGATTTTACAGTATCATACACTCTGATCTGATGTTACAGTATCATACACTCTGATCTGATTTTACAGTATCATACACTGTGATCTGATTTTACAGTATCATACACTGATCTGATTTTACAGTATCATACACTCTGATCTGATGTTACAGTATCATACACTCTGATCTGATTTTACAGTATCATACACTGTGATCTGATTTTACAGTATCATACACTGTGATCTGATTTTACAGTATCATACACTGTGATCTGATTTTACAGTATCATACACTGGGATCTGATTTTACAGTATCATACACTGTGATCTGATTTTACAGTATCATACACTCTGATCTGATTTTACAGTATCATACACTGTGATCTGATTTTACAGTATCATACACTCTGATCTGATGTTACAGTATCATACACTGTGATCTGATTTTACAGTATCATACACTCTGATCTGATTTTACAGTATCATACACTGTGATCTGATTTTACAGTATCATACACTGTGATCTGATTTTACAGTATCATACACTGTGATCTGATTTTACAGTATCATACACTGTGATCTGATTTTACAGTGATCTGATTTTACAGTATCATACACTGATCTGATTTTACAGTATCATACACTCTGATCTGATTTTACAGTATCATACACTCTGATCTGATTTTACAGTATCATACACTCTGATCTGATTTTACAGTATCATACACTCTGATCTGATTTTACAGTATCATACACTCTGATCTGATTTTACAGTATCATACACTGTGATCTGATTTTACAGTATCATACACTCTGATCTGATTTTACAGTATCATACACTGTGATCTGATTTTACAGTATCATACACTGTGATCTGATTTTACAGTATCATACACTGTGATCTGATTTTACAGTATCATACACTCTGATCTGATTTTACAGTATCATACACTGTGATCTGATTTTACAGTATCATACACTGTGATCTGATTTTACAGTATCATACACTGTGATCTGATTTTACAGTATCATACACTGTGATCTGATTTTACAGTATCATACACTCTGATCTGATTTTACAGTATCATACACTGTGATCTGATTTTACAGTATCATACACTCTGATCTGATTTTACAGTATCATACACTCTGATCTGATTTTACAGTATCATACACTGTGATCTGATTTTACAGTATCATACACTGTGATCTGATTTTACAGTATCATACACTCTGATCTGATTTTACAGTATCATACACTGTGATCTGATTTTACAGTATCATACACTGTGATCTGATTTTACAGTATCATACACTGTGATCTGATTTTACAGTATCATACACTGTGATCTGATTTTACAGTATCATACACTGTGATCTGATTTTACAGTATCATACACTGTGATCTGATTTTACAGTATCATACACTGTGATCTGATTTTACAGTATCATACACTGTGATCTGATTTTACAGTATCATACACTGTGATCTGATTTTACAGTATCATACACTCTGATCTGATTTTACAGTATCATACACTGTGATCTGATTTTACAGTATCATACACTGTGATCTGATTTTACAGTATCATACACTGATCTGATTTTACAGTATCATACACTGTGATCTGATTTTACAGTATCATACACTGTGATCTGATTTTACAGTATCATACACTGATCTGATTTTACAGTATCATACACTGTGATCTGATTTTACAGTATCATACACTGTGATCTGATTTTACAGTATCATACACTGTGATCTGATTTTACAGTATCATACACTGTGATCTGATTTTACAGTATCATACACTGTGATCTGATTTTACAGTATCATACACATCTACAGTGATCTGATTTTACAGTATCATACACTCTGATCTGATTTTACAGTATCATACACTGTGATCTGATTTTACAGTATCATACACTGTGATCTGATTTTACAGTATCATACACTGTGATCTGATTTTACAGTATCATACACTGTGATCTGATTTTACAGTATCATACACTGTGATCTGATTTTACAGTATCATACACTGTGATCTGATTTTACAGTATCATACACTGTGATCTGATTTTACAGTATCATACACTGTGATCTGATTTTACAGTATCATACACTCTGATCTGATTTTACAGTATCATACACTGTGATCTGATTTTACAGTATCATACACTCTGATCTGATTTTACAGTATCATACACTGTGATCTGATTTTACAGTATCATACACTCTGATCTGATTTTACAGTATCATACACTCTGATCTGATTTTACAGTATCATACACTGTGATCTGATTTTACAGTATCATACACTCTGATCTGATTTTACAGTATCATACACTGTGATCTGATTTTACAGTATCATCTGATTTTACAGTATCATACACTGTGATCTGATTTTACAGTATCATACACTGATCTGATTTTACAGTATCATACACTCTGATCTGATTTTACAGTATCATACACTCTGATCTGATTTTACAGTATCATACACTGTGATCTGATTTTACAGTATCATACACTGTGATCTGATTTTACAGTATTACACTGTGATCTGTATCATACACTGTGATCTGATTTTACAGTATCATACACTGTGATCTGATTTTACAGTATCATACACTGATCTGATTTTACAGTATCATACACTGTGATCTGATTTTACAGTATCATACACTCTGATCTGATTTTACAGTATCATGGTAGGGGATTAAGTATTACTGATATGTATTATGGTAGGGATTTTAATGTATTACTGATATGTATTAATGGTACACTCTGACTGATAAGGTATTAATGTATTACTGATATGTATTAATTAGTATTACTGATATGTATTAATGGTAGGGGATTAAAGTATTACTGATATGTATTATGAGAGTGACTAACATATGTACCAATATGTATTAATGGTAGGGGATTAATGTATTACTGATATGAATTTTGGGAGGGGACTAGAGTATTAATGGTAGGGGATTAATGTATTACTGATATGTATTATGGTAGGGGATTAAAGTATTACTGATATGTATTAATGTAGGGGATTAATGTATTACTGATATGTATTATGGGGGATTAATGTATTACTGATATGTATTAATGGTAGGGGATTAATGTATTACTGATATGTATTAATGGTAGGGGATTAATGTATTACTGATATGTATTATGGTAGGGGATTAATGTATTACTGATATGTATTAATGGTAGGGGACTAATGTATTACTGATATGTATTATGTATTAATGGTATTACTGATATGTATTAATGTATTACTGATATGTATTAATGGTAGGGACTATGTATTATGGTAGGGGATTAATGTATTACTGATATGTATTAATGGTAGGGGACTAATGTATTACTGATATGTATTAATGGTAGGGGATTAATGTATTACTGATATGTATTATGGTAGAGGACTAATGTATTACTGATATGTATTAATGGTAGGGGATTATTGTATTACTGATATGTATTATGGTAGAGGACCAATATGTATTAATGGTAGGTGATTATTGTATTAATGTATTACTGATATGTATTATGGTAGGGGACTAATGTATTACTGATATGTATTAATGGTAGGGGACTAATGTATTACTGATATGTATTATGGTACTGATAAGTATTAATGGTAGGGGATTAATGTATTACTGATATGTATTATGGTAGGGGATTAAAGTATTACTGATATGTATTATGAGAGAGACTAACATATGTACCAATATGTATTAATGGTAGGGGACTAAAGTATTACTGATATGTATTAATGGTAGGGGATTAATGTATTACTGATATGAATTATGGGAGGGGACTAGAGTATTAATGGTAGGGTATTAATGTATTACTGATGTGTATTATGATACTGATATGTATTATGGTAGGGGACTAAAGTATTACGGATATGTATTAATGGTAGGGGATTAATGTATTACTGATATGAATTATGGGAGGGGACTAGAGTATTAATGGTAGGGTATTAATGTATTACTGATCTGTATTATGGTAGGGGACTGTATTACTGATATTAATGGTAGGGGACTAATGTATTACTGATATGTATTAATGGTAGGGGATTAATGTATTACTGATATGTATTAATGGTAGGGGATTAATGTATTACTGATATGTATTATGGTAGGGGACTAAAGTATTACTGATATGTATTATGGTAGGGGACTAATGTATTACTGATATGTATTAATGGTAGGGGACTAATGTATTACTGATATGTATTATGGTAGGGGACTAAAGTATTACTGATATGTATTATGGTAGGGGACTAAAGTATTACTGATATGTATTATGGTAGGGGACTAAAGTATTACTGATATGTATTAATGGTAGGGGACTAAAGTATTACTGATATGTATTATGGTAGGGGACTAAAGTATTACTGATATGTATTATGGTAGGGGATTAATGTATTACTGATATGAATTAATGGTAGGGGATTAATGTATTACTGATATGTATTATGGTAGGGGACTAAAGTATTACTGATATGAATTAATGGTAGGGGATTAATGTATTACTGATATGTATTATGAGAGTGACTAACATATGTACCAATATGTATTAATGGTAAGGTATTATTGTATTACTGATATGTATTATGGTAGGGGACTAAAGTATTACTGATATGTATTATGGTAGGGGATTAATGTATTACTGATATGTATTAATGGTAGGGGACTAAAGTATTACTGATATGTATTAATGGTAGGGGATTAATGTATTACTGATATGTATTATGGTAGGGGACTAAAGTATTACTGATATGTATTATGGTAGGGGACTAAAGTATTACGGATATGTATTAATGGTAGGGGATTAATGTATTACTGATGGTAGGGGACTAAAGTATTACTGATATGTATTAATGGAGGGGTATTACTGATGTGTATTATGAGAGTGACTAACATATGTACCAATATGTATTAATGGTAAGGTATTATTGTATTACTGATATGTATTATGGTAGGGGAATAATGTATTACTGATATGTATTAATGGTAGGGGATTAATGTATTACTGATATGTATTATGGTAGGGGTATTACTATATGTATTATGATATGTATTAGGGGACTAAAATGTATTATGATATGTATTAATGGTAGGGGATTAATGTATTACTGATATGTATTAATGGTAAGGTATTATTGTATTACTGATATGTATTAATGGTAGGGGACTAATGTATTACTGATGTGTATTATGGTAGGGGATTATTATATTAATGGTAGGGGATTATTATATAAATGGTAGGGGATTAATGTATTACTGATGTGTATTATGGTAGGGGATTATTATATTAATGGTAGGGGATTATTATATAAATAGGAGGGGATTAATGTATTACAGAAACAATACCTTCTTTGTACAGGAAAGTGTTCTAGACCTTAAGATGCAGGATATGTCTGTTTCTGGGAGTCAAAGTGCATCTAAAATGATGTATTACAACATTCCACCTGACTGTGTGGGCAGCATGGAGTCAGCCAGAATACAGCTAGAAGAGGCCATTGTTAAATATGAATCTATCATTGAGCAGCTGGAGGATGTCTGGGAGTCAAAGGTAAACAGTCCTCTCAGTCAAACCATTTACAAATAATTGAGCAAATCAAAATCTTTGTCTGGTAGATGTATTTTACAGCAATAGTTGTGATGATTTCCTTAGTCTGGAATATGTTGGTTTGTTACAGAGAAACACAGTAACAGAACAAGAACTAGACCACTTACTGACTTCAATCAACATGGAGATTTCATTACAGCGAGCAAATCTTGCCCTAGATAACACTGAGCAAATGCTGAGGACATATAAGGATCCAGGACTGTTCTACTTAAGAAATACTACAAGTAGTAGCAAAAAAGTATCCAATCTGCAAGTGTCAGGACATCCTAATGACCGATCTGGACATGGTGATGGACCAGATTCACCGACAGACATACGTTCAGAAATAGCTGTTCTTGAGGTACAACTTAAAAGACTTGAGTTGGAGACTAAGCGTAAACAATCCCATTACTGCTGTGATTTGGATGCTATAGCCAATAGCATACCTGACTCTGTCTGTATTCAGCCAAAAGGATATCGGTAATACAAACTGTGTGTTAGTGATAGATACAGTGAAACCCACTGTAGTTGCTGGATCTGCAAGACATTCATTCTACAAAGAAGAGACACATGTTAATAGCAGTCAAACAGTCTTATGAATTGTAGGTGACATCCATACTATATTGTCCTCTTACAATTTGTTGCATTGTTTGATGTCTGATAATTCTCATATACAATATGCTAACGTTTTAAGTAACTCGCCATACTACAGGACATTGCTTTATACCAAGCATTTTTTCTGTTAGTATATGAATTTGTGAATTTTGCAGTATATATAACAGGTCAAATACCAGGTACCAATTACCTACAGTGTTTGGTTGTTTGCTTACTCTTAGATAGGGACCTATTTTATATAGCTTATCGTTATAATTACTCAATTTTGTATACAGTCATGTATTACTTTGGGAACTAAAGTTAATGTAGCGTTATGTCCCTTCATTCAATAAATCATATCATTGTCAGTATATATCTTAAAGCTTAGTGACCATGACCAAATTTTGAATGCATGTTTCTTAAGTTGGCAAATAAAATTCATTCTTAAATTGTGCCCAATCATCTAAATTTTATACTCTTGTAGGTCTTTTGATATTCCATAATCATTTAATAGGTGTTACAATGAGTTAGTGGTGTACTCTGCCTTGTAATTGATGTTGTTAATGGAGATACCTTGTCACAATTTCTGTGAGATGTGCTTGGGTGGGTAGAAATGCTTCCATTTTCTTTTATTTTATGCTCTCTTATCTTGGTGACAGATATGGAGGATAGAGCATGTGTTAACAACTCTAATCGGTGGAGAATATTTAAGATACAAGAATATCTTTCAGAACATATAGTTCAACTGTATCCAAAGTTCTCCTGTATTGGTGTTACAGATATTTATCTGCAGACAGTTGTCAGTTAGTGAGAATCCTGAAATGAAAGGGCACATTTTCAAACCACCACATTCCGTGTTTTAGAATTGTAAGCAGTCAGATGTTAGCAGACGGTGTTTGTCCTCTGTAGATTACCGGTAACAGTTAAATTGAACTAACATCGCCCATTAGATGACATGGAACATGATGAACAGGATCATTTTGGTAGGATATTGGTATTATACAGGCAGGTGTAATTTGTTCATTCATAGGTCCTCTGTAGATGACTTGAGGAATGGCGTGATTTGATTAAATTCAGGAACTGAAAGATATATAAGTATAACTTAATATAATGTAATATAACGGTAGATTCACCTAAGATTATATAACTGCAAAATTCAAAAGAGTTTAAATAATTGAAATATATTTTGGCTGCTGTGTATCAAGCTTAGAACTGTAATGGGAACAGCAAATATCTATCATAGAAACATGTACCTTAAACATGAAACCGGACAGGTCCTGTCAGGGTTTGGAAAATTCTATTGAATGCCAGTGTTAATTCTCCAAAAATCGTGAAACAAGTAGGTAATGTAAATATGAGTATGTTTGTTTAAAGAATTGTTTTTTTATGATTTGTTGATCTGTGATGCATTTGTTGTGTTATTATCACTGTGATGTTTAATTTTGAATTTTTTATATGTAACCTATTAACTTTGATGTACTGACCATGTCGCTTGGTTTATTGTACAGTAATTGCTATGGTAGAAGTACATCAATGTAGTCAATGGTTCAGGAAGGGCTTATATTTTCAGCTGCGGCGGAGTGGTTAAGGTGTCTGACCATCTTTTTCACGAGCCCTCCACCTCTGCCTCAGGGTTTTGACCTATGTTGGGCAGTAGCCAGGTGTTGTCCGCAGGGTTGGTGTTTTTTCCCCCCAGAAATCCAACTCTTCTCCAGCACCCAAACCTGACATGACCTTAAATGAACCTGACATGACCTTAAATAATCCTGGCTGACAATAGAACGTAAAACAACAAGAAACAATTTTGATGATGTGAAACAAAAAGTCATGTAATAAATATTTTTTACTGCTACATTTGAAAGATAATCAATGAGTACTTTGAATATTTTTTTACAATTGTATCATTATGACAGTGTCATTTAGCAGCATTAGGTAATACATAGACATATGTGTGTTACTTTTGTGGTCAGTAAATATAAAATCTTTTTTCAGTATCAGGTTTAACTTGTTTGTCATGATTAAATGATTAAGGTTAAAATCACCACCACTGTTCATTTATCTTAATGAAACTAAGGTTCAATATCTTATCTGCGATGAATTATCATTTCAGATATTCAAACTACCAGCAAAGATGGTTGTCCTTTTAGTGATCAGATACACTGAACAGTAAAGGCTTAATTTAATCCTCTTATGTAAGACTGAATATCTTATCACTGGTTGTGTGCATTTGATGGAATCTCTTCAGCTTGATCAGTTGACCTAGTTAGATCCTTAGCAGAGGCATTAACATAAATCCAGACTTTTGTCACACAAAGTTATTGCCCTTTGTTTACAGTCGCATTGTCCAGGACATATATGTTTATCGTGTTACCTGCTATTTTTACTGTATGTTAGCATATCTAGGAATGGTAGAGTGTTGCATACTGAAAGGTGTTTAGTTTATATAGAAAATCTTTGTTGGAGATTAGGAAATTCTTGATTTTTTGCAATATGTTCTACCTTGTTTCATACCTAACTTATATGGAGTATGTTAAACTGCAGCATTATCATTTCAAAGATTAAAAACATTTCTGAATTTTACAGTATATACAGTTATACAAGTTTTGTATAAATTGACATCATCTGTGTTTAGTCTGTTACGATACATTCACTCTGACACAGTTTACAAATTACATGGATAACACAAGGTAAAACAATGCATATCCATGATATTCACCATTTTAAAAGTCATTCAACTCACATTTTGAAATTGCTTTTGGACTTGTTGGCAGACTTTACATATTTTATTGAAACAGGACTGGGTGTACACGTTATATAATTATTTCCATTTTGTCAAAGGCTTGCTAAGTGTAACAAACCACGATAGCTCAAAGTGCTAATTCAAATGTTAAGAAATTGTTACCTGGTTTTTTTTTTGTTTTCTCTAGGCACAGTTTTTAGGTGCTGATACAGGTTGATGAGGAAAGCAATGTACAAGTGTATCAGTGACATAAAAGTCAAATCTGCTGCTCTGAATTAATTACATCTTTGAATAATTTCTATTTAAATTTTGTCCAATTTATTACATATCTTCATTCTTTCATTTTAATATTGGAATTTTCATAAATTTTTCATCTATATGAAGACTCCAGTTTAATCTTTTCTTGTTTTCAGTTTTGGTGTACTGTAATTATATGATCATAATTTTTTTATTTATTTTGTCAAACCGTATATTTTCAAAATTTGTTAGATTAGATGATTTGTTTGATATTATTCTTTAGTATATGATAGTGGTGAATTACCACTATAACAAACACTTGCCATGTGGAATATATTCTATATGATATTGACATGATTGTGTTTTATACTTTGGCTGTTATTTTATTTATTTAAAAAATTCAATAGTAAAATTTTATTCCTTCTTGTTCTGATTTTAAGATTAATAAATTTGTTTCTTCATATGTGTGTTTATTAGGTGTCTCTTGTATATGTTCATTTTTAGCCCACCATCACCAGATGGTCGGCTATTCAATTCACAGGCGGCCATCTTTGATTTTGACTTCGCAAGTTTGTTATTGCTATTTCTTAAGAATTACTTGATGGATCTCTCTCAAATTTCCTATGTAGGTTCCCCTTTGCCACTTTGATGTGATATTTTGTTGTAAAATTCTAAAATTTTCAAATATTTCAATCTTCTGATATTTTTGTCATCTGATTTACTATAACCATATAATTTTGTGTTTCTAATAGGTTTTTCTATAATTCTTCTCATCATATATCTCCTATAATATAAAATAGAAGTATTTGACCCCTCCCCTATTATCTACAATATTGGACCCCTTCTCCCATTCTCTACAGTATTGGACCCCTTCTCCCATTATCTACAATATTGGACCCTTCTCCCATTATCTACAATATTGGACCCCTTCTCCCATTATCTACAGTATTGGACCCTTCTCCCATTATCTACAATATAGGACCCCTTCTCCCATTATCTACAATATTGGACCCCTTCTCCCATTATCTACAATATTGGACCCTTCTCCCATTATCTACAATATAGGACCCCTTCTCCCATTATCTACAATATTGGACCCCTTCTCCTAGTATCTACAATATTGGTCCCCTTCTCCCATTATCTACAATATTGGACCCCTTCTCCCATTATCTACAATATTGGACCCCTTCTCCCATTCTCTACAATATTGGACCCCTTCTCCCATTATCTACAGTATTGGACCCCTTCTCCCAGTATCTACAATATTGGACCCCTTCTCCCATTATCTACAATATTGGACCCCTTCTCCCATTATCTACAGTATTGGACCCCTTCTCCCATTATCTACAGTATTGGACCCTTCTCCCAGTATCTACAATATTGGTCCCCTTCTCCCGTTATCTGCAATATTGGACCCCTTCTCCCATTATCTACAATATTGGACCCCTTCTCTCATTTTCTACAATATTGGACCCCTTCTCCCGTTATCTACAGCATTTGACCCCTTCTCCCGTTATCTACAGTATTTGACCTATTCTCCCGTTATCTACAATATAGGACCCCTTCTCCCATTATCTACAATATCGGACCCATTTTCCCATTATCTACAATATTGGTCCCCTTCTCCCATTATCTACAATATTGGACCCCTTCTCCCATTATCTACAATATTGGACCCCTTCTCCCATTATCTACAATATTGGACCCCTTCTCCCATTATCTACAATATTGGACCCCTTCTCCCATTATCTACAGTATTGCACCCTTCTCCCGTTATCTACAATATCGGACCCCTTCTCCCATTATCTACAGTATTGGACCCATTCTCCCATTATCTACAATATTGGTCCCCTTCTCCCAGTATCTACAATATTGGACCCCTTCTCCCAGTATCTACAATATTGGTCCCCTTCTCCCATCCTCTACAATATTGGACCCCTTCTCCCATTATCTACAATATTGGACCCCTTCTCCCATTATCTACAATATTGGACCCCTTCTCCCATTATCTACAATATTGGACCCCTTCTCCCATTATCTACAATATTGGACCCCTTCTCCCATTATCTACAATATTGGACCCCTTCTCCCATTATCTACAATATTGGACCCCTTCTCCCATTATCTACAATATTGGACCCCTTCTCCCATTATCTACAGTATTGGACCCCTTCTCCCATTATCTACAATATTGGACCCCATTATCTTCTGGACCCCCCATTATCTACAATAACAATATTGGACCCCTTCTCCCATTATCTACAATATTGAACTTCTCCCGTTATCTACAATATTGGACCCCTTCTCCCATTATCTACAATATTGGACCCCTTCTCCCATTATCTACAATATTGGACCCCTTCTCCCATTATCTACAATATTGGACCCCTTCTCCCATTATCTACAATATTGGACCCCTTCTCCCATTATCTACAATATTGAACTTCTTCTCCCGTTATCTACAATATTGGACCCCTTCTCCCATTATCTACAATATTGGACCCCTTCTCCCATTATCTACAGTATTGAACCTCTTCTTCCATTATTTACAATATTGGACCCCTTCTCCCATTATTTACAATATTGGACCCCTTCTCCCATTATCTACAGTATTGGACCCCTTCTCCCATTATTTACAATATTGGACCCCTTCTCCCATTATCTACAATATTGGACCCCTTCTCCCATTATCTACAATATTGGACCCCTTCTCCCGTTATCTACAATAATGGACCCCTTCTCCCGTTATCTACAATATTGGACCCCTTCTCCCGTTATCTACAATATTGGACCCCTTCTCCCATTATCTACAATATTGGACCCCTTTTCCCGTTATCTACAATAATGGACCCCTTCTCCCGTTATCTACAATATTGGACCCCTTCTCCCATTATCTACAATAATGGACCCCTTCTCCCTATAAGTACAATATTGGACTATTGTGTCGATTGTTTATTTTAATTATCAAATTTAATTTACGTCAACATATTTTCGCGTCTCACAAAACATTGTCTTTGACACCTATTGTTTGACTGTAAACATCATCTCAGCATGCAGGTATGGCTATAATGACAGCATGCAGAATTGCTGGTTTCTTGTTACGTGTATAGAGACTGACATAGAACAAGGCACACACATGCCTAGTATGTTAATTGTGTGATATAGAACCTTGACACTCTGCTGCATATCTGTACTTGGATCCATGGAACTGATTGTGACAAATAAAGTAATAAAAGTTTCCACATTCAGACATTCACCATCCCTCAACACATAGCGGCGTCCCTTCTCTACTCGCAAAACTCTTGGCAATAGTACAAGTAACATGTTGCAATCCAACAACTCGGATACTGTTAAGGAAAATGCTCTGTTTACACACAAGTAAAATTGATAATTTGAAGTTAAGAATTTTCTATTGGTCAAATTTAGTAATACTGATTTTATGAATATAGATACTGACATAATCTCCTTCCCAATGTTTTTTCTGTGTTTCTGTTGTTTTGTATAACAATAATCAGACCACGTATACAATTGTGATGATGGTTGGGGCGTCTCCATGATTTCAGAAAGTGGTAGATATATGGTAAGTGATACTGAACATGTTCGTAAAAATTAATATGAGTTTTCTTCGCAGGAGTAGAAAGCCAGGTATCTTTGGTGATTGAATCTCTTTGTGTCCAATGATACAATGCAATATTTCTCATTTTAATGTCAGATATCATACTTACATGTCACATGATATCTTCTGTCTCCGTGATAATTGAAAAGGGACATTCATGGAAATCTCTTAAGTCTCTTAAATGTGACACTATCTTTTCAATGTGTGTTATTGATATCAGTTGTACCTAATGAATATTCAGAAAGTATCTTACATGTATATAAATGGCCATCCTGTTTCTCCATCAGGACTGAATCAAATAGAAATTGTATTTACCTTCAATAGGACATACACATCACAGTTTAGACTGTAATTTTTCCAATTTCTTTTTTTGTGGGTTTCTATGTAAATCTTTCTTTTGTCATACTTTGCCCTAGATTCATAGAACTCGATTTAGAATTAATTTTCTGTTGACATATCGGTATTTTCATTTTTACTGACCACGATTTGTATGATGGGTGTTGTCGATGAAGCAAGTTTGGCTTTATTGTTTGTTGTAAATCTCAACTTGTTTGCGGCGACAAAGCGCCTTTAACACACTTACACAAAAGAAACACAAAAACGAAAGAAAACAAAAATTATCCTTATCGTCCGCCACAAAGTAACTGCTATCTTTAGACTCAGGTGTGAGTTCGGCCTTACAAGACGAACGCTCAACGAAAGCCCAAAAATGAGGCAGATTCGATTCTTCCAGAACACGTTGTCTAATTCTCATTTTATCTTTTAAAATTCGTCCCTATATGAAATTTTCCCTTGCTCATATTTTACCTTGATTTATTGTAAGTTTTAATTGACATTATATACTTTACGGTATTTCTTATTTTCGTAGTAAATAGTCAGAGTGACGATATATAAGATTCGAACCTCTGATTGTCTTAAAGTATGAAAAGTGCAGAGGTAATTGATGATTTTGTTGTGAACAAACAGACATGGATGATCTGGTAATGTGATAATTAAGACATTTGAAAGACACCATTATTTACTTTGTCAGTATGAATCATCGATGCCTATTTAACCAAGGGACCAATCAGTGGGTCATCGACATATAGGTATATAATCTGGCCCAATTAGGGATTTACCTTGTCGTCCACATGAAAATTACATTTACAATAATGATATGTCAAGTGAAATATGGGGTGATTTAAGGTTCCTCCACGATTGTAGCCGAAAGAATGGTGAAATTTAAACTTCTTGTCAGATGGTCGGTAGAGATCGCTGTCGCTCTATTTTACTAACGAATTAAAAGCCATATGCAAACACAAAATTTTGTGTATATAATGGGGTTAGATTTACCGTAACATTACGACAATAATTCCAGCTCAATCTAGCAGCAGCTACTTTAATTTATTATATACACACAAAGACTCCAATTCGTATTGTATTAAGCTTGGTTTATTCTACGTGTTTAACGGGTCTGTTTTCTTAATGTTGTGAAGTTGGCACATGTACAGGTAAATTTTAAGTGTATATGTTTATACCATTACTTACCTGTATAACTTACCAATCAATACTATTTAACAAACCATTTATAGCCGACCTACTCTGATCACAGATTTGTGTTTAATTTTGGTCTTATCAGCTATGTCTGACTGGTAATCTTTGGTAAATCATTGAAACATATACTATATAAACACTTTCTATCGTTTGTTTTTCTTTGCTCTCCTCCTCTTTATGTGTATTGGTGTATACCCCACAACGCAATGTCGGCACTTTCTCTGTGAAGTCTACCTGTATATACCTTTCTATTTGGTACACCGATACAGGTGTGAAAGCAAGTTTCACTGGTCGGACGGAGTTGATGAAAAGTCACGTTCTTACATTTGCATTAAGAATCAAAGATTGTGATTCCTGTGTAGAGATTTAATTTGTGAATACCCTTTTGAGTGAGAAAAAATTGTATTGTGATTATTCTGTGTTGATGTGAAGGAAATCGTGTTCTGACAAGTGCTGGGCTTCCTTTTCATATTATCACCGTACAGGTCGTGTATATATGTAAGATTTGCACCTTTGACACGTCAATACGGAGTACGGACGTGCAAGAATTTACCATATTTAAAATTGATATTTGATGCACTGCATTAACAAAATATCCTAGTGATGCAGCCTTAATTAGTGTGTGCAGGAAATAATTAATGAAGAAGAAATAACCAGCAACCATGGGAAACCTCAAGTCCAGGTTAAAACGATCCAAAAGTAAATCCAGGAAAAGTGGCCAGGTTAATTTACCTGAATCAAGTTCTTCTCGGAAAACGGTGGACCCTCGGCTACCCTTCAGTAATTATAGACAGATATTTAGCATCAAAAATGCATGGAAAAATGTGATGAGGACAATGGAGGACACATCAAAAGACCATCTAATAAGGTAAAACGTGTACTGAGACTAGACTACTGTAACTGTATTATTTTGCCCATGCTTTCAGATCAGTTGTAATTGCACACTATTTACACGTGTTTGTCAGTCGCTGATTTACCGTTGTCTTTCTTTCATTATCTTTCATTACAATTGTAGGAGCATTGCATTTTTTCTTTCATTCTTTCTTTCAGTATTATGTATTTACATGTAATTGAGGGTTGTTGTGTGTGGTTGTTGTGTGTGATTGTTGTAAACTACCCTAGGGTTTTAACATCATTCTATTTCTAACAACACACAGTTACAATATCTAGTACATATTTAATTACCGAGTGCTTAGTTAATCTGCTCTTTCATTTACTTCTTAAAAATACCATCTACAGCAAGCCATAATTACTCTAGATTTTATGTTCCTCATTCAGTAAGTTTCTGAAGAATATTTTCACAGTAAATGTCTAATGTTTAAGTCTATATTAGTGAGAGTAAGACGTAATTGAATTGGTTATATCAAATGCTACCCAAACTACCTTATATTGAATGACTATCCAATAACTATATGTAGATTCACCATACAAGTCAATCGAGCGGTCCAAGGCATTTCTGTGTCAGTGCCTTGTTTATTCATGTAAGTCAGTAAACATTCGTGTGTTTGTTTTTCCCCCTTTTTGACCTAATATATAGTTTCAACAAAGGCAATCCCGTTAACATGTAATGACGTATCCTTCTCAGATTTGAGACAAAGAATTTGGGTTTACCTGGTGAAGATACCATAGACTTTCATGATTGTTGTAAACATTTTATTGCCAGCGAGTTGGAGAGCTGGAAGTAGTATATATTCCTTATACACCCTTGTCTGCATTTTCAATCAAGTCATAGATTTTTATTCAAGTTTGTAATGTTTCACGTTTTCAGGAGTTTTTGTAGGTTTTTTTCTGATGAGTCCAGAGAAACATTTTCAATTTTTTATGACTCCAGTTATAAGGAGATATAGTGGGATCTCAAAATTTGAGTGAGTCCTACAGGAAAAGCATGAGTTAAGGACTCAAATATTCGAGTTACAAAGGTCACTGATGTTACATATGAAAGACATTTTAAAATCTTTTTTAAAATTTTACATATGAAAGACATGGCAAAGACAACTATTTCTGCCATCTGCTTCTTCTTCCACTTAGACGAGGAGACAATGATAAGTATGGCACCATTTAGAATGGTGTCTTTCAAATCATCATACTGAATGCTGACATGTCAATGAATTGTGAATATGTCTCAAAATCAATAACAAGAGATCCCAAAAGGATCTTGGTGCCCAACATCGTTTGATCTTTATTTGCTTTTTGAAATTGGGATTTTTTTTTCTTTTTCCTTCTTTTCTCGTCTCTTTTCTGTTTTTGCTCTTTATGATAAGAAATTTGAATATTCCTTTGCAGAAGTAGCGATGATAGTCTTATCTTGCCAAATACAAGATGGTCACCTGAAAGACATTTTGTTTTTTCTGATATGTCCTAAAATCTAACAGGCCCAAAAAAGGACCAAAAGGAACCTATACATGAAATTTGAGAAGTATCTATGTAGTTAGTATTTCTCACGAAGTAGTGATAAGAAAGATTCAAAGTCAAAGTCCAAGATCTGTCGGCCATTATTTTTTTAGTCCCAAAATTAAATGGGCACAATTAGGGACAAAGGGGAACCTACGTAGGGAATTTGAGAGAGATCTATCTAATTCTTCTTAAGAAATTGCGAAAACAAATTTCCAAAGTGAAAATCCAAGATGGCCACATGTCGGCCATTTCATTTTTCTGATCACTGCTGGGAAAGATAAATCATCACGCTTACCATACAGTTATGTCGAATGAATGTTATACCTGTTGTTTACGTTTATTTTAATATCAAGATAAAGAAAGGTATACCAAAGCAGACTTCACTTCGCCTAACAATGCCTATCATCGTCCATGTTCACACGTAATAGTCATAGTCGTTATATAAATTTCAAATGATAATTTGTACACAGAATGAACCTGATCCATCGGTCAAATTGAGTAATTCATGACGACGTTTAGTGTTCCTCTCTAGAACCATACTTCTATGACTGGAGGGGTTGACTGTATTCATGTGAGGTCGAGCTGGCGATGCGTGAAACAGACATCTTTTAAATAGATGGTTTTGTATGTATTTGTCTTTATAGATATTAAAGAGAAAGGTGATGCGATCGTTTGATTATCATATCTAATGGAAGGAAAGGAATTAGACCGTATCTGATATCCCTCAGCCAATATTGATTTCAATCAGATCGTGAAAGATTATAATTTCCACCTGACTGGACCTAGTTGAGATAAGTAAGATTCATTACACTGTGTATATGTGTAAGTTACCGCTAGTTTTAGTACAGGTTCTGGTGTATTGCTTTCCTATAAAAGTTTAAGGTATATAATCGTGTATTGATGTTTGTTTTGGTATCTTAAAACAATATCTAAACAACCACGGAAGGGTAAAACATCTTGTGTGCTAAAAACAAACCATAAGAACATTCGGAATCCAGTTATAGTAATGGATGTTCCGTTATACGCTAACGGCATCTGGGAGACTACATATGACTAGATTTTATCTTTTATTTACATATCTACGTACCACTCCTTCTCTCCCTCCCGGCCCCTCTCCCTCCCGGCCAATCTTCTAACTGCCACTGACATTTACCGGTGTTCGGAAAGACGCAATTTGTGAAAAAGGGATTTAATTCAGTTCCATTGTACGAGAGTCAAACATGACTCGCTTCCAGTACTCGATATTGTTCGTAAGTTAAATAATTCACGCCGAACTGTAAAATCCGCTTCATAAATAACAGGTTTTTAAATATATTTGCCCTGGTATATATGATCTATCAGATATAAACAGAGGTAGTTATACAGAGAAGTGTTTACCTTTATAAACACAGATCATGGTTATCTCACTAATTAGTATGTACCTGCCTATTATATATGAAGCTCCTGTCTGTGTAAGATTAAAGTTTGTAACAAGTATTTGGTATCTTTACAGTGTAAAGTAATTACATCATACGGATACACTACACTAATTGACGCCATATCATTACATAGTTAGATATAAATACACAAAATTCTGAAACCTATCAATCTTCAGAAAACGTTCATTACCACACGCGTACTCAATGATTCATGGCAAGGAAATTCTACTTGTTTTAATAGACACTTTTGGTGGCTGCCATTGATACCAGCTTTGAATAAAATGACATCAATACCAAAACAAAGTAGGGTGCATATTCTATCACGATTTCGATAATATAACTGTATTTCACTCATAGAACGAATTAACCGATCTACTTTTCTCGACCTTCATTGACAATGGGATCTACAGGTACAACCAACAAGGAAATTGTATGTAATTATTTCAATCTTCTTATGTGAAAAATTACGAATTTTGTACTTACAGAACATGTGGTTTAGAGAATAGCAGGTTGATTGTCATGGGTTTGACCTCTGTTGGGGATATTCTAGCTGCTGATGTCATAACACCACATGTACGGTACACCTTAGTATTAACGGTGGATCACTGACAGCATTACTTTGAGAGCATGATATTACTTTCACGTCATCTAGAAATACATATACATATGTTTGTCAACTTCATGGTCGGTTACAGTTTCTCACGTTTCATGTGATAAAACAGATTTTTACCCAATAGTAAGCTTTAAATATGCTATTTTCCCGTTTTAATTCATTTTTTTTTAAATTTTTACTTCGCACCGTGGTCACAAATAGGACTGAGTATGGCAGGGTATTCACTGCAGAGAATACGACAGTAAACTTAAGACTGTTTATTGCTGTTGTCACTTATTGCATTTAACATACAAAACAAAATCGCTGAGAGGTCATGGGATTAACTCTCTAGGATTAACCTCACAAAGTTTGCTGATGTAGGTACATTTTTACTAATGCTTAATGTCCCTCACAGCTAATCGTCGTGAATATAAACATCTTCTTGTGTTGTCTTACCAAGATCTCCGCGTGATAACTGGCTGCTTGTGGTAACAGGGTTTCTTATCGACTGATCGCCTGGGACAAATGTAGATGTTAGAGTATGCGTACTGACGTAGGTTAGTGAGGAAGAATGACGCCCGAGACTATAATCCTTGTCGTCGGCTGCAGTAGATTATGTACGACGGCGTATTTAGGTGGTAAACAATATCCAAATCAGCTGAAATTCTTTGGCATCCATTTGACTATATGATATATATACAATTAACTACTAGTATTTACACCATTCTGTAACATGGTTTGTTTATGAATTCATTTGATGGGTAAACCCGATATGTACCGAAACATTTGTTATGATGTGCTTAAAGAAATCCATACATCTTTTAAACCATTCTCAGCATAGGACGACGGAAAATAAAATTTCAGCGATTTTTTTTACTTCAGATTCTTCGAACGTTTCCCCGCCTACAAGGAAAGTTTCCCGGAAATTAAGGATTTGCCGACGGAAGACGCCATGCGAGAAAGTCTCGAGTTTGAGACAAGGGCAGTCGACATATTCCAAATGTTTGATGACGTCATCGTGAACTTAGAAAGTGTTGGTATAGGATTGGAAGAAATACATCGGGTGGCCGCATCAGGTTCCATAACAGTATTAATGGTCAAGGTATGAAAAATAATATAGAACCTAATAAAAAAGATTCATCGTCTTTAAATGATAAACGTTTTTATCCGAATGGCAACAAGGATGACAAGGATCAAAGTATAACTGTGAATATTGATTGCTCGTCAGTTGAAAAGTGTATGGTAGTGATTTATCTTCCTTTTCTGTGATTGAGAATAAATATTTCAATTTGGATCAGTTTTTAAATCCTGCTCTGCTGTTTAAAATAGTTTTAGTATATGACTATTGAGAAGAGCACTGCAGTTCTGTTCTGGTTATTTTACAGGATATGAAAGCAACCTTTATGGAGACATTGCGGCACAATCTTGGGGACAGACTGACGGATACAACTTCGGAAAACTTCAATCTGCTATATGACTTTATTGTGTCAGAAATGGAAAAGGCGTGCTGATACGGACTTAAATAACAGCGCAACTGTCATCATTTCTTCTTTGCCCAAGGCATCAAAAGCATAATTGAAATCTGATAAAAAATCTCCATGCTGCTTATTCCGTTCCGATCCCCCGAACATCGTCTTCCTGATATTGCTACTAATACGTAATAACCAGGATGATCTGTTTACAAAATGATCCCTCTAGTATTGTCCTCCTGGTTGTGGTTCTATACAAAATTATACCTCTAGTACTGTTTCCCTGCTCGTGGTTCTACACAAAATGATCCCTCTAGTACTATCTCCCTGATGGTGGTTCTACACAAAATGATCCCTCTAGTACTGTCTCCCTGATGGTGGTTCTACACAAAATGATCCCTCTAGTACTGTCTCCCTGATGGTGGTTCTACACAAAGTGATTCCTCTAGTATTGTCTTCCTAATGATGGTTCTACACAAAGTGATTCCTCTAGTATTGTCTTCCTAATGATGGTTCTACACAAAATGATCCCTCTAGTATTGTTTCTGATAGTGGTTCTACACAAAGTGAACCCTCTAGTATTGTTTCTGATGGTGGTTCTACACAAAATGATCCCTCTAGTATTGTCTTCCTAATGATGGTTCTACACAAAGTGATTCCTCTAGTATTGTCTTCCTAATGATGGTTCTACACAAAATGATCCCTCTAGTATTGTTTCTGATAGTGGTTCTACACAAAGTGAACCCTCTAGTATTGTTTCTGATGGTGGTTCTACACAAAATGATCCCTCTAGTATTGTCTTCCTAATGATGGTTCTACACAAAGTGATTCCTCTAGTATTGTCTTCCTAATGATGGTTCTACACAAAATGATCCCTCTAGTATTGTTTCTGATAGTGGTTCTACACAAAATGATTCCTCTAATATTGTTTCTGATAGTGGTTCTACACAAAGTGAACCCTCTAGTATTGTTTATGATGGTGGTTCTACACAAAATGATCCCTCTAGTATTGTCTTCCTAATGATGGTTCTACACAAAGTGATCCCTCTAGTATTGTCTTCCTAATGATGGTTCTACACAAAATGATACCTCTAATATTGTTTCTGATGGTGGTTCTACACAAAATGATACCTCTAATATTGTTTCTGATAGTAGTTCTACACAAAGTGATTCCTCTAATATTGTTTCTGATGGTGGTTCTACACAAAGTGGTCCCTCTAGTATTGTTTTTGATGGTGGTTCTACACAAAGTGATTCCTCTAATATTGTCTTCTTGGTTCGGTTCTATTCAAAAGAATTTCCTCAATGTCTTCCTCTTGGTAGTTCTATAAAAATGATCCCTTTAATATTGTGATTGTGGCCCTTACACAAGATGTTCACCACAATATTTCCTTTCGTGGTATCGGTTCTATAACCTCGTTAAAACTTAACCAAAATGATGTCTCCAATACGTGTTATCGTGTTAGTTGTTCTTGATGACGTATATACAACAACAAGCTATATTGACACAAGGTTGTTATAACATGGATTTGTCGATTCGTAACAGTTTTTTTTATCTTTTGAAGACTATGTCATTAATGATTATTATTCATTTTTATTCTGGTGACTATCAAAGTAGATGACTATGATTTTAATCTCCCTTCGAAACTGCTAGCTAATGATGTGCATTATTATAAACAGTTGGAGATCGAATCTCATTGAAAACGATAACTACTTAATACATCTTTGCCAGTGAAATATATGTTTAGAGAAATATCTCACTGATAAAAGAGTGATTTTCACTAGTGACTGCGCACTCGTGATATATATTAAAGTATTAGAAACACTTGTGAAATATATCTGTTATTATTGAATATATAAAAAGAAAAGGACACTCGTTTGCCGTTAGTGTTGGGTGGTATTAATGCTTACTTGCACAAATTATAAGTATCATTTGAATATTGCTCAATCATTTACTATGGAAATATACAATGTACACGTCATTGTTTTGTACTTTTTGGAATGAGTCTGACAATATGCACATTGAATGAAGAGCATTGACTAACCTTTACTGCAGTCGTTAATGACAAACCTACTTCTCTCCAGGAAGTCAGATCACGTGTTCAATATAGTACAGTGATGATGTTTACACATTTGATTTACTAGTATCTTGTATCAAATCTAGGTTTTGTTTTAAGATATCTGATATTTACGTTAAATGGTTTACGCCGTAACTGGTACCATACACAACATAAAGTATAACAGCATGCACGCCTATCAATGCGTATCGGTAGTGTGATGTACACTATCTCTCCTTCCCAATTCACACGACAATAACACATGTATTATATTCAAAAGTAGGCGAAAATACGTTTTCGTAACAAAATTTCCTCAGCATGAGACGCTCCCGCATGTAGATATTCGTGTAAGTTATGCATGTTTATGGTAAGATTGAAATAAAGTATATTACTCTTATATTATTGTTATAACACCAATTACATATTTTTCATGACATCTATGTAACATCATCTAACGGGGGTGTTATTGGATGAAGGTTTCCGGCCCCGTCAGGTATGCGTTATATCCGTTAAAATCAATTAAGGAGTTAAGTCACTGCCACAGAAATCATTGTCCTAATTATGACGCTACTACAAGTATATATTGGTTTTCCAACTTCTGTCGGAAACATAAGTTTTTGTTGTTTGTTTTTAATCTAGACTTACAGAGACATTTTACAGACTTCTTCATAATTAACTGCAGTGAGTATGTGGTTGAAGCTTATACTATAATTCACGCACCACGCTAGAGTGACGTATATTCCTAAATAAACATATGTACCTCGGAGTTTTGAGGATATAAAAGTTATCACTTGTCGTATACACTAAATCAGTTATACCTGTAATAGGAAAGACCTGTATTATGGATCTCATGAGAGTCGTATATTTGTATCAGACATAAAATTTCAATTTGGTATCTGGAAAACCGATTGATGATCGTATAATTTTATTTTTGCTTTACAGACAAAGTTGAGATTTTATGTGTCTGGATATTTCCTGGATAACCCCTTTCTAATTAGTTTGTTCTTGCTGGTGTTATTACATCATATAAAGGTACACAAGTAACACTTGACCTATTTGTTTTCGAATCGTTCAAAAGCATTATCAACTATGTTGTTGTCTTAAAAGACTGTTCGCGATTAGAAATTGATGTTGTTGCCTTTAGGGACAGTCCACTATGGACTGGTGACATTTACTGGCACCACCTCTTGAATGTAGTGTCTCAATATAGATTACGATTTTGAAAACACAACTTTTGATTTTCTGAAGATCAAGTGAACCGTGAATAGTAATAACTTCCATCACATGTACTCGACAGATGTTACAAATCAATATATATATTCTCATTCAATAAATCAAAGCTGATGGATCGAGAGTAAAATCTCTTCTGTTATCAAAGATTGTACAAAAGACACATGAGTGAATAGCACATTTTGATACCAAAGATTGTACAAAAGACACATGAGTGAATAGCACATTTTGATACCAAAGATTGTACAAAAGACACATGAGTGAATAGCACATTTTGATACCAAAGATTGTACAAAAGACACACGAGAGAAAAGTACCTTTTAATGCAAATTTAGTGCCAAATAATGAATTAAACTGTATCATACAGCTGTTTCGTCTTTCCAGGATTCATCCGGGATGCTTAGTGCCTAAATTTTGAAACAAGAAACAATTCAAGTTGATCGAGAAAGAGATACCAAAATCTAGATGGGAAGGTGCACAAGTCTTATTATTCAATAAATTTTCAAATATCTCATGGTTTTATAAGAACGTCAAGTATGTGTGTATATTCTGAACTATGTCACTGTTGGGATGAATAACCTCGGGGACTAAATGTCTACAAAAAGTGTCTACTACTTGCAATCTCGCAAAATGTATAAAAGACACACAAGTGAATAGTTCCTTTTCATATAGAACTAGTGTTAGACAAAGTAAGGCCAAACATTAAACTTAAATGCATCGTACAGTTGTTTCGTACTTTTAATGTAAAACATATATTGTCTAGGTATTAATTGGTATCTAAAGTACTGAATCCTATATGTGTATACATGTATGTTATTTGATGACAATGTTCTCAACGAAGATTTTATAATACGAGTGGAAATGATATATAGCGTACAGTTGTTACGTCATCGTCTAGAAATGTAATAATTAGTTTGCACCCTGTCCCATGTCACGTGTCATTGGTTCAACACATCCGATGTTAACATCTGAACCACATAGTAATGAATCATGTATTAAAGTCATCATCGCGCATGTCAATGTGTTAAATCGTCCTTAACCAAATATATCCACTCTGGTCAAATCGTGATGCATGAAAATATTACATCATCGATACTCGATTAATACAGAGCACAACACAGACATGCTAAATAATCGATCGTTATGATCTATGTAATCCACGTGAGAAAAAAATCAAACAGAAAACAAAATCAAGTTTAAATACAATCAATCACTGCAAATTATTTAAATATTGTGCCTTGCTGTTGAACCATGGTTCATTTCAAAATTTCCAGAGCGAATTTTCATCACTGAAAATTGGGAAAGCGCTATAGTTAATTTTCAAACCTTAAAAATCTATAAATATCGTAATATCTACTTAAAAATTAAGAATAAAGAATCACAAAAAATGCTAGAAAAGCTGCTGTACTACACATTTCTGTAACCTGGGATGATAACATCTCTATTAATTCCGTTCAATATTTCGATGCGAGATATTTTTTAACCCCCTATGGATGCATTTTCTATGGGAATTTTCACTTCATTTTCCAGAACTTATGGTATCAGCTAAATGGTGGATTTATATTTATTAAACAAAACTATATCAAGTTAACAGGAAAGTATCTGTATGATGCTTTGCCAACATCCTTCCAAATATCATAACAAGGCAACGTCGGTAATGATATATTGTTACCTACGACAAACATTACACCACTGTAAATAAAAACCGCTGCAAACTTAACACCGCCGAATAATACCACAGCAAATATGATAACGTGGCAAATATAACGCTACTGCAAATACAACAGGTGCATGACGCAACTTAATAATTTAATAGTTAAACAAAAAATACACCAAGAGGAGACCGCAAGGTCAAAGGTCAACAAAGATTGCACAAACGACACTCAAGTGAATAACGTATTTTGATACCAAGGATTTTACTAAAGACACACGAGTGAATAACACATTTTAATACAAAGTTTGTAGTAAAACACACGCAAGTAAACAAAGCCTTGTGATTAAAAATTGTGAACGGTACCTTTTAACCAGAGTTAGACACAGTTTTTTTTCCCAAACGGTGAACTAAACTGCATCACAAGTTTATCTGAATACAGAAAATCTCGAAATCGATCAATACAAGGGCATGCTACTTGTATGAACAAACGACCAGGTGTTCAGGAATAATGAGCTTCTTCTATTTCATTGAAAATACACACAATGTCAATTTTGACTAACCCAAGTAATGTCGCATTCTCAACTGAAAACATGTTATACAACAACGAAACCACATGGAGTTCTAGCGGGCAACAAACACGTCCAACCTCTCTCACTGAGATCACGATGACAACCGTAACACTTTTCCATAGTCTTCACTATCACTAACCTGTATCGAAACCTCTTGTTGTAAATACATCCGTCAGTTGCCAATATCTATGACTGCAATTTAATTATTGGGGAAAGGTCCCCGTATACCGAACCAGCTGGGACATGTAAACACCGCAGACTAGGGAAGTGGATTTCACACACTAATGTAAGAAAAAGAGTAGAAGATACAAATGCTCTGAACATGTGCTTGATGCTATCGATAACCTAAAAGCCGTTATATTTAGCTCAACAAAAAGAAACAACATCCTGAACTTTTTTTGAAAGACACATATTTCTAATAAGGTTGACTGAACTTGGTAACTGTCAGGGGCGTAGCTAGCCCAGTAGAAATGTGTAAGCCTAGGCGAGGGGTCTTGAGAAAATGAATTTCATGATATCAAAGATGTTTCGAATCGTTTCCGAGACAGTTTTTTTTATTTATTTAACAACAAACTTCAACTCCTGACTAAATTAAAGCAAACTTTCTGTTCTTTTGATTCGCGAAAATGTCCCTGACAATTTCTGTATCTTGGTTATATGTACCTTCGGTCTTTGGTGTGTCACTTTTAGTGTGGTCACTCGATTCGACTTTATTTTGTTTTAAAAATTTGTCGATCGACGTCTGTAATCCAGAAGTCTTCATTTTGAAAATTTGCACTTTAACAACATTATAATAGGAAACGTTGAAATGAGAGTAAGAAGTAGAATAGTATGACGTGTATAAAGTTCCGGAAAGCAATGCACTAGGCCTAGTTATTCAACAATTTTCTATTTATATTTATTAATTTATCAAAAATATGAGATATTTACTTTCAACCTTAGTTTTGTAATTTTGTCCGAAATACTCTATGTAAGGATTTTTTTATGTGTAAGCGCGGTTTATTTTTTTCTTTCTATGGAAGCTACGCCCCTGACTGTTTAAACTGACACCTATAACTACTGATTGACTCTTGTTCACAAACCATGTGGTATCAGCGAACGAAGCGTTTTTTTTCTGTGGGTTAGTTGATGGTTCTTACCTTGCATTGTCCTTAGCTAAGCCGCGACATGGCGTGTAAACATATCCCAGGACACGCCCGTAAGCTGCATTCTGCTATCACACAAACACAGATTTGGATCCCAAGGTTGATGACCATTGCTCCAAAGCATGTCAGGAAGCGTCGACTTGTGCGCTGATCAAAAAAGACATTTTGTTCTTTGAGACTTCGCAATGAAGCTTCGAGAAGACTTAAGAGTAGTGACTACTCTAGAAATGTATATATACCTGGTATCATCAAGAGCGTGACAATAAAGGTAGATAATCAGGTATTACCCAAACCAACGCAATCCTATTACAGCGTAGGTTTACGTTTGTATCATTGATGTTAGAGCTGGCTGTAAATGTTCTAACCAATTCGACACGTGCGGATTCTCGCCACATATATAAAACATATTGTATCCGCATGTCATCAGGATAAACACATACATGCAATCGTAAAAAATACAATCATTTGTCTTCCAGCTCTAGATGCGACAACACGATGTCATGAACATCGCCTTGTTCTTCCTCGGTTGTAATGTTGAATTAATTGTTTGCTTTTAGAGCAAATCTAAACGAGACAATGATGGGGAATTCTAAAGGAAAGGCTAGCAAAACTAACGCCGGCTCTGCCGCGGCTGCGGAGCTTCCGGTGTCCAATACCGCTGCTAAGAAAGTAGATCCAAGGCTACCTTTTAGTACCTACAGGCAGCAGTTCAACACTGTCAACTCGTGGAAACCACTTATGAGGACGCTCGAAAAAAGTGCCAAAGAGAATCTCATCAGGTATGAAGTTATGCAGGTTGTTTAATATCAAATCGACAAATATTTCGTTTAGTGTCAATTCCAGGCTTCTCGTTTATATAGTTCAATCCCGATCATATAGTCTATTTTCCCTTAAACAAAAATCAATTAACGATTTCAAATTAAAACAATCTCTTTTTATTCACTTGACAAAGGGTATTTTTTCAGATTTATTAATAAATACCCGCAATATAAAGAGTGCTTCCCGAATGCCAAGAATATGGAGCAAGAAGAGTCGATGAGAGCCAGCATTGAGTTTGGGATCGATGCAATGGGAGCCTTTCAGGTGTTTGATGACGTATTAGGTAACCTTGAGGAAGTCGACGTAGCCATTAAGAAGATAAGAAGGACCGCCAAGATTGGTCTTATGACCCTGGACATGATAAAGGCTAGTATACGTCCAGAGAAATTCCAGGGTTTTTTTTTATTTAAATATTCAGGGAGGTCTTACCTGCGAGATATTCGTTAGTCATAGGTAATTATTGGCAATTCAAGAAGAACCTATTATTTGGCGTATTTGACAGTAATTTGAAGACAATGTTTATATTGTATTTACTCAGATTATATCAGATATCTCCTACATTAACAATGCTTCGAAAAGACGCAAATGATCAGTCTTCATGTAGCAATGAATTAAACATGTTTGGCATTATGTCGTATTAATACGCCTGCTTATGCTTGGAACGATATGGAATACTAAAATAAGATGCATAATGGAAGCTGCCACTAACACAATGAAACATTGCCATAGGGGACAATTCCCCTCCCGTTTGTGGTTTTGTCACAGCTCCCTTCCAAAAGTTGTCACTGTGTAAACTAAACTCTCTTAGATCGCCGTTATGGTTGGCAGTATATTCACTAACCGGCGGTTTCTCTTTCAGGACATGAAGGTCACATTCTTGGAGACGGTCGGTGATACGCTGGGCGACAGGTGGACAGATGCCACGAAAGAAAACTTTACTCTCCTGTATGACTTTGTGATTGAAGAGTATGAAAAAGCTTTATGAACTCCACATTGACATCACCCAAAGTGGAAATTGTGTAACAATCAGACACATATGGACAGCTGTCAAGTGCAACATGATATTGTTGGAGCTATAAGGAACAGGTTATTGCTGTTGGGATAAGTTGGAAGAAATGCTGGAGTACATTATCGGAAATGATAAACAGAAAGAACAAGAGAATCTTTAGAACCGATGGATGATCCCCAAATAAACGCTTGAAGTTTCGTGTTGATATATCTTATAGTTTTTGTATTATGCTCCGGAACATAACAAAGGGCAATAACTCCTAAAAATGCAAAAGGGAGTTATGGTTCTTGTACACTGCACTTCTCCCTACCGAGATATACCTATGAAGTTTCATGTTAATACCGCTTGTAGTTTTTGTGATATGCTCTGGACAAAATTATGACGGACGGACAAAGCGGCGACTAAATGCTCTCCCTTCGGCGAGCATAAAAACACAAGATGAATTCTATTCATTTGTTGCCATGTTTAATCGTCAGGAAACTGGATATGAAAGCCATAATGTCATTGAAGTAGGTGACGACTAACAAGAATGCAAGCGTCTACCATTTAGTAAGGATAAAGCATCATGTGAATATTACTACCGGCACAACAATGTATGGTGTGAATTAACATTGGTAGACAAGAAACAAGATGGATTCCCACGCAATATCATTAGATAGAAGTTATCGTTTATTTTGAAACCCAGGACGTATCAGCAGTAAACCTCGAGTATATCGGACAACAAGTATGTTCCATCACGAAATAGAGGGGCTTCTACACTCTTGCTGTTGATGATTTGAATGTCAGCTTGTCGCCTAAATATGTTTACAGTATTATCACTCTTCAGTTAGTCACAGCACTTCTCTTTCCCTCTCCATATCTAACTGGATGCTGGCCAGGGCTGCTTAACTGTTCTGGTTCCACTACTTCCAGTAATTTTTTATGCAATTTATCGCATGAAGAATTCCTTTGTCCAAATTTATTATCAAGCGCAATACTCCTTCAATCTGTTGCTGACAAAGTCTACAATCAGTTGCTTGTGCTTCATGCACTTTCTTTCGTGCGTTTCCTCTATCATGGCCTCTCGTGCCATGACGTCACCAGTTCTTACATCAAAATAAACACTTAGAATTTGTAAACCACGGAACAATATCAAGACGGGGTGGTTTATAATCCATCTAAGCTAGGAAGCTGACTGTCCTCATATTTGAGTCAACATTTGTTGTAGTGTATTGCCAGCCCTCCAACTTATCCTACTCTTTAGCTCATACAATTGATCAGGTAAGGAAAAACAACACACAGACATGTTGTCTTTCAATGCAAAGTGAACATGTCAGAGTACTTGGTGACACGTCACACCGTTTATACAACAGGCATCCTAGACTGTAAATTTCCTTTCTCTTACACTTCCACTTACAATATAATTGATTGTCCAGTTTTTCCTTTTTTAAATAACAAACTCATATACGTGCCTTGTCTCCTTTTTCATCACACTGGTCGCTTTATGATTGAGTTTGTTAAGTTTTTTTTTTCTAGCTCTTGATTTGTCGCTGCAATTCTGAAAATTCTGAATGTGGCTAGTTACCGTAGTTTCGGTAATATGAGCACCCAACGTTCGTTTCTGCGTGTCCCTCGTTCTTTTAATGTTAAGTTTACTCTTCTTTAGTTGATTTTTAAACCCGTTTCTACCGATATCAACAGTGCCTTCACCCTGTCAGGGTAGGTCTTGTCATAATGATTAAACGAAGACATTTGGTTTCTTATTTAGAATATTGTCAATACGCGTCAGCGTTCTTTACTGGACTATAACTTATAGTTCGTTTTTACTTTGCGTATTCTCTCTCCACCTTGTCTAATTTCTGTATATATAATAAGTAATGTATAGACCGTGAATTTCAAACTATTAACATCTTTTCCACCAATAATATTTCACAATTGAGTAATGTGTATGAATGTTGCTAATAAAACACATAATAAACACGTTCATTTGTACTGTCTTTTTTTATAATATACTTATGTAGACTGGTACACTCGGTGTGAAATCATTAGTATAATAGTAGTAAGCTGTTTGATTGATATTACATATATTTGTAATTGAAGAGACTCAAAACGGAAAACTTTTGAGTGAAAATGTGAAAAACCAAACTGATTTACTGAATAAGGAAAATCAGACAATAAGATGTTGTTTTAGAGAGGGGGTTATACCATCGTATCATTGTGGTGGTGATGGTGGTGGTAATGGTGGTGGTGGTGGTGGTGGTGATTATGTAAATTCATGGATATTGACATTTCAGTCGCTGCCATTAAATGTAACGTGCACTGGCTACAACGGAACTGTCATCCATGAAAGTCCTGACAGGTCCATACTTCTTTCAATGATTCTTTTTTAGTCGAAATAAGATTCCGTGATTTACAAGTGAATCTTTCTGGGTTTACACATCCGTGATTAGGAAAAAATGCAGGACAAAAGAAAAAAAAACCAAGTAAATCAATTTAATCAAATTAACGAAAATCAAATGAAGTTTATGTGGGTAAAAATAGACAACGAACGAAGAATTATTTGAATTAGAAGAGTCCATTTAATTGGAATACCCGAAGTTTTCAATCACAACAAGGGAGGTAACCGTCGTGCATATTCCCAAACCGAATGCGCCGTGCAGGGAGTAATAATTGTATGTGGTTGCAGATAAACAAAGAATGTTTTTAAACAATGTACTTTTGATATGGTTTTGTAATAAGTGCTGGTATAAATTATAATATTCTTAAATATTAAGTAAAAATATAAACCAACAAGAAATGTATTGAGAATTGAATAATCTTAATAAGAGGAAGTTAATTAATTTGTGTGCGCTCCCTAGATAAGTTCACTGGTAAAAACGCCCCTTATGCTGTCTGCTAAGGATTTATGGCTATTGTATGGTTTGTCCACGAAGGTTGTGTTTTATATCAATTGTCCAACAGGTATCACTGATGTGTTTCAATGAAATGATATATTTACACGGAGTTTGTCAGTAACAACTTAATTATCATCAGGAAATTGATCGAATATCATGTTGGGCGACTTCATTTTGACAGTGTGAAGAGTTCTGCAGCAGACTCGGTGTTGGTCATTTATGGTAGATATCTTTGTACACTGATCAGATTTGTTTTAAAAGTTCAATATGTCAATGTTTTGTGGATAACAAGCAATGGCTACACCAGATCCAGTTATCCCAACCATAACTGTAGAACCAGCATTGGGGAGCGATCTGAGTAAAAACTTAAATAATGAAGACGACGGTCCAGATCAGGTGGTTATTCAGACAGACAACGGTCAACCAAGTGGGGATAAACTCGATATCGGCTCTGATCGTAATGAAGGAGCCAATGGTACAAAACTACGACTTAGAGGAAGAAAAAGTTTGTTTGGAAGCTCTGAGAAAATTCAAATAAAAGAACAGGTGCTGTATGGAAAAACATGTTCCTTATTAAATTGATAATCCATAAAAACACGATACATTGTTTAAGTTTATTCATGGAGTCTGATAAACATTATCTGGATTAACATTTTATTTCTGATAAATAATCACATGGACATCTTATCATAATGGCCTGCCTGATCAAAGCATTTGGATACATATATGCACAGGTGTAATATTTCAATAAGCGTGCAAAATCATTTATATTAGATTATCTTACAATTAATTACCAGTTGAAATGATTTTGATTTATGGAAAAATTACATGAAAACTAAATTGCTCTATCTTTTCTCAGGATTTAGTTTTGGCTGTCACATTGGTGACAGATGCCACCCAAGGCAGGAACTTTACTTTCAAAACAGAGCCTCAATATGTTCGGTATGTAACACAATTCTCTGTTAAAGGGACACTATAGTGAAGTTTAGTCTTAAGGTTGTTGATGTTATGACCTCGATGTTGACATGACTACTCTGCACCTTTTTATTGAATCTTTAATGGAACTCAAAAAAGGTGTATTGTTTCACCTGCGTGTCTGTCATTGCCATGGCTGCCATTAATGATTGTGGCTTTGAATTGTTTGAGCATCCACCTTATTTGCCTGATCTTGCTCCATCAGACTTTAATCAATTTCCAAAATTGAAAAAGATCATTTCCAGTACCCACTTTCTGTCAAATGATCATGTTATACATGCAGTGGAGGACTCTCTGAACGGTCAAGAAAAGGATTTCTTAAAAAAGTGGCATTGAGGCCCTTAAACATCGCTAGCAAAAGTGTATAGATGCTGAAGGGGATCATGTTGAAAAATAATGCAATATGTCCACCATTATTCAAACCCTTAAAGATGAGGCTCCAAGCTTATCAGTTGGTATATTTATTTTATACCGAAACCATTAAGTCTGTTATGTTCTGCATAACATGTACATTCTGGTTCTCCTGAAATATATACTTATACCACACAAACTTCTGTACCAGGTCGTACAATCTGTACCACAAGTTTTACCTAAGATGGCTGCTCTACCTGTTTATTCTGCTGGATCTGTCATTGGCATTGGTGGAGAAACCTGCACGGCCAGGATGGGAAATTCCTTACTGGGTAACAAATTTTATCACACTCATTATCTTTGTGTTTATACTGAAACATTTAGATGAATTAGTAAGCTTGGAAGTAATATTCTTTAATTAGAGCTGATTATGAGAGAGAAAAATGAGCTATAAACAGTAAGAGTGAGAGCAATGAGTTTGTTTTACAGGGTCCTGAACCCAGATCAATTATTGACAAACATAAGCAGACAGTTTAGTCAGCAGTCCTACCTAATAGTCCACTTATAATACATATGTTGTTTGTTTGATTTTTCTGGCCAGGCATCCATTACCATGGAGATTGTGTGTCTCATCTACTTCCTGTTTCGGTTCTGCCATGCAGTATACTTCACCAAGCCAGAAATCTTCTGGAGGGACACCAAAAACATACTCATCATAGTTAGCATTATAGTAGGTATAAGGTTACAGGTCAAATTCTCTTATAGGTCAGAGGTTAAACTCAAGTTCACAAGTCAACTGTCATTTGGGAATCTCTTCAGAAACAAAACGGGAATAATTCTCTTTCATTATTATAACTGTGATTGAATTTTTAACTAAAAGTCAGGATGGGTGAAAGATAGTATTAAATGAAACATAGCTGCATAAATTGAAAGTGACAAACCATTTCAGAATAAGATAAGTTGTGAAAATGTAATGTTCGAGTTATTGCTTATAGTCCTTACATAGTCATTTTATAAACATTGTATATTACATTCTTACAAAATCTGTTTGTTTCAGTTAACGTTAATCGATATCATAGGTTACATTATATGGGTGAACGTTGCTCCAAACGCTTACCCTGTCAGATGGTCCCGCCCACTTCGCCCACTGTTCATCATCAACTTCTCTGATGGGAAACAGGTAACATATTCTGTACAAGCTAGGATATTGTAATTTACATGCAATCAAAGTATTTCTGCAGACCAGTACTTGTCTGAAATGTAGAGTCTGTGAGACAGTATTGTATCTGAACATTTCTGTCTGATATGTAGTGTGTGACACAGTATTGTATCTTAACATTTTTCTTTTATTACTTTCTATTCATCTGTTACACATATTTTATTCCTTTTCTATCTCATTTTCTTTTGTTTGTAAAGTTTTGTTTTTCTGTAAAGGAATAACTCTTCAAATTTTTATGAGGTCATAACAACATTTCCAAACATTTTCCATCAATTACATAAAGGAACAAGAATGTAGTAGGCACAGTAATCCAGTTAATGGTATATTCTTTGAGTGAAGCAGAGCCTGTCACTTTGAAATCACTCCACAAAAATTGACAGCTATTAAAAACAAAATTTGCGGAAAAATCAAACATAATAGATGTCGCAAAAGCTTATAGGAGATGTCCTGTTGTTAGTAATGTGTTTAGAGACATAAAATTTGACTTAATAGAAACAATCACATAATTTGACACCTACTGTTGCTTGCCACAGCAGCCATTGAGTTTAGAGGTATTCTTTTTTTCTTAGTCTACCGTCATCATCCTGAAACAATTCTTGTTATTTCTATTTCTTGAGAAGAATCATTCTCTAATTCCATATGTAGGTTTGCCTTGGTCCCCAGTAATGCATATTCCATTTTCGGACTGATTTGAAAAACAAAAATGGCAATTGGTGGCCATCTTGGGTTTTGACAGTCATAGTGTGCAATAAGTTTTTTCTGGAAAAGTATTGGAAGAATTATTCTCAAATTGCAATGTATATTGCTTTAGTCTGTAGTTATGCATATGATATTTTGGAAAACAAAATGGCTGACAGGCGAACATTTTGGATTTTGAAAATAGAAGATTGTTATTGCAGTTTCTTGAGAAGGACTGGATGGATCTTTCTCTAATGTCATATAAGGGTATGCCTTGGTGCCTTGTTGTGCATAGTCCATTTTAGGATTGAACAGAAAAACAAAAACCCGACAGGTTGCCATTTTGTTTTTTGACAATCATATGTTTTTTATCACTATTTCTGGAGAAGCATTGGATTAATCTTTCTCAATGTTTCATAATAGTTCCTCTTGGTCCTCAGTTGTGTCCTTTTGTTTTTTGGACTGATCAGAAGGAACTACTGGGTGGAGCTTTCTCAGATTTCATATGTAGATACCCCTTTGTCCCTAGATGTGCTCTTTTGAATTTTTGGCTGATCTGAAAAATAAAATGGCGCAAAGTGGTTATTTTGGATTTTTTACTTTGAAAGTTTATATTGCTTCGTTTTGAGAAGCACTGGATGGAGTGTTCTCAAATTTGGTGTGTAGATTCTCCATAGTTCCTTGTTGTACATTTTGATTTTTCTGGCAGCTGAAAATTATCATTGCTATTTCTACAGAGGATTTTTCAATTTTCATACCATAAAAAGCAAAAAAAAAAGAGGAAAGAAGAGAAAAGAAGACCCAACTTTCAAAGAATAAATAACTACGAAATGATGATGAGATCTCTTTTTGTATTTTGTTTTCCAAGAACAATCTGATATATGATTATAAAACCATGAAAATTGTAAATATAGCTTCATTATTAAGCGATTGATTCATTTTGTCCATCTGTGTGTGTTATTTGAATGGGTTCAGATGACAGAGAACTTCATTATCGTATTGGAATGCTAATTGTTTTCTTAGTGTTGCAAGCATAGAGATAAATTGATCGGCATGCTTGATATATGCCCTCACCGACCATCCTGCCCATTGACAGGCTAGGAGGGCATGTTGCATGGTTTGAATATTACCAGATATCACTGGTTTTAACAAATAATACTATTTATTAGGGTGGTCGGGTGGTCGGGTGGCGCAGTGTTAACGCACTCGCCTTTCACCTAGCCGACCGGGGTTCGATTCCCGGAACGGACGTGAAAAGGTAAGGGGTCACCTGTCCGACCGCGTGGGTTTTCCCCGGGTACTCCGGTTTCCTCCCACAAAAAGGCCCCTCGCGCTCTTACATCCGGGCCAACAAGAGTGATTAGTATAAGTTTAAATAACTTGTTTCGCAATTGTTGTAAAACAAATAAAGTTTATATATAAATAATACTATGGCAGTAAATTTGGGAAAGCTACCCAGCTCTTCAATAGATATACAGACAGTGTCTGATAAAGGTTAACACTTCAATCACCAACACAAATTTTATTTTTTATTGGTTTATGTTTAGTTATAGATGCATTATACGAGCTTCTGATTTTTTATCCTGACATTTACGACCTCAGATAGATTTTATAAAGAATCTTTGAGGGTTCAATTGAAGTATTTGCTGGTCACGTCTAGCATATACTTGTTTCTGCAGTACAGTCAACTTCACTCAGTGACTTGAGCAGGCCCTTTGTGTTTACACTGCCAGCTAGAAATAAACATGTTCTGATTGTTGCTGTCTCTTTTCACCTTATTGTTTTCAGTTCTATTTTGTCTGAATTTTATTTCATTTTGATATGTTTGAACATACAAATATGGTGTTGGCATGTTGGATATTTTGAACTTCTGTAGGGTTATATTTCAATATTTCTGTACATTTGGAAATAAGAAAAAAATATGTTTTAACATTAAACTGTCAAAATTTGCAAAAAAAAAAAAAATAGAAACACAAATTGATGCATGGTTTCAATCAGTGTGTTCTAACATGTGTATGTAAAACCTGTCTGACCAAATAAAAAAAAAAGACAACAAAAAAACAACAAAATTAATCAAGTTTTTAGGATATATTAAAGTGAACTTTTCATTCAAACACTTAATACTCTGCTGGTCCACATGATTACCTGACAAATTTCCAATTTACCTGAGAAGACAGGTTTTCGTTTTCTTTTTTGTTGTTACCTGTATAACATTCTAACCTTTTCATTTTGCTTGTCTAACCTATCTAATGTCTCCTCCAGGTACGCAGAGCTTTCCGGAACATCCGACGGACTGTTCCGGAGATAATGAATGTTCTTATTTTGTTCCTTTTGAGTGTGCTCCTCTTTGGTTTACTTGCACTCAAGCTTTTTAGCAAAAGGTAACCTTCTTTTCTTTAGGAAATGACAATTTTGTCTTTAGTTTGATGCTGGTAAGAGTACATTAGTATGATAGAAATTGTATTGTTAGGCATGTGCTTGGGGACTAGGTTGTGTATATATTATACAGTTGGTTAGTTAGGAATGTGTTTGGGGACTAGGTTGTGTATATATTGTACAGTTGGTTAAGGGATGGTAGGTTGTGTAGAGAAAATCAATAACTGCTGGCTTATATATACATCAATCAAATAAAAGCATGGTTCAAGTGAAGAAACATAGAACTTTTAAAACAATCAATATTTCTGTTTTTGGTTAGCTGAAGCTTGCTTCAATATGAATATGTGCTTCTAAATTTCAAAACTCACTATTTCGGTACACTTGCACTTTTTTTCTATTTTGTTTGTTTTTTTGTTTTTGTGCATGTTGAACTTGAGCACTAATACCTGGTATATATAATACATGTGTATGTAACTAATTCATCTCTAGTATCCAAGGTTCTGTTCTTCATGTCTTTTCTGTAAGCTTGGAATAAGTGTCAAATTGTGTGACAACTGTTATGAAAAAATGTACCTGTGATCTCTTTGACTAAAGATAAATGGAACCACACAGTATAAAGATCTAATTAACTTTAAGTTTGGGTGTTATGTCTTCTGATTGTTTTTTCTTCAAATAATGCATTTGTATCAGGCAAACAATGGGTCATTTTTTGTCTGAAAACAATGAAATGACTAACTAGAAAGCTTTAACATTGACACGGCTTATTCCACAGGTACAGAAAAGATGATGTGAAAATGGTGACCTTGAATTTGGCAGAGGAACATTAATGTTCTTACACATTTGAAATAATATCAGTGATTGGTATATATATAATAGATAATTGACTGTGGTTTATAAAACAACAGTAGTTAACCAGATAACCATTACAAGTATGTTGTATTCCTTTTTATATCATTTGTTAATTTCTTTGATATGAATCCCTAACAAAACCAGTAACATGAAATTTAAAGTGGAATGTCTTCATTTTCTAAGTATATAAAAGATCGTTTTTCAAATCAATGATTGTCGGGGGTCAGTGAAAAACGAGTTAGAAATGTAATGCATCATTTATCCTTTATAGTATGAAACAAAAGAATATTATCCCTCTTACATACATAGCACCCAAATTTGTCCGTGCTTTAGCAGCTTCACATCCCAAAGGGTATTTTGATCACACATCACACACAAAGGCCCGTAATATATCAGATTATTTGGTGTTTCAGGATTGTAGGATCAAGGTCAAGGTCAGAGTCTATTTTTAGAAAATCTTGTAAGCACCCAAGTTGCTTCTTGCCTTCATAAAGTTTGTTTAAACTTCACACACTTATACAGGGCTATAGTATCATTGACAAGTCCAAGAATCAGGTTTTCATGGCCAAGGTCACTGTCACTATTTATAGAAAATCCTTGTCAATACTCTTGTAGCTTTCTAAAGGGACTTTCAACTGACCTCACATTAAAAGGCACCGTAATGTTTAGGACGAAGTTTAAGGAATTTAGGGTGAAGGTCACAATCACTGTTACTATTTTTAGAAAATGCTTGTCAGGGCTCTAGATACTTCATTCCTTGAAGGATTTGGATCAATTCACACACTTGGTCATCACTAAATCCACATCAGTCAAAGTTGAACCATGAGGATATTTGTACTGTTAGTATTGCCTTGTTTGATACTAAACGTCTGAACATTAACAGTATGAGGCTTGGAAGATGATTGGTTTTGTATACCATTTAAACTATATGTACACCATGTGACACACCCACCAGAGATCATTATTTTTGTGGCACAGATGATAAACGTATGATATCTAGTGTATATATCTTCACTACAGACAAGGTATGAAGTATCCCTATGGTCAGCAGTACTTTAAGAATTACCTAGACAGTATCTGGGATCTCTATGTGTTGGTCACTACAGCTAACAACCCAGATGTCATGTAAGTATTCAATATACGTAAGATTACCTGAGTGAAACCATAATCATACAGATAAAAATTATTTAAGATGTTCTACATGTTTCACATCTGATGAAAACACTTTTCAGCATACAAGCAATGATTAAAAGACCTGCACCTGATTTTTACATTGAATACTCTGTAATCAGCTAAGATACAGAAGTTATTCTGTGATATGATGCTGTATAAATAAGTGTCACTTTGTTTGTTCAGGATGCCAGCCTATGATGAGAACAAGTGGTTTGCATTGTTCTTTATTGGATATATCATCATCTGTCTATACATCTTCATGAGTATTGTGCTGGCTGCCATCTACAACAATTACCGCAAAAACCTCAAGGTATCAAATACATATTGCCAAAACCCTCGGGCATGTTCTCCAATAAAACTTGTGGCTTATGAGTGGTTCTAATGAAAACTCTCAGGTGTATTCACAAATGGATTTCAACACATATAGACTGTCCACACACGAATTTCAATGTTGCAGGGTGGTTTTGGTTTTAAATTGCTTAACATTCTACAGGTATCAACAGCTATGATCATTCAAGCACAGCCTCTCAATGCTTCGGGGGTGAGTGCTTGTGGTAAGTGTTTGACTTGTTAGGAATCTGCACTATGTTCTTTGTGATAGTGTGGAACTGAAGTCGACTTTATAGTGCTACTGCACTGAAATATACTGCTGAAGGTTACCAGCTGGACATCCCAACCAGTCCGATTATACTGACAACTGTTGAGCTTGTTGTTACACTATCACATGGAGCTGAGCTTTAAACAGGGAAATGTAACAATCAATTTTTAAACACTCTGGTGTATCTTGACTAGGGGACAGAACCCAAAGCCTTCCTCACAAAGGCAAATGCTCAACTGAAGGTCATAAGTAATGTCAAGGGAGACAGGAAAAAAGGGGAAACGGTCAGATATGAAATTCAGTCACCTCACATAAATTATGGAATGGAGACAGCATGTTCAATTCTTATTACACCCTACCTACAGTGCCAAAATATAGAGTCTGTATTGTATTGTAGAATGAGATCAAAAGTGCCGTGTACAGTAAGAGACAGAAGCTGGCCCAGGCATTTGAGATCCTCAAATTGAAGCGGGGTGCTGGCAATGTCATCAACCACAATACTTGGTGTCAGCTGATGAGACGTGTCATCCCCAATAAAAGTCAGCTCCATATTGACCTTCTGATGAGGGTGTTGGATGTTGATGCCAACAATACCATATGTAAGTAAACAGCCCAGCGTTCCTTTTTATCATGTAGTCTTATCTAATGGGAGTACATGTACAATCCTCTCCCTCTTCCTATATTATATGTATAAAGTAAGGTAGATCAGTTCTAGGAAAGTTGCCAGATAATGTGATAAACACTTTTCTCAATAGATGGACAATCTGTTAACTAAAACACTGGAGAGATAGTTAGACACTACCTTCCCTAAAACACTGGTGTGGGTTACCTAAATACAGGCAGGATGTTGGGAGATTCATATCAGTGATAGTTTTACTAACAGTGCTTTGTAGATCAGGTAAATCAGGTGAATGTTGATGTGTTTACATTAATGTACTCCACTTTTAATGTTAAATCTAAAAAGAATAGAAAATCATTTGGTGAAAACCAGCAAAATGATGGAAACAAATAAAGAAAAACTCGCAATTGGTTTGATCATAGTTTAGTTCTATGGTTCAAGTATGAGGTGAATTTAAATAGATTAAGAATAGTTATGTAGAAAGTATGAAGGGTTGTTTAGAGTGTATAATTAGGATATCATTTCCAACTCTACTGTACATATACATGGGACTAGTGGTTTTTTAATGTCTCTTCTTATATCCAGCGAAGGCAGAATTCCTCAGCTTAGCAGATTTGTTGGAGCTACGACTTTCAGAGGTGCATGACCGCCTCACGTTCCTGGAACTTAAGATTCCGTATATATACAACTCCAGGATCAGCAACTTTATCAAGAAAGTTGTTAGACACAAGTGAGTAAGGTCGGCCATAGCCACCTTTACCTTCACACAGAAATGTCAATTATAACACAGGTCCTATGAGCTCCCTTCTCATTTGTGCTTTCATAGACAGGCATTCATCAAAATTCCAGCATCAATGTATTACACCACTTAGTAATGAATACAGGTCCGATGAATTCTCTTCACTTTGGTGCTTTTATAGATAGGAGACAGTCATTTAATAAGTGACTTTTCTTGCGTTTTTGTTGCTTGTAAAACAACTTTGTTTTATTGTATATATTTTTTTCTATTTACAGATTTTTTCGCTTCTTCTTTGACTTTCTGATTTTCCTGAATGCCTGGTTTATTGGGTTTGATGTGGATAGTGCTGACTGGTTCTTCCTCTCGGTCTTTTTGTTGGAGATCAGCTTTAAACTCTATGTCTTTGGGCCTCGTGAGTTCTTCATAAGATTTTGGAACATGTAAGAATCTCTTTATTTAAACAGTAATTATCAAAGTGCTGAGATTGTACTTGCTTACAGCGTGTTTACATATGATATTGAAATCTGATAAATAAACACAATAGCAGTCTTTAAACAACATATTTTTGGCTATTGTATTGTGATGAAAATGTCCAGAATTTAAGTTTAGTTTAAGTATTAATCACAAGCTTTGTCCTGTGTTTAAGATGTATATCTAAACTACGAGTTTTGTCGTGTGTTTGTGATGTATATCTAAACTACGAGTTTTGTCGTGTGTTTGTGATGTATATCTAAACTACGAGTTTTGTCGTGTGCTTGTGATGTATATCTAAACTACGAGTTTTGTCGTGTGTTTGTGATGTATATCTAAACTACGAGTTTTGTCATGTGTTTGTGATGTATATCTAAACTACGAGTTTTGTCGCGTGTTTGTGATGTATATCTAAACTACGAGTTTTGTCGCGTGTTTGTGATGTATATCTAAACTACGAGTTTTGTCGCGTGTTTGTGATGTATATCTAAACTACGAGTTTTGTCGCGTGTTTGTGATGTATATCTAAACTACGAGTTTTGTCGTGTGTTTGTGATGTATATCTAAACTACGAGCTTTGTCGTGTGTTTGTGATGTATATCTAAACTACGAGTTTTGTCGTGTGTTTGTGATGTATATCTAAACTACGAGTTTTGCCCTGTGTTTGTTACAGATTTGATTTCCTTGTCATTGTATCAGCTGCTATAGCCACTGTAGTAGAAGCAGCAGGAGGAGCTTGTAAGTTATATTTCACCTACAAACCGTGATAGACTTTAACATTTATCTTACATGAAGTGTTTTAATCTCAATACTTAGCACCTGAAACATACAGACCACCAGGGTTGTGGGTCTGGGATAAATACAAACCACCAGAGTTGTGGGTCTGGGATACATACAGATCACCAGGGTTGTGGGTGTGAAATACATACAGATCACCAGGGTTGTGGGTCTGGGATAAATACAGATCACCAAGGTTGTGGGTGTGAAATACATACAGATCACAAGGGTTGTGGGTCTGGGATAAATACAGATCACCAGGGTTGTGGGTGTGAAATACATACAGATCACCAGGGTTGTGGGTCTGGGATAAATACAGATCACCAGGGTTGTGGGTCTGGGATACATACAGATCACCAGGGTTGTGGGTCTGGGATAGATACAGATCACCAGTGTTGTAGGTCTTGGATAGATACAGATCACCAGGGTTATGGGTCTTGGATAAATACAGATCACCAGGGTTGTGGGTGTGAAATACATACAGATCACCAGGGTTGTGGGTCTGTGGATACAGATCACCAAGGTTGTGGGTCTTGGATGATCACCAGGGTTGTAGGGTTGTGGGTCTGAAATACATACAGATCACCAGGGTTGTGGGTCTGGGATAAATACAGATCACCAGTGTTGTGGGTCTGGGATACATACAGATCACCAGGGTTGTGGGTCTGGGATACATACAGATCACCAGTGTTGTAGGTCTTGGATAAATACAGATCACCAGGGTTGTGGGTCTGGGATACATACAGATCACCAGGGTTGTGGGTCTGGGATAGATACAGATCACCAGTGTTGTAGGTCTTGGATAAATACAGATCACCAGGGTTGTGGGTCTTAGATAGATACCGATCACCAGGGTTGTGGGTCTGTGGATATAGACAGATCACCAAGGTTGTGGGTCTTGGATAGATACAGATCACCAGGGTTATGGGTCTTGGATAAATACAGATCACCAGGGTTGTGGGTGTGAAATACATACAGATCACCAGGGTTGTGGGTCTGGGATAAATACAGATCACCAGGGTTGTGGGTCTGGGATACATACAGATCACCAGGGTTGTGGGTCTGGTATAGATACAGATCACCAGTGTTGTAGGTCTTGGATAAATACAGATCACCAGGGTTGTGGGTCTTAGATAGATACCGATCATCAGGGTTGTGGGTCTGTGGATATAGACAGATCACCAAGGTTGTGGGTCTTGGATAGATACAGATCACCAGGGTTATGGGTCTTGGATAAATACAGATCACCAGGGTTGTGGGTGTGAAATACATACAGATCACCAGGGTTGTGGGTCTGGGATAGATACTGATCACCAGGGTTGTAGGTCTTGGATAAATACAGATCACCAGGGTTGTGGGTCTTAGATAGATACCGATCACCAGGGTTGTGGGTCTGTGGATATAGACAGATCACCAAGGTTGTGGGTCTTGGATAGATACAGATCACCAGGGTTATGGGTCTGTGGATATAGACAGATCACTAAGGTTGTGGGTCTGGGATAGATACAGATCACCAGGGTTGTAGGTCTTGGATAAATACAGATCACCAGGGTTGTGGGTCTTAGATAGATACCGATCACCAGGGTTGTGGGTCTGTGGATATAGACAGATCACCAAGGTTGTGGGTCTTGGATAGATACCGATCACCAGGGTTGTGGATCTGTGGATATAGACAGATCACCAAGGTTGTGGGTCTTGGATAGATACAGATCACCAGGGTTATGAGTCTTGGATAAATACAGATCACTAGGGTTTTTTGGGTCTGGAATACATATGAATTACCAGGATAGTGAGTCTGTGGGTATAGACAGATTACTAAGAGTTTTTTTTAGACATTATAGACTTGCAAAGTGCTTACTGAATGTCAAAATTACACATCTTCCCGTTGTTACATGTCATGTCAGTTCATTAAATACAGATGTATATATTTCTTTACAGGTGTTCATTAAGTGTAGTTTTTATATTAAAATACCTTCTAGCATTGCCTTACACTCTGAATTGATTCAATTTTCCACATCCCTATCTCAGCCCAGTTGGAAGTCAATCAGCATAGAATGTGTCAAATGGTTGCCTGGAATGTTTTTTATTGTATATTGTTACCAATAAGTGCATATGTAACACAATTGTGACTACATGTTTGACGCAATTGTTTATGTTTACAGTAGACATTCCTTTTACGAGTCAAATTTTTTAATGTAAAGAAAAATATCCTAGCAAAAATTCTGTCTATATGGTATCATGCATGTGGATAGGAGAAAGCAGTCTTTCTTATCTTAGCATTACTTTGCTGGGCTGTCTTCGTTATCCCAGCATTACTTTGCTGAGCAGTCTTCCTTATCTCAGCATTACTTTGCTGAGCTGTCTTACTTATCTCAGCATTACTTTGCTGAGCTGTCTTCCTTATCTCAGCATTACTTTGCTCTGTCTTCCTTATCTCAGCATTACTTTGCTGAGCTGTCTTCGTTATCTCAGCATTACTTTGCTGAGCAGTTTTCCTTATCTCAGCATTACTTTGCTGAGCTGTCTTCCTTATCTCAGCATTACTTTGCTGAGCAGTCTTCCTTATCTCAGTATTACTTTGCTGAGTAGTCTACCTTATCTAAGCATTACTTTGTTGGGCTGTCTTCCTTATCTCAGCGTTACTTTGCTGAGTAGTCTACCTTATTTAAGCATTACTTTGCTGGGCTGTCTTCCTTATCCCAGCGTTACTTTGCTGAGCAGTCTTCCTTATCTCAGCATTACTTTACTGAGCTGTCTTCGTTATCTCAGCATTACTTTACTGAGCAGTCTTCCTTATCTCAGCAATACTTTGCTGAGCAGTCTTCCTTATCTCAACATTACTTTGCTGAGCTGTCTTCGTTATCTCAGCATTACTTTGCTGAGTAATCTCCCTTATCTCAGTATTACTTTGGTGTATATGTTTTTCTTGCTCTACAGCCAGTGATGAGTTGCGGACACTGGATCCACTACTGGTTTTGAGGGTTGTACGACTCATTAAGATATTCGGCAGTATACAAAGGTTTGTAAATCACCCTTGATTGGTACTATCTGATATTTTGTAAAATACAAACTGTTTTTAATGAGTAGTATACAACACAATATCATTTCCTATTTAAGTGAAATATATTCAATATCAAATATCCGACTGAGATGGTAATTTTTGTTATAGGTCTTACAAGTTATTTAAACAGGATATGGTAGAGTTTAGAAATTGTTCAAGATAATAAACTGTAATGGATCTTACCACTTTAAATACAATACGATGTAGCTGATTTGAGAAACATTGGTAAGACCCAACTTTAAAGATTATCTACAGTAGAACCTTACATGTGAGACCACCTGTTGTATTTGTGGAGTAAACCTGTCTGTTGAGACCACCATCTTTTTTAATGAAGGGGTCTTTCTCTTTGGTTTTGTCTTCCAGAATTACAACTTTTGTGGTACATAACTTTATTACTAACAATTCTATCGCTTTGGTGCTAGCTTAAAGGATTTTAGAATTTCAGAGACTTATTCTATTCTAAGTGGATGATTCTGAAAATAGTAAAAAAAAAAAATACAAAAAACAAATTCTCCAAATGTTGCTGTAAAAAGGATTTAAATGATTACCCAACAAGTTACTTTATATTGCAGGTTCAAAGTTATATTGATGACGATTATAAATATTGGACCATCTATACTAACATACGGAGGAGTCATCTTTGTAAGTATACATTGGAGGACAACTGTAATCAGGTAAATAAGGTAGAGAGGTAAAATCCAGTGGTGTTATATAGCAGTACCAGGTAACATCAGATACACCAACGTTACTTATACTGGTGTGTGATCATGTTATCCACCAGTTTTCATTTTTGTTTACAAATATTGAAGACATAAAGAAGTCTTATCCATTTATACCCCCTGCAATGAGATGGGTTAGCTGGAAAAGCCTTGTCTCTCTGTCCATTAATCTGTTAACTGTATAAGTTACCCTCTAGCTGGAAAAGCCTTGTCTCTCTGTCCATTAATCTGTTCACTGTATAAGTTACCCTCTAGCTGGATTAGCCTTGTCTCTCTGTCCATTAATCTGTTCACTGTATAAGTTACCCTCTAGCTGGAAAAAAAGCCATTAATCTGTTCTCTCTAAGTCCATTAATCTGTCTCTCTGTCCATTAATCTGTTCACTGTATAAGTTACCCTCTAGCTGGATTAGCCTTGTCTCTCTGTCCATTAATCTGTTCACTGTATAAGTTACCCTCTAGCTGGAAAAGCCTTGTCTCTCTGTCCATTAATCTGTTCACTGTATAAGTTACCCTTTAACTGGAATAGCCTTGTCTCTCTGTCCATTAATCTGTTCACTGTATAAGTTACCCTCTAGCTGGAATAGCCTTGTCTCTCTGTCCATTAATCTGTTCACTGTATAAGTTACCCTCTAGCTGGATTAGCCTTGTCTCTCTGTCCATTAATCTATTCACTGTATAAGTTACCCTTTAACTGGAAAAGCCTTGTCTCTCTGTCCATTAATCTGTTCACTGTATAAGTTACCCTCTAGCTGTAACAGACTTGTCTCTTTGTCCATTAATCTGTTCACCCTCATGGACAACAGCTTTGTTTTGTATTTTTACACCTAACTTAAAAGTGTATGTTTACCTGTTTATCTCTCTACAGGTGTTTTACTGCACATTTTTACCAATATTTGTATCCTTTTTACCTGTATTTTACTGTACAAATGTTTTACTATATATTTGCTATTAAATTTTTCTCTATATCTCTCTACAGGTGTTTTACTATATTTTTGCCAGTAAATTTTTCTCTATATCTCTCTAAAGGTATCTTACCATATTTTTGCCAGTAAGTTTTTCCTCTTTGTCTCTCTACAGGTGTTTTACTATATTTTTGCCAGTAAATTTTTCTCTATATCTCTCTACAGGTACCTTACTATATTTTTGCCAGTAAATTTTTCTCTATATCTCTCTACAGGTATCTTACCATATTTTCGCCAGTAAGTTATTCCTCTTTGTCTCTCTACAGGTGTTTTACTATATTTTTGCCAGTAAATTTTTCTCTATATCTCTCTACAGGTGTTTTACTATATTTTTGCCAGTAAATTTTTCTCTATATCTCTCTAAAGGTATCTTACCATATTTTTGCCAGTAAGTTTTTCCTCTTTGTCTCTCTACAGGTGTTTTACTATATTTTTGCCAGTAAGTTTTTCTCAATATCTCTCTACAGGTGTTTTACTATATTTTTGCCATTATTGGTATGGAGGTGTTCCATGGCCTGATCCGTTTCTATCCGTACAATGCTGACAGGCAACCTAGTGAGCTGTTCTGTGGGAATGTACTTCTCAACAATACAGCCTTCTATAGAAACCACTACTGCAACAACAACTTCAACGACATCCTCAGGGCACTTGTTGTTCTGTTTGAGCTTACTGTCGTCAATCAGTGGCATGATATCCTTTTTATGCTTCCAAAATGTTTTGGGGAAGATATAGACACTACTTTGTTTGTCCATGTTTCCATCTGTCCCTTTGTGTGCTGAGCATAACTTTGCCCACAGTTAAGCAAGGATCATGAAACTTTGTTGAATACATTTGTCATACTAAGCAATATGTGATGTACAAAATTCAGGGCCTATGACCCCTGCATTACAGACTTAATCCCTTTGTTAAATTTTTATTCAGTATACAAAATTCAGGGCCTATGACCCCTCCATTACAGACTTAATCCCTTTGTTAAAATTGTTTGCAGTGTGCAAAATTCAGGGCCCATGACCCCACATTACAAACTTAATGCCCTTTGTTAAAATTGTTTGCAGTGTACAAAATTCAGGGCCCATGACCCCACATTACAGACTTAATGCCCTTCGTTAAAATTTTGTGCAGTGTACAAAATTCAGGGCCCATGACTCCTCCATTACAGACTTTTTGTGCAGTGTACCAAATTCAGAGCCTGTGACTCCTCCATTACAGACTTATTGCCCTTTATTAACATTTTTTGTCCAGAACACAACTTTAAATTGCTTACATTTAAATTAGGATAATGACACTTAGTGTATACATTGATCATACAAAGACAGAATTTAGTTTCCAGTTATGTTGTTTTTGGGGAGCACTTATCAGTTTCAATGATACTCCTGTTATTTACAGATTAACTAGTGAAAAAAAATGGATATATATTTAATATATGTTGTGTTTTATGACATGTTTTTATTTTGGAAATATATTATAGAAGTAGGAATTTTTAATTGCTTATTGTAAAATCATGTATAATCATGGGTCTCAATTTTCAAGGTGTTTCAAAAAAATACTGATTCATGGGTATTTTCATTGATAAGCACAATACTGGTGAAACTCACTTGCACTATTAATTCATCCTAGTCATTACTGTTTATCACTTCATGGGCAGATGAATTGGTGGATTATACCCACAAAATCAACAAAAGCTAAACCCCTCAAAATAAATTGTATTCCAGAATAAAGAGTGAATCATCTTCACAATACTTGATTGAACATGTGATAAGGTCACTGACCGTTCCAAGGTTGACATTTGATTCCTTGACCCTGTGTTACTGATCACTTCTGGGTTTGTGATAGTTACCAACAAGGCTGCCAGGATCTACTTTTTTGTATTCCATCTCTGTTGTGTTGTCATCGTCCTAAAGTAAGTCAGAATCCTTCTCACTATCTCACTATCCCAGTAATACGCCCAAAATAATGAATGTCACACTCTAATCTTCTACTGGTTGTGTTGTAAGAACTTTTATTCTATTGACATTAGCAGCCTAAAGAAAATGTTCTGAAAATGTTCTGAAATACAAAAAACAGTATTGTCATCAGATGGTTGATGCAACAGCATATTTTTCATCAGGTATTTAGATATAGATATCAATGACTTTATTTGTCCTGTAAATCATCGGTATATCATTTTGATTTTTATGCTTGCTAAATTTTTAATTTTATTCCAATTCAAATTTTACTTTCAGCATTTTCATAGCATTCATCCTTGAAGCATTTATACTAGAATACTCGCTACAGAAAGCTGGTAGAATGGAGACTTTTGTGGAGAAAAAGATCAAGGAACTGGGATTAGGTGTTGGACAGTGAGTTTGTACCATGTTATAATGTATACAGGATTCATACAGGTCCTTCAAAACTCCTGGAATTTTACTGAAGATTTGAAACTCCTTGAGAAACAGAAAAGTTGAAAAATATCTTGGAATAGTCCTTCAATTATTTGAAATTCTCCTTGATTTTGTTCAAAATTTGTTAAGAAATGAAGTTCGTTATCAAATGATTCACATACCAAATTATTATATTTTTCTAACTTGCGATATGTCAGCATAATTAAAGAGTTATATTGTTGTTCATGTGCTAGCATTAATGTCATTAAAGTTTTGTAAGTTTCATAAATAAGGTGCTGGAAAATAAACTATATCTCTTTTAATATTCCCTGAAATCTTCTGAAATTTGTTAAAGTAAAGTCTGTTTAAACCATGGTGTAGCACATTGATACCTGATACAAAGTAGTTTTCAATTTCATGAACAAAATTTCGAACTGAATACAGAAATAAACATAACTAATTACATGAATTTTGTTTATTAGTCAATATACACATGTATAATTTTTTACATGTGTAATATAGCCTACAAGTATTGTGATGTCAGATTTAGACGATGATATCACAGACAATGGAGACCATGTGTGGTAGAACTGTAATGACTACAAATTAGATATTAAAATGTATGTTTTCTGGAATATTAGCCTGAAATAATTGATGATTTGATAAAACAGATCTTGTTTCCATTTCGTATGTGATTGATGATACTGGCCATAGACATGGCAAAATTGAAAATGAAATTAGACCTGTTTCATAATTACATGTGTAATGGAAACTCATACATTGGCGAGGTCATATGTATGTATTACATTTTCTGTAGGGTACTGTACACTGTTCTGTACTAATGAATATGATATTATACAGAATAGCAGTCTGTGATTTGTTGGTATAACAGGCTGGTGAAGCCTCATGAGTCATTAAAGATGGACGACATGGAGCTTGTGTCACATGAAGAGGAACCAGACCGAACACATGTCCCTCCCACCTCCAGCCATGATGATCAGGATAATGACTCAGATGACTCTGATGTTGACAGCATTCCTGACTTGTCTGCCGAAGAGGGACTTCGTTTCCATCTAAAGAAAAAGAGTAAGTTTATGTACTAACAAAGTTATTTAATATATCACTTATTCACACCTTATAACACTGTAAAACAGTAAATTGTCATAAAAAGTAAATGCAGTTATCCCCCTTGACTATACTATATGTGATGTTCATTGACTCGCTTATCTGATGATCACCCCACTATGTATGTAAAACCAGATCTGGTACACATCTAACATGTTATACTTACAGGTAGGAAGAAAGTTGAGGTTCTACTACAGCAAATGTTTGAGGGAGAAATAGACCCTGAGGACCTGGGAAATGATTTAAATGAGGAGAGGCCACGAACCGTTACATTTGACTCTGTGACATGATCATTCTAAGGCCTCGTGACTTTTTACCTGATTGTCTTATTTTATTTTTATACTTGATTTAAGTTGTATACACAAACGCTTTTGAAAGTTATAGCAATGGTTAAGATGGGAGAAACTAGATGAATTTAAAACTTTTTAATTGGTCATACACAATGATATTCAGTAACATAAACAGTTTTTTTTTTATTTAGTTGTTATATGTCAATACTCATTGTTAAGATATAAATCATTTCAGATGTGAACAAATCAGCTTTAAACCGTGACATATTATTACATGTGCAATAGTATTAAACATTGTTTTTTGCATATTGTTGTTTTCTTCAAATTTTACTGGAACAGTAAATTGTATCAGCAATAAGTCAATTTTTCTGACTTACTTTTAATCTGCTATGATTAAGCATTATTTGACTCCTCACAAGGTAATTTATATATTAAAATCTATATTCAAATCATACATTGAATAAAAAGATGCATGTCTATAATTGGAAAACTGTGAACAAGTATAGAATTTGTGGTTCATATCTTCAACACCATTACCATCACACAAAAAAAAAACCATCAATTTTTCTTGTATATTTGTTAGAAACATCTTTGTGTGTGTAGGTTAAAAAATGTAATAGTTTGTTTTAGTTACAAACATTTTTTGTTGTTAAATCTAATCCAAAATCATATCTCTCACAGCACTTCATTTTCCTTTTTACACGGAGATCCATTGAAGCCTGTCAGAATCTATTTTTGACCAATCAGTGGGCTCCTTTCTCGCATGATTGCTTCAGGGATCAAAATGGTGCCAAATCTGTATTCATGTAATAGATGCAGTGATAAGAAAATTTCCTATTATTTTTTTAACGTCGAAAAGATTTAGAGACAGGCCAAATTTGCATAATTCAGTCATTTTCAATTACATGAATGTGACTTAATTATGAATATCTCTTTCTCTATCTTATATAAATATGTATGTCTTTATGTGTCTTTGTTACAAATGGATTTTGTGCCTTAATTACAAACAATGTGTTTTTGTTTCATCTTAGTAAATTGCTTACGAACGTTTTAATGACATTCTGAAATGACCGAGATATTTTGCAGATTATCTCCCTTACTTAACTTTTTCTCCCCAAATATCTTGAAATGCTGTTATTGAAACATCACAAGAAAGACTATGTTTGTCAAGTGTTTTATTTAAAGCAATGGAGGTCACCTGGTGACGAACAATTGCTAATTCTTATCTGGAGATGTAATATCAGAGCCATGTATTGACAGAGGACTTCATTGATATTTTTCAATCTGCTACTTAGTCATGTCTGTTTTTGTAACTTTATCATGTGCCATTTCCTTATGGAAAGATGCATAATTTTCACATAAGTAAATTTTCAGGAAAAGTTAATTTTAGCAGAAAAATGTTATTTTGAAGGGTTTATTTCCCGTGTGCTTATACAGATGTTCCATTGGTAAGGTTAAGTAGGCACTTCACATGGGATAGCGTCACTTCATCCTCTTACACCTCTTTACTATAGACTTGTAGTCTGACATTCAGGCATGATGAAAGACATATCAAGTTTGGAAAATACAAAAAAGTTCGTTAATCATAATGGGTTTCTTTTTTCCCAAAAATTCTCACAATAGTAACTAAATACTTGGCTAATTTTTTTTCTTAAATTTTACATCATTCTTCTAAGCATTTGCACTGAGTATGATTGATGATAGTGTTTTAAATGGAAAAGTAGGAAATCAGTCTCTAATCTGTGAGTGAAATTTACCAGAAAAGTTTTGTCTGTGTCCAGGATGTTATAGATCAGTATCAGTATTACTTGGTATATTGTACAATGCATCAAAAAAGTAAATTAAAAACATGCCATATAAAGCTTAAGGCTGAAAATTTAAGAAATATTCAAATTTGTATCTGATTTATTTTCTAATTAAAATGGTTTCCCACAAGTAAGAATACCAATTTGGTGTGATTATTTGCTGTATAGGATCATTACTATATAGCTGTGTAAAGATTAAGAATGAAATATTTCTGCGTGAAATTACTTTATGGATGTTATTCTGCTCCTAAGTTATCATAAATGAAATACAATTTATTGATAAGTGATTTTATGAATCAAGCTATCGGCAGAAACAGTCACAACAGAAATATGATATATCACAATGTATATTTTACTTATTCCTTTTGTGTTTTATTAATTAGGTATTTATCCCTCATTTTTCATTTCCCACTGGCCTGTAAAAACATAAATCGTTATTGCTCTTGAAAATGTGGAATAGGATGGATTTAGTGTGATAATGATGGAATTAATTAAAAAAGAAAGCATGTGAATCTTCAGTGTATTGTGTACAGAATAGTCATAAATACATACATGTTAAATGTGTTTAAGACATGTCTAAAATTAAGTTAAGTTGCAGAGAGGAAATTATTTTGAATGAAATTATATGTTTACAAAATGAGAAAATGCTAGCTTCTGTTACAGGTGCAATAACTGATTCAAAACTCAATTTTGAAACACAAATCACAACACATGGCCTTTTTTATGATGCAATTAAAGTGTCGGCGCATTGCTACATTGTATTTATCTATTGTTATGGCTAAATGTAGACAGTTTTGCAATAAAAAAATTCCAGTCTGACTCATTCTGTTCAACTCTCATTGTTGAATGGATCATCAAGTTATTGTTCTGAAATAAAGAAAACATGTGCTGTGATGTAATACAGACAAGATTTGTTGATCGACCTTTTGGCAGATAGATTATTATTCACCAGAAAGATATTCAGGCAGTTTTGGATTCATTGGAAGACACAAAAGATATTTAGATAGTCGAGGATTTGATGAAAAAGCAGACAGACATTCAATTACTGTTACAGATTTCTGATAACAACCACTGACATAAAAAGAAGTATAAAAATGTGTGATGATTGAAAACATTTAAAAAAACATGTCCATCTGAACAACAGGAATAGTAATACATGAACAGATACGTCCGAACAACATGTTCATGCAAATAACTTAAATTTGATGATACCAAAATCTAAATACTCATGAAATGCCTGAAATTGATTTAAGATATATAGACTAAGCTGATTTAGTAAACAAATTAAAGTACCAGCCAGGAAGTATATCACAAAAACGAATATGAAACTAGAATTTCGTTTCAGAATAGACCATAGATTATTTTAAAGTACATGTTTCGACCTCTAGATATGTCCTTGTGCACTTTAATTAGCTGTTGAGTGATTTCATCAGCCAGTTTGGCTGTTTAACTATACAGATTATTGATACTAATCCGATCTAAAAGAAATGCTTATGCTACATTTGGCAGGCACTGCATGCTACTGGCTTTTGACATTAACACTTGTGTAGCGTTATCATGTATTCCTTCAGCAACTGGTATAGAATAGCATATGCATCCACTAAGGTAACTTAACGTACAAGTTTACATACACAGTAGCTATTTTATAGCTGAGAATTTTGAGGTATTTATAAGAATGAAAAGAAAATATTCTGCCAGAAATATGAATTATGTAAAATAATGAAAGTTAGATCTAGTTATAAAGTACCAGCATAACAAGATCACTGACTTTTATCAATAAAGATCAACTTAAGTTTATCCATTAAGTGAAATTAGAAAATCAATCACAATGTTAATTTAATAGCAATGGAAAGGAAAGGCAATAATACTAGCTCCTCAGTTTCTGCACTGCTGGTGGCGATATGGGATGTCATGTAGTCTTTCAGATTTTCTCACGATGATTATCAAATAGCATTGATATACTTAGCAATGACTATAAATTTGGTGTTGAAGCTATAGGAAACCCTGGATAGATAACCTGGCTCCCGTATTGCTGAATATAAATACAGAATACATTCCAGGTACAACATAATGTGGAGTATAATATAGGACATTGTTACACCTAAGGCGTCGTAGAGAGTTGTAACGTTACCAACATATTGTAGGGACCTGTAACGTTACCAACATATTGTAGGGACCTGTAACGTTACCAACATATTGTAGGGACCTGTAACGTTACCAACATATTGGCGCCATTCAGGTGACACTTTTGAATCATTCTTATGTTAGGATTTTGTCCTCACACATTGTCGACCTTTTAGATCTTTTCCAAATCACTCAGTTGTCAGAAATGCGATATACGTACCGATGTTTACATTTTGTTCTGTCAGATCAGAGACGTATATATATACAGATGTAATCTAGCTATACATTACCTTGACATTCTTACGTAAAGGCTCACCGACATTTGAAGTCATACTGACCACAGTAATAGAGATCTAAAGGAACCCTTGTTTATTATCAACCTCTGTGTGATATTTAATCTCTTACGACACATTGTTTGGCATGTATACAACAACTGACGCTATGTACCTGCCAGCGGGCCAACAATTCTGACGTAAGAATATCGATTCTAACAAAACTAGGGATAATCCATTTTCTGTTCTTTTCATATTTTGCATTATGTATTTAAATAGAGAGATTAAAAAAAAGAAAGAAAATAATAAAAGTTTTATGTGTAGAAATTTCCACTTATCTAAAACGAAAGTGAAAGTAGAACCCTTATTTGTGAAGTGTGTATATTTGCTTTCAGATTGTTGTATCGATTGCTAGAACCCAATTATAACTCAACACTGATGTGAAGTACTGACATAGTCGTTTAAATTTTTAGCCCACCATCATCAGATGGTGGGGTATTCAAATCGCCCTGCCGTCCGTCGTCCGTCCGTCGTCCGTCCGTAAACAATTCTTGTTACCGCTATTTCTGGAAAAGTACTGGATGGATCAATCTCAAATTTCATATGCAGGTTCCCCTTGGTCCCTAGTTGTGCATTGTACCTTTTTTGAACTGACTCGCATTCAAGATGGCCGACAGGTGGCCATCTTGGATTTTGGAAGTAAAAGTTTGTTACCGCTATTTCTGAGAAAGTACTGGATGGATCTTTCTCAAATTTCATATGCAGTTTCCCCTTTGTCCCTAGTTGTGCATTGTACCTTTTTGGACTGATTCGAATTCAAGATGGCCGACAGGCATCCATCTTGGATTTTTGGAAGTAAAATTTTGTTACTGCTATTTCTTGGAAAGTACTGGATGGATCTTTCTCAAATTTCATATACAGGTTCCCCTTGGTCCCTAATTGTGCATTGTACCTTTTTTGGACTGATTCGAATTCAAGATGGCCGACAGGCAGCCAAGAAGTAAAAGTTTGGCTATTTCATGGAAAGACAGACCTTTCTTAAATTTCATATGCAGCCATCTTTTTTGGATTTTGGAAGTGAAAAAAGTTTGTTACTGCTATTTCTTGGAAAGTACTGGATGG